GGGCAGGGGCAAACAAGCACTCATTCAGGTACTCAAGCTCGCCCCCCAGGAAAACCTGAAGCACCGTGGAAGCTTCCCGCCACTCCAGCGTGCGGGAACGACAGAAGGAATGCCAGGAATCCAGACCAAACAAGGGGCAGTCTGCTAGCCAGGATGACTCCGGAACCTCGTAACGGAGCCAGAAAGGGAACGAAGTCCCAAACCTGAACGTGGACGGATCCATTTCCGAGGCATAATCCGGGTCACGCAGGAGGTAAGCTGCAAAGGCCGCTCGCACCACACCAGGTTGGATGCGATAAGCCGAAAAACCTCCGGAAGGACGGAACCGACGTACCCGGGGGAACACGGAACCGTACCCGGGGAGGGGCCGACACCAAATCCAACTCGTACGCAGAGGGGGGGAAAGAAAACCCCACTCCTTGTAACAATAAGCCCCGCTCAGTGGGAAGAAAAACCCAGGCGGGGTCCAGCGGGGCCCAAGGCCCCCAAGTCAGCCCCTCCCCAGCCTCGAGGTCCGTCACCACAGGACCCGAGGCCGAGTCCTCTCCCCAAGCCCCGACCCCACAAGACAAGGACGGAGCAGCCGGAAAAGCTGGAGGAAGGGGGGCCCACTGGTCAGACCCTGAAGCTTCGGCCGGGAGACAAGACTCGAATGCCTCTGCCGCCCCCCCGGAAGGGGCAACCCCCGAAGCTGCCCGAGTCTCGAGATCAAATAACCCCTGCTCCGACCCCGAAACCCTCAGACGCTTCGGGGCCAGAAGCAGGGGCGGGGGACCAGAACGAACAGAAGGGGAAGGACGAGGAGGTGCGGACTGAACCAGGATCGAAGCGACCCCCACCCCCAAGTCCGGGTCTCGAAAAGCAAAGCGGGGCAGCCCCGGGGCATCCGGGGAAGCAACCAACCGAGCGCGTTGCAACAGACGAAACCTAGACTGCAACGCACGTGCCGCCTGTACCCGAATAGAATCATCAGAGGATTGGGTAAATTGAGTCACAAGCAAGCAGCAACACTCACAGGACTCAGGGTCGAAAGTATCACCGACCCAACAGGCAGCGTGGCAGAGGCAAAAACAATGAGGGTCACCCTGAGACAAGGGGACCGAGCAACCCTCAAACTCGCACACAGCGAGTGGGGACTCCGGGGTCACATCCATCGGACCCACGCGCCCCCTAGGGGATTCCCAGGGTCCTGAGCGTTTACTTTAAGAGGACTCGCGCTCAGGTAGTCCCAGGCAGGGTGCTGCAAACCGGCGCCCAAAACTACCAAGCAAACTTCTAAAGCTGAACCCCAGGGACGTGTACACTCACGGGGACCTAGCAGGGGGCGCCACCGAGGAGAACAGTGGAAGGGCAAAAACAAACTGAATAAAATGACAGAACCCCCCACCAGGCAAAAACAAAAAGAAAAACAAAACCCCGCAAGAGGACAGCGAACCCCAAGGAACAGAGCCGGCCGCGATGTCGGGAAGTACAAGCTGAGCAGCACCCTGCGCCCCTACCAGTGCAAACTGCCTCTTACCTGCCGGTAACAAGGGAGAACAGAACACCCAAGAGCCCAACAGGCGGCCGAAAAAACCGAAAGGTAAAACGGACCAGCAGAGGCAGACCCCGAGGAGCCTGTGGAAGGTGGCCCCAAGCCCCAAGGGCAGTACTTACAGGGCACCTAGGGAAGGCAGCCCTAGGCGCATGCAGCCCGAGTACTGAAGATAACTCCTGGCTCTCGCACCCACAAAACTAACACCACACTCAAAGCACAGTGCAGTAGCGACACCGGAGCCAGAGCACACGACCATCGCCTATAGCATCAGCCTCAAGAACTGAGGTGTGGGTAGCCGGCGCGGGGGGTCTGGGGCTCCCCCTTCCCCCTCCCGGGGAGGGGGGAGCTGCGCAGACAGCGGCGCGGCAGTGTGTGACGTCACACTAATTTGCTTGTTTTCGGTTGGGGAGTTCTATCCACTAGTTCGGTATTAGGTAGCAATTTTAACCAGAATAGGGGTTTGTTTTGGGGCGCTTACCTTTCTGGGTGCCTGTTCCGGTCGATGGCAGACATAGAATGCTTCCAACTACACGGGGGCTTCTATAGGCCATTGCTCCCCTTGCCTCTCTGAGGGGGCCCGGTTCTGGCCGTGGTCCCCGGTAGGCCTAAGAACTCCATACACATAACTGATGCCAAAGTCTGACATTAGCATATCAGCCTGGGATAGCTCCGGGGAGCCGACGGGGCTCCCCCCAGAAACAGCCAGAAACAACATTGAACAAAATAGTAGTAATTGCTGGTAAACACACACACAAAGGTACTAGAAGTAATGAATGAAGGCTGCATTACCAGACTAGCTCTCACCACGGATGATGAAGGAGTTTGTTTCTTCACGTACATACAAACACAAAATAGAAGTAAAAACCAATGTTGAATGTAATGAAACGCCATTTTCTGGGCAAGTCCTGGAGGCTTCCTGGAGCTATCCAGGCTGAAATGAATATCCCTAGCTTTGGCATCAGTCGATGTGGGTGGAGTTCTAGGCCTACCAGGGATCACAAGCCAGAACTTGACCCCCCCTCAGAGAGGCACAAGGAGCAATGGCATGAAGAAATGCACATGTGATTTTGGAGCATTCTATATCTGCCATCGACTGGGACAGGCACCCAGAAAGGTAAGCACCCCAAAACAAATCCCTATTCTGGTTAAAAACAATAAAATAGACAAACGAGTGGACAGAAGTCCCCAAATGAAAACGAGCAAACAAGCATGACGTTACACGAGCCGCGCCGCATGTCTGTGCAGCTCCCCCCCTCCCTGGGTGGGGAAGGGGAAGCCCCAGATCACCCGCACCGGCGATTCACCCTGCAGTTCTGAGGCTGTACATGAAAATACGCAAAAACCACTGACTAGAGGGAGGGAAGGAGGGTTGCCAGGGAGCCTCCGGGACTCACCTAGAAAATAGTGTTTCAATACATTTAATGCTGGTTTTCTGGGGCAAGCCCCTATGGCTCCCCTAGAGCTACTTCACCAAAGACTAAAGAGAAGAAAGGGGATTTAACCGGGAGGCGGTCGGTGCTCCACATCTCAACTCGAAAGCGAGTAAAGATATAAAAAACTGAAAGCAAACCGTAGCGGCTCCGCCAGCACTGCACAAGACAATGCGACAGTATGCGTCAAGCTGACAGTCCCAAACCCCTACAAGAAAAAGACAAGACCACGTCAACAAAAACTGCAGGACACCTACGAAGAGACAAAAAGAAAGGGAAGGACCCCCAGCAAAACCTCATGCCGTCGCCGAGACAAAGCATGCAGGTGGTATACCATCAACGAAGCCACCTGATCACTAAAGATGGTGAGAGACTCGAGTCAAAATTACCAGACTGGAAGACTCGAGGAGAAGAACAAACCAGCTCTGATATGGACCTTACCAATCATTAGAAGAGTCAGAGCCGGGAAAACCCCTGAGTTCGGACACCGAGCAAGCAGCAACCAAAACTAAGGCTGGCAAAGAGCAAATGCGAGCAAATACGCCCCGTCCACGAGGAACTCCCACGGGACCCCGAAAAGACCAACAAGGCCAATAACGGATGACAATGAGACACGAAGGAACCACAGCAGGGGAAGAACAAGAGGGAGCAGATCGAACCAAGGCCAAAGCTACCAACACCCCCAAGTCTAGGTCCCTATAACCAAAGTAGGGTAGCCTCTGGACATCCGGAGTAGCAATCAACCTAGCACGTTGCAGCAACCTAAACCTAGCATGCAATGCCTGAGCCGCCTGCACCCAGATAATGTCAACAGTGGATCAGGTGAATGGAGACACAAACAAACAACAATGCTTGAAGGACTCCGAGTCGAAGGGGTCACTGACCCAGCAGGCAGCACGATGGAGGCAAAAACAATGAGCGTCGCCCTGAGACAAGGGGACAGAGCAACCCTCAAACTTGCACAAGGCAAGAGGGGACCCAGGAGTCGCATCCATTGGACCCCTTGCGCCCCTGCGGGGTTTCCCAGGGCCCTTAGACTGTTATAGCTAAGAGTAAGCCCAGGTGGGGTACTGTTAACCGGCGCCAAAACAAACTTCTAAAACCAGACAGGGATAACCACCAAACACAGGAGGTCAAGACCCTACTATAACTGCGGGTAGGGGGAACAAGAGCAGACCCCCCACCAGACAGAAACAAAAATGAAAAGAAAAACCCCGCAAGAGGATAACGTACCCAGGAAGAACAGAGTTGACCGCTGTAATAGGTGAAAACTAGCTGCACAGTACACTGCGCTCCTACCAGTACAAAACTACCACTTACCCCAAGGTAAACAAGAGGGGAAGAAACCCTCCCCCTAACACTCCCAGGGCAGTCAATCACCAAGCAGCAAGAGACCAACAGAGGTAGACCCCAGAGTGACTTGTGAAAGATATCCCCCAAGCCCCAGGGGCGGTACTTACAGGGCACTCAGGGAAGGGAACCCTAAGCACATGCAGTCCGAGTACCTGTAAATATTACTTCCAGCTCGCACGCCACCGTGAGAGTAGCACTGAACACATGGCATAGAACAACACAGAATCAGGAGCTGAAGCCACACGACTGAGCCACAATCACATCAGCCGAGAACTGACAGGTGGATAGCTGGCGCAATGGGTCTGGGGCTTCCCCTTTCCCCTCACAGGAGGAGGGAGATGCATAGACAAGCGGCACTGCAAGTGTGACGTCATGCTCATTTACTCATTTTTTACATTTGGGGAGTTCTGCCACTCGTTAGCTTTCAGCAGTAGCTTAAACCAGAATAGGGGTTTGTTTTGAGGTGCTTACCTTTCTGGGTGCCAGGCCTGGTTGATGGCAGACATAGAATGCTCCAAACACATGTGCACTTCTATAGGCCATTGCTCCTTATGCCTCTCTGAGGGGGCCAGGTTCTAGCTCATGGTCCCCGGTAGGTTTACATATCAGCCTGGATAACTCCAAGGAGCCGAAGGGGCTCCCCCGCAGAAACCTGAGAAGTAACAAGCAGATTTACCTACCAAGTTAAAATATATGAGAGATGCTCATTACGCATGGTTACCCGAGTCTGGCCACCTCGTGGTCCTCCAGGGGTGGTGTCAACTGCATCTAGAAACACCGGTGCAGTACCCAACTGCTTGGCCATTGCTGGAACATCCCTGAAAATTAATAAAAGTGTTTTTTGTATACAGTATTAACAAAGGTATTGTTTGAAGCTAATTTAATATTAAACATTTGATTTTCAACTAAATCTTACTAACTTTAGGCAAGTGTAATTATATAGTTATGAAGTTTCTGTCTAGAGAACTGACAATTCAACCAATAATGACAGTTCAAAACCTATAATTCAACCAATATGATTTATAAATTATTCAGAATATGCATTTTTTAACATTTTTGTAAATTTGGCCACGTAGGATGTAATTATTGAGCAGTGCCACTCATTATATATAAGTATCTGCCACTTATTATATATAAGTATCTACATTCGTGTTCACTATAACAAACCATTAAGTTGGCATGCTGAGTGGCAGTGGCAGCCAGTAGCAGCCCGCCACTGGTTGCTACTTCCTCCCTCACTTCACCTGACTCACCCACATTCTCCTCCCACCATACTGTTTTTGCTTTTATTCATTATATACAGACGTTATATATAAGTATTTACATGTTTTGTTCACCACAACTGTACAACTAAGTTGATATAGTTAGTTCAGGCATTAAGAGACGTCGCTACACACAGTCAGGTGGCGGCTGCTTCCCTCACACATTCAAGGTCTCACACACACTAAAATTTCACCCCCAACAATACTGTTTGTGGTATTATTACCTATATACAGACGTTATATAAAAGTATCTACATGTTTTGTTCACCATAACTGTTCAACTAAGCTGGTATAATGCCCAAAGAGCATAGTGGCCACCCCTACCAACATGACAAATCATGCAGATGTTGCCACACCCATCACCAAAATGGCTTCGCCCCACACTCCTTTTGCTGTTATTACGCTATATATACAAGTTATATACAAGTATCTACATTCGTGTTCACCATAACCACTAAGTTGGTGTGCTAAGTGGCAGTGGCATAGGCAGCCAGTGGCAGCCCGCCACTGGCTGCCACTCCCTCCCTCCCTCACCTCACCAGACTCGCCACCACTCTCCTCCCACCATATTGTTTTTGCTTTTATAGAGTACACACATTATATATAAGTATCTGCATGTTTTGTTTACCATAGCGAACAACTAAGCTGGTATAGTGAGTCCAGACAGTAAAAGGTGGTCACACACAGTCAGCAGACAATGCTACCTCCCTCCCCACCAAAATTACTCCTCCCACTACAGCGCTAATTATCACAACAATCCTGCAATTATCAGAATCCTGGTCATATTTATCACAGTCAGGGGTCTTCTGTAATAATATCATCGCTAAATAATAGCATGAACATGTATATTATGGCATTTTTAGGCGATGCTGTGGTCACAAGCTGAACAGCAGTGCTGTGAGCTCATGCTGCGTGCATCAGGCTTGGTGGCTCAATACTGAGGCCCCTCACACCCGGGAATTTGGCCCACAATTTTTTTTTATATGGTGTCTGTTTACAAGAGCCCTGATGAGGGTGAGGTGAACCCCATGTATCCGAGGGGCGTTTAAATCTTGTGTAGTACTCCAATACATATGATGGGATGCTTATAGCAAGTCACTCAACCCATCATATGATGTGTTGTACAACTTAAGGGTTAAGCACAAATAGGGAAATAGATAAGGATACTGTACCTGTAAGTGAACACTGTAGAGCCCATCATGTTTTTGGGCATGAAAGGTGCACGGTTCTCGGACTTACGCACCAATGCTGTAAGTTCTACGGGTCCCTCTACTTGTCCTTCAAATCTGCTCTCAGGATTTGTCTGATTACGCGACACCCATCCTCGGTTAATTAATATTGTTAAACTGAAAAACCAACATTGAATATAATGAAACTCCTTTTTCTGGATGAGCCACAGTGGCTCCCAACGATAAAGTCACATCAGCTATAGAGTTCTGGTTGGCCTACCAGGAAATAGAGCCATAACCTAGCCTCCCTCACAGAGGCACATAGAACAGGTGACACTCTTGTCACCACACCAAGAAAGCATCCAGAAAGTCAGCAAACCATTACAGATCACTTGAATGAGTCCGTTAGCACTACTATCACCCACCCCGACCATTGAGGGATGGGGGGGGCAGGAGCTGCAGGTCATCCTCAGCCCTCCAAGACAGTTTTGGAGCAGATGGGATGACACGAACTTTGTGTGTCTTTTTCCCCTCTTCCTATGAGCTTGGAAGGGAGGGAATCAAGGAGCCACTGCCTCTTTCATTCAGAAAGAGGTACTTCACCACTTTTAATGCTGGATTTCCGGAGAAACCCCTTGCGCTTTCCTGAAACAAACTACCCACGGAGAAAGGATGATCAGGAACTCACCAGTGAGGAGAAACCACAGGCAATCAAAATTAAGAGAGCTGATTCAGAGACATGACCCAAGGCAACATAGGCATGATGGAGCCCGGGGACATTAACAAAATACCAGGCTGCCAAATCCCCCATGCCTGAATATCAGCCCAGGACATGTTAGCAAAGACTGCTGCAAAAGTAGCACATTTACAAACATCATGGGCATGAGGGTAGACAACAGGCTGGCTGGACCCAATGACACTGCAGACAACTTGAGAAACACGAGCCATAGAACAGGGAATCAAGAATGTTATGAAATGCCAGTTTCTGGGTGATGTGCTCCCTGAAGCTATCTTACAGATCAAGTGCCATACTACGTGTCATCAGTCGCAGAGTCCTTTTCAGCCTACCAAGGACCATGAGTCAGAAACTGGCCCTCTCAGAGAGGCTAAGGGAGAAATGGTCATGAAGACTTTACATTTAAAAAACACTATGTCATCTTGCCATCGACCAGGGAAGGACCCAGAACAGCAGGTGAATCAAAATAGACCACTGTCTGGTTGAAAAATTGCAAGCTACATCCTACAAGCCCAAAAGAACTCCCCCAGAAAGCAAACAAACAAGCAAAACTTCGTTCAACTAACCCCCCGCTCATTAGTTCGGGGAGAGTGGGGGGGGGGTGGAGGAGCCGGCCTGGGCAAGTCAGGCCGCCACCCTCCAGTTCTTTGAATGATGAAAACCGGAGGGAGGGAGCGAGGGTGTCAGGAAGCCTCCGGCTCTTGCCCAGAAACTGCAGAAACTGGCATTTCATTATATTCAACGCTGGTTTTCTGGCGGGAGGCCAGTTGGCTCCCTGAAGCTAACTACCCACAGAGAAGGTAAACCGAGAAGAGCTCAGGAGGTGGCAGCCCCGCAGATCTCAACCCGAAAAGTTGACCTTCAGCCGACCACTAGAGAAGCCCCAAAGCAACACAAAGCAGCAAAGGGACCCGGGATGGACACGTGGAACCCGGAGGCCAGGACCGTGACCGACCCCCAAAAACCCACGAGCCTGAAAACCATCCAAAGATAGCCGAAAGAGTGGCACACTTTCAAACAGCATAGGCACGAGGGTTGACCACGGACAACCTAAGACACACGAGCCCTGGAACTGAAAACCAGGGAAACCTGATCAACTCAGAGCACGGCCACCGACACAGAACTGGTGACCCACGGGAAGCAGCATAAAGCCACCAACGGATTCCCCAGAAGCCCGCCGCCTCATACTTCGCCGGAAAAGAAAGAGCCGGCAATAACGAACAAAGTGATCTACCAAAAACAAGCACGAACCTAAGGGACCACCACAAACCAAGGAGAAGAAAGGAAAAGTCCCGGTCCAAAGACCAAGAAGACTCAAGTGGCGTAAGTACACGTGAAAGCGGAAGGGACATCCACCTCGAACGCTACCTACAGAGGCTCTGCCAACACCCCATGACACAAAGCAACAGTATTCGGCATGAGAAGCAAACCCAGGCAAAAACCAAGAGAGAGAAAAGACAAATCAACCTGGTTCGACACCGCCGAAACTCAACAACGAGAAAGAAAATTGCAGAAAGACTGCCAAGAGACTGCATACTGTTGCTGAGACGAAAACTGCAGGTGGGACACCTTGAAAGAAGCCACCCAAGGTAAAAACCTCCCCCCCCATCTTATTGGTCTGGCCTCTAAAGAGTAAACTCCCAAACACACTAGAGAATAGAACTCTGTTGGTGCAGGGGAAGTCCTGGGGAGTACCCACAAAAGGTATCCCCAACCACACGCAGCTCCAAGTGCCCTACAAACCAGAATCACACCAGAAACCAGACAGAAAACATGCTCATGAAGATAACTAATGTGTAGAACAACAAGCAAATGGACCTCTCAGGACAAAGTCCAAAGATAGCCGCCACTTAGCTTAGGAGTGGGACCCGCCCAGTCTGTTGTTGACCTGCAAACACCACTGAGGACAAGGACTGTAATCATGTCCACATCAGCAACAAGACTGGTTGGAGGGCTGGAAGAGACCTGTAGCTCTGCCCTCACCACTGCACTGGCTAGGGGTGGGGTGTAGTACTGAGGAGCTCATGTTAGTTTCGAGAGATTGAATCATTTGCTCACATGGTTTGGGGTTGGTAGTGTTGAGGTTTCAGTCTCTGAACCCAGCAGTGGTCTGTTTTGGTTTGCTGACCAGACCACTAACCAGGAGGCCTAGTCAGAGGCTGCAGAGACGTTGATCCAGTCATCAACAGCTATACTACAGGTATGCTTTTCCAGTGAGTTGGAGGAGTGTCACCTGCTCCCTGCACCTCTGTGAAGGGGGGGCCAGGTTCTGACTCTGGTCCCTGGTAGGCCAAACAGAACTCCATGGCTAATGTGACCTAGTAGTTATGAGCCATCTCACCAAGATAGTTTCAGGGAGCCACAAGGGGCACCCTCAGAAAATATCATGCTATTCATTATTAATATTGGATATCACCTGCACAGTTAAGTGTAAAGGTCAATTGAAGCAAACTATGAGGTATGTAATTCTACATAGGATATCTAGAGGTGAAATATTTACTCTTACTAGTTCATATTCAAGACCTAGAGGTGCAATATTCACCCCTTATTAGCTCATATTTAAGACTCAGAGGTACCTGGATGGGGTTCTGGGAGTTCTTCTCCCCCAAGCCCGGCCCGGGGCCCAGGCTTGACTTGTGAGAACTTGTCCAAAAGGATGTTGCGTGGAGCGGCCCACAGGCCCACACATCCACCACAGTCCGATTGGTATGGCACTTCTTGATACCCTCACCTTACCCAGATGCAATACCCATTTAGTTAACACATTTAAATACAGATGTTTGAAATTAAATTACTGTGCAGGTATGTCATTCTATGTATACGAGACCTAATTGTGTAAAATTACATCCAAGTACACACACCAGACTTAAAATTAATCATTATTTATCTATGAATGAAACCAGCTTCAAGACCAGGATTAACATATAAAATATGCTTTACACATTTTAGAACAGAACACAAAGTACATTGTATATCCATTATCTAAAGGTCAATATCAATATTAACTTTGTTCACCATTTTTAATGTAAATTTGGAATTTGTCAAATATACAAAGGTGTATCAAATATGACCCCAAGGTACAGGCACGTTAAATACGACCCCAAGATACAAGCATGTCAAATATGACCCTAAGGTACAGGTGTGTCAAATATGAAGATATTTGCTAAAAGAACTGTTAAGAAATATGAAAAAGACTGAATTGGATCATGCCAGTAAAATAACCCAAGATCAAGGAACATGAGTAAAGACAGGCTCTAAACTACCTAGTAGACAAAAACCATTGAGGTTATATAGAAAGCTGCGAAAGAAATGTGGGTGCTGATCACATAAGTGATCACAAGCCAACATCTCCCAGATGAGAATGTGGAGAAACAAGGTAAATAAATGTTCAATATCCTCACAATAAGTATAAGAAATATTGCCAGAACAAAATTGGAAATCTTCAAGAAAAGCTGGTTAGTTTTCTACAAGAAGTGCCAGACCAATCGGACTGTAGTGAACATGTGGGCTGCTCCCAGCAACAGCATATACATAGGATATCTAGAGCTCTCAAGTCCAGCCTGGCCCTGAGCCCGACTTGGGAAGTGGAAGAACTCCCAGAACCACATCCAGGTATAGCTTCAGGAAGCTTGAAGGAACTTCCTCAGAAAAGGCAAATTACAGTGAAGATAATGCAGTAATTGACTTCTATGACCTAGCCAACCAACCAGCTATGGTGTTTGAACACTCATACTGATTCTTGGCTTGGAAGCATTTTTATACTTTTTTCAATTTTTTTTATAATTTCAAGTTGTTATCGATTCACAATAATACTTGTATAATAGTTTTCATATATCAGTATTTTCGGTAAAGATGAACATTATTAACATGTGGCTTAACAGGAAGCCAGTGGCTTGTCAAAAGTTCCCCCATTTGCCCTGATGATTTTTTACAGCTAGATTTTAAAGCTTAACAGAGTCTTGGCATTTACTGTTTCAGCGGGTAGGCAGTTCCATGGGTTTATAATCCTGTGGGTGAAAAAGCATCTCCTGTTTAAGTCCTACACTGTGGCATGTTAAGCTTGAAACTGTTGCTCCTTGTAAACAAATTTGGTGATAGCCAAATGTTCAGAGTTAAACTATCCTCACAAAATAACTCATATTTTCCAAACAGTTTTGACAAAGAAGAAGTCTTACTTTCTATCAATCAACTTGAAAGGTGTGATGACAAGATAGCCGCTTTGACCAGAAGAAATGAGTCCACTTCCCGCTTCGTGCACGTCTCCACTAACCTGTGCCCATTGTCCAGAAATAAAAATTGTGAATATTTAATAGTTACATAAAAAAATTAAAAAGTTTTTTGCCAATATGGTTTGTTATGGAAGGACTTACAATGATCTCAAATCAGTACTGGCATCAATTTACATAAAATAATTGACAGTACTGTATTACATATTGACTTTTATGAACCTTTACCATTACTGATGCTGATTCCAGCATCATTAATGGATTTTAATTCCCTTGGTATAAAAATAAATTACTGTACATTCGAAGAGATTATGAAATTTGATGATGATGAAAGTCACAGCAAATAAAATTCCCAACTTTGCCTGGTAGTGAAATAAAACTTTTATTTCAAAGTATTTTAACATGTACAATATGTGTAATTACCAGGAGTGAACGTGGCCCAACAAAGACTTCTTTGCTATGGTCAAAAGAGCCAATTAGCTTCACTTGTTGATACTCTAAGTCCTCAAGTTCTGACAATCTGAAAAGTAATTTGATCTTTCAGTATCATAAAGCCAACACACAGCCAAAAAAGCAGCATTGAATGTAATGAAATGCCATTTTCTGGGTGAGCCCCGAAGGATCCCTGGAGCTATCGGGCTAATATGCAATTCATTAGACCAGGGCATTAGTTATAGGAGTTCAGCCTACCAGGAACCACAAGCCAGAACCTGGCCTCCTCAGAGACACAGGGAGCAATGGCCCTGGAAAACACCCCTGTGATTGAGGGTTTTCCTTATTTGCCATTGACCGGGGTTAGGCACCCAGAAGGTAGGCATAACAAAACAGACCCCCACATGATAAGAAAATTGCAACTGAAAACTGAACAGACAGAACTTCCTCCAACAAAACATCACACCCCACCACTGCCAGATCCATGACAGAGGCAGAATCTGGGTCTCACAGGAGGTACGCAGCAAACGCCACCTGAACCTCCTTAGGTGAGCTCCGAGAAGCAGAAAACTTCCAGAAGGAGCCGAGGAACCCAAGGGCACCGAGAACCAAACCCGGGTAGGAGCCAACCCCAAATCATACTTATTCAGGAAAGGGTAGGGGGGGTAAGAAAACACCTCCCCTGCAACAACAAGCCACGCGAAGAGTGCACCATCTCCCATGCGGGGTCAAAGGGAGCCCAAACCTCCCAGGTCAACTCCTGGGGCAAACCCCCATTGTGCCCCAACACAACTAAAGAACACCCCCAACCAAAGGCCCAACAGAGAAATCAAGAACTCTGGACAGCCCAAGGCAAGGCCCCCAGCCCCTGTGGGCCAGCCTCACAGGAATGAATACCCAAACACACCAGAGAAGGGAAATTCTGGCTATGCAAGGGCAGTGTTTGCAGGCACAGGGAAGAGACCCCTAAGTACATGCAGCTTAAAACGACCAAAGAACCAAACCCACACAACAAGCTGGAATCAAAACACACATGTGAACTTACACTAAAATAAGAAACAATACAATAGTCTTGAGTACTGCTCAGTACTCACTTCCCCCTTCAGAGCAGGAGAGATTGCTGAAATAGAGGGAATACAAAGAACATATACGGCATAAATAGACGCAATAAAGCACCTAAATTATTGGGATCGTCTCAAAGCTCTCCAAATGTACTCACTAGAAGGAAGACGAGAGAGAGAGATATCAAATAACATACACGTGGAAGATACTGGAGGGCCAGGTACCAAATCTACACGGTAAAATAACAACACATTGGAGTGAACGATATGAAAGAAAATGCAGAATAAAACCAGTGAAGAGCAGAGGTACCATAGGTACAATCAGAGAATTGTGCAGTACCTATGGTACAATGGTACAATACAAATGGAATTGATGTATAAACATCAGAGGTCCGCGGTTATTCAACATCCTCCCAGCAAGTATGAGAAATATTGCCAGAACAACCGTGGACATTTGACCAGACCACACACTAGAAGGTGAAGGGACGACAACATGTCGTCGTCCCATTCTTCTTCCTTCTATTGATACTCGCCCTTCTCTCTGGCTTCACTATGTTGATGACATTTTTGCTTTATGGCCTCATGACCCTAGTCTTTTCCAGCCTTTCCTCTCCTCTCTTAACAATCTGACTCCTTCTATCCATTCAAAGTTGAATGGGAATCTAATTCCCTCCTTCCTTTTCTTGACGTTCACGTTCACAGCTCTGTGTCCGGGTTCTCTTTCTCTGTCTACCGCAAACCCATGTATAGTGGCATGTACATTCACTTCTTTTCCTACCATCCCCCTTCTGTTAAGATAAGTGTCCTCGTCTCTCTCTTCCTCCGCTCTCTATGCATCAGCGACCCTCAGTTTCTTGATTCTGAAATTGCCTTTATCTACAAATCATTCTCTCGCCTTGGTTACCCTTTGCATTTCATCAACTGTGCCTACTCTCAAGCTAAACGAAATTTCTTTCATCCTAAACCTGCTTCCAACACTAGTAGTACTGTACTATGCCTTCCCTTCATATCTGAACTTAAAACTTTTACTAATACCTTTCGTCCTCTTGACATAAAGCTCTCCTTTCGACAAACTAACACACTTTGTAGCAATCTAATTCACACTGCTCCTCCTGCTTCTAATGCTGCTGGTGTCTACACTATTTCCTGTTCATCTTGTCCTCTCCAATACTTTGGCAAAACTGGCCGTACACTTAATGACAGACTTAAAGAACACAAGAGAAGTGTTAAGTCTGCAGACACTAACAATGCTCTCTTCTGTCATGTGAGGGATTCTAATCATCCTATTGATTGGTCTTCCTCTAAAATAATCTTTCCTGCCTCTACTTTACACTACTGCCGTCTTGTTGAATCGGCTCTAATACACAACGTACCCAACATGAACTTGAGCCCTGGCTTTGTTGCTGTTGATTCTTCCCTTTCACAGTATACTGTATACTCAAATGCTCTAATCTTTCTAACAAACGTGACTAACATAAGCTTACCCTTCCATTTATCTTTCTTTCTCTTTCATTTTCTTACTCTCTTCTCTCTTTTTTCTGTTCAATGTTTTCTCTTACATTCCCTTCTATCCTCTTCTTATTCCTATTACTATGCCCTTCCTATTTGGTGGTTATAATAGGAGCTGCCTCGTATGGGCCATTGGGCCTTCTGCAGTTCTTATTCCTACTACTATCCCCTCTACTACACCTTACCGTTTGTACCTTTTGCCTTGCTCCTCACCACTCTTTCACCTATTTATTGCCTGTATCACCTCCCTCATCACAATCGACTTGAGAATGGTCCAGGACAAATCGAAACGTCGTCGTCCCTTCACCTTCTAGTGTGTGGTCTGGTCAAACTACTTCAGCCACATTATTGTGACTCATCGCCTGCAACCGTGGACATCTTCAAGAGAAAACTAGATCATTTTCTCCAAGGAGTGCCGGACCAACCAGGCTGTGGTGGATATGTGGGCCTGCAGGCCGCTGCAAGCAACAACCTAGTGGACCAAACTCTCACAAGTCAAGCCTGGCCTCGGGCCGGGCTTGGGGAGTAGAAGAACTCCCAGAACCCCATCAACCAGGTATAATAAAGAAAAGGGCCACCACAGGACAAGCCCAAGGATGGCCAGCACTTAACTTGAAGCTTTTGGCTTGCCCACAAGCTGGCTTCGCTGGAAGTACTACAAATTAGTGTGGGGATACCAACATCCTGAATAGGACTGACTTGGGGAGCCACGGCTGGGCCACCTGGTGGTGGCAATCAGTATTAATGAGTTTCAAGCTCGTTTGAGCGAATACCTTGGTCTGTGTCACTCGTTTGTGGCAATTGTAACATTTTTCGAGGCTTTGTTTTCCAAGAAAAACACTCTAGTTGTCCGTAAAGCTGCACTGACTTTCTGGAGACTTTCTGATGAGGTGGGGGATTGCCACCTGCTCTCAGCATCTTTGTGAAGGGGAGGGATCATGTCCTTACAAGGGACATGGATCAAGTCCCTGGTAGGCCAAACAAACTAGGCACAACTGATGTGACCTCTTAGTATGAAGCAAACAGTTAGTTGTGGCTACTCATAAACTTTCTAAATCTGCTTAACTTTGAAATTAACTCTGAGTACAGGGCTGCCTGTACTCTATGTCCAGAAAAAAGCCCAAGCATGTTACATCATGGTTTGATTAAAGCAACATTTGAAACACACGTATAACAAGCAACAAAAACAAACAAGCAAGAGAAACAATAAAACAACCAAGAGGTAAGCTACATTTCAAGAACTTACTCTTGTGGAAGGTTAATCGGAGGTGTGGTGGTCTTAGCTTTTAACTCTGCTATGAGGTTCAGCTTCCACTTTCTGCGCTGAACCTGCCATGTCCCAAGGCAGAACGTACCAACAGGAACCAGCTAAAGAAATTAATGAGAGAACACTGTCAGTGATACCAAAAGTGCTTGTTCAAGATCTATTATCAGTGTTGTCAATTGCTTGATAATTATGATAGTTGAAAATTAATAGATTTGGTGTACAATATCATGACACCCACCCAACCTGCACACTCCAACACCACACCTCTTCATTACACTGGGTGAACAGTGCTCCATGTGTGCTGTCATGAGAAACAAAACACTGCCTCTTCACTTAATGCTGCCACAAAGCCTTATTTCTGACACCTTGCATATTACAGTACTGTACTCTCACAATTCATGTTGCCATTCACTACCCTTGCTTTGACTGCCAATCTTTTCCATAAACTACCTTTCCTGATTTTATTTTTAACTTACCCTGTACACTATGTTCACTCATCATCTATTCACTTAATATAGCCAAACTATCTCAATACTCTCTTCTTAGCTTCATTATTTACGGACTTGTACTTGGCTGCTTAGTGAACTCTGTCTGAAGCCGAGAGATAAAGAGCTCCTAGAAAGCCACCAGCAAAATGAGTTCATATTGGAATATAGTACAGGAAAATACCTAGTCTAGAGGGTGGCTTCCTAGGAGTTCTTTATCACTCAGCTTCAGACATTGTTCACTAAGCAGCCAAGAACAAGTCCATACATAAATAGCAAGGCTAAGAAGAGAGCACAGTACTGTACCGAGAAATTTTGGTCATATTAGGTAACCCATCCTCCTGTTTAGAGCATACCTATTGTGATGATCGTAAATAGTCATGAATTGGTATGTACTTAGCTTTTAGATAGTAGTACTGTATACTGACTAGCAAGGAATTCTTTTAAAATAAATTAAGCTAAACACAAACTTAAATATTCCTAGGCCTAGTATAGCACACACATGTGCTGTAGTATATTAGGCCTCAGATATTGTGTATTAGGCCTGCATTAGGTATGTTGCATGCCTGCATCAGGTATGTTGCATGCCTGCCTCAGGTATGTTGCATGCCTGCCTCAGGTATGTTGCATGCCTGCCTCAGGTATGTTGCATGCCTGCCTCAGGTATGTTGCATGCCTGCCTCATGTATGTTGCATGCCTGCCTCAGGTATGTTGCATGCCTGCCTCAGGTATGTTGCATGCCTGCCTCAGGTATGTTGCATGCCTGCCTCAGGTATGTTGCATGCCTGCCTCAGGTATGTTGCATGCCTGCCTCAGGTTGCCTCAGGTATGTTGCATGCCTGCCTCAGGTATGTTGCATGCCTGCCTCAGGTATGTTGCATGCCTGCCTCAGGTATGTTGCATGCCTGCCTCAGGTATGTTGCATGCCTGCCTCAGGTATGTTGCATGCCTGCCTCAGGTATGTTGCATGCCTGCCTCAGGTATGTTGCATGCCTGCCTCAGGTATGTTGCATGCCTGCCTCAGGTATGTTGCATGCCTGCCTCAGGTATGTTGCATGCCTGCCTCAGGTATGTTGCATGCCTGCCTCAGGTATGTTGCATGCCTGCCTCAGGTATGTTGCATGCCTGCCTCAGGTATGTTGCATGCCTGCCTCAGGTATGTTGCATGCCTGCCTCAGGTATGTTGCATGCCTGCCTCAGGTATGTTGCATGCCTGCCTCAGGTATGTTGCATGCCTGCCTCAGGTATGTTGCATGCCTGCCTCAGGTATGTTGCATGCCTGCCTCAGGTATGTTGCATGCCTGCCTCAGGTATGTTGCATGCCTGCCTCAGGTATGTTGCATGCCTGCCTCAGGTATGTTGCATGCCTGCCTCAGGTATGTTGCATGCCTGCCTCAGGTATGTTGCATGCCTGCCTCAGGTATGTTGCATGCCTGCCTCAGGTATGTTGCATGCCTGCCTCAGGTATGTTGCATGCCTGCATCAGGTATGTTGCATGCCTGCATCAGGTATGTTGCATGCCTGCATCAGGTATGTTGCATGCCTGCATCAGGTATGTTGCATGCCTGCATCAGGTATGTTGCATGCCTGCATCAGGTATGTTGCATGCCTGCATCAGGTATGTTGCATGCCTGCATCAGGTATGTTGCATGCCTGCATCAGGTATGTTGCATGCCTGCATCAGGTATGTTGCATGCCTGCATCAGGTATGTTGCATGCCTGCATCAGGTATGTTGCATGCCTGCATCAGGTATGTTGCATGCCTGCATCAGGTATGTTGCATGCCTGCATCAGGTATGTTGCATGCCTGCATCAGGTATGTTGCATGCCTGCATCAGGTATGTTGCATGCCTGCATCAGGTATGTTGCATGCCTGCATCAGGTATGTTGCATGCCTGCATCAGGTATGTTGCATGCCTGCATCAGGTATGTTGCATGCCTGCATCAGGTATGTTGCATGCCTGCATCAGGTATGCTGCATGCCTGCATCAGGTATGCTGCATGCCTGTGGCAGATGTGCTGTATGAATACATCAGATGTCTGCCAATCACAATTATATATTCATTAAAACTTTTAGTGTTGTCCACTAAAAGTCTGAAAAACATGTATGAACAATTATTATATGAACAATATACTGTATACTGTATCATTATTGAATATCTAAACTATAATAACAAATTATATTATTTTTCAAAATTCATATATAATATTAATACAGTACTGTAATTAAAGGAACATTGTATCATAACTCACTAACAACAAAAGGCTCATGGGTTTGAATGAGCCTTTACCTGTCCGGGAGCTCATCATTCGAACAGATAGTACTCTGCCCAGATACGCGTTGTGCATCAAGCTGGTAGGACATGGTGCTGTGTGCGTTTCAGTAAATGCTAATCTTGTGTGTGCACGCATGACAAATCTTCGGCCGATATTCAGCCCCTGACACAACATGTTGCTCATTCTGTAAGTGAACCACATCATATTGGTCATGTTTCTGCATTGTTGATTATTTAATAAAATGTTTACAAGGAAAAATCAGACTTAAAGATATGACATTCCACATGGAGCTTATATATTATGGAGCTTTCCATTATGGAATGGAAAAAATGTCACAGAGGCTAAAGTTTCAATGTCTGACCAAACTGTTTATAAGCACTGTACTACTTTAAACCATAATAAACATCTTCAGTAAGATAAGTACAGTATATACAAAATTAAAATTAACACAGTTGGGAGAGGTCCTGGTAGTACAGTCGGATTTGTTCTCTATTCACAATCGGGAATTCCAGGTTTGAATACCGGGCGAAACAGAAATGGTTGGGCACATTTCCAATTGCCTAATGCGCCTGTTCACACAGCAGTAAATAGGTTCCCATGAGTTAAGTCAGCATATTTTTATGGTGTTGCATCATGGGGAGGATCAGTAATTCAACCCTAGGGGAGGGGGGGTCCTTGATATAACCCTAACATCTACTGTATATATACACTGGCTGCAGTGTATGAATCTAATATAATTCTGATCAACTTCAGCAATCATTATCAGATCAGCAAATCTTCATTACTTATGTAAGTAATTATCAAAGAAGGCACGAAGCCAGGAAGGTTATGTAGCAACCATTACTTACGTAATGCTAGCAGGATTTGGGTAATTCTATGGACCCCCTCCCCCAGATCGTAGAGTCCAGGCTGTGGTCTACAGGCTCCTCTCCCACACCCTGCTCATAGTCCTGGTTGTGGTATACAGGTGCCTCTCCCTCCCCCCCCACCCCACCCACTGGGGTCATAGTCCTGGCTGTGGTTTACAGGCGCCTCTCCCCTCTCCCTGCCGGTACCCCTCCCTGCTCGTAGTCCTGGCTGTGATCTACAGGCGCCTCTCCCCTCCCCCTGCTCGTAGTCCTGGCTGTGATCTATAGGTGCCTCTCCCCACCCCCACCCACTGGGGTCATAGTCCTGGCTGTGGTTTACAGGCGCCTCTCCCCTCTCCCTGCTCGTAGTCCTGGCTGTGATCTACAGGCGCCTCTCCCCTCCCCCTGCTCGTAGTCCTGGCTGTGATCTACAGGTGCCTCTCCCCCCCCCCCCACCCACTGGGGTCATAGTCCTGGCTGTGGTTTACAGGCGCCTCTCCCCCCCTCCCTGCTCGTGGTCCTGGCTGTGATCTACAGGTGCCTCTCCCCGCCCCCCCCATCCACAGAGGTTGTAGTCCTGGCTGTGATCTACAGGCTCGTACCCCCCCTCCCCACCCACTGCGATCTAGTCCTGGCTGTGGTCTACAGGCTTCTCTCCCCTACCCTGCTCGTAGTCCTGGTTGTGGTCTACAGGTGCCTCTCCCCCCCCCTCCCCACCCACTCGGGTCATAGTCCTGGCTGTGATCTATAGGCTCCTCCTCCCCCCCCCCCACCCACCTGGGTCGTAGTCCTGGCTGTGATCTATAGGTGCCTCTCCCCCCCCCACCCACACAGGCCGTAGTCCTGGCTGTGATCTATAGGTGCCTCTCCCCCCCCACCCACCCAGGTCGTAGTCCTGGCTGTGATCTATAGGTACCTCTCCCCCCCCCACCCTTCCAGGTCATAGTCCTGGCTGTGATCTATAGGTGCCTCTCCCAGGGTCATAGTCCTGGCTGTGATCTATAGGTACCTTTATCCCCCCCCCCCACCCACCCGGGTCGTAGTCCTGGCTGTGATCTATAGGCTCCTTCCCCCCCCCCCACCCACCCGGGTCATAGTCCTGGCTGTGATCTATAGGCTCCTTTATCCCCCCCCCCACCCACCCGGGTCGTAGTCCTGGCTGTGATCTATAGGCTCCTTCCCCCCCCACCCACCCGGGTCATAGTCCTGGCTGTGATCTATAGGCTCCTTCCCCCCCCCACCCACCCAGGTCGTAGTCCTGGCTGTGATCTATAGGTACCTCTCCCCCCCCCCCCCACCCACCCGGGTCATAGTCCTGGCTGTGATCTACAGGTGCCTTCCCCCCCCCCCCCCCCCACCCACCCAGGTCGTTGTCCTGGTTGTGATCTATAGATGCCTCTCCCTCCCCCCCCCCCCCCCCCACCCACCCAGGTCGTAGTCCTGGCTGTGATCTACAGGTGCCTCTCCTCCCCCCCCCCCCCCCCCCAACCGGGTCGTAGTCCTGGCTGTGATCTTTAGGCTCCTTCCCCCCCCCCCCCCCCCCACCCACCCGGGTCGTAGTCCTGGCTGTGATCTATAGATGCCTCTCCCCACCTCCCACCCACCCGGGTCGTAGTCCTGGCTGTGATCTATAGATGCTTCCCCCACCTCCCACCCACTCGGGTCGTAGTCCTGGCTGTGATCTATAGATGCCTCCCCCACCTCCCACCCACCCGGGTCGTAGTCCTGGCTGTGATCTATAGGCTCCTTTCCCCCACCCGGGTCGTAAGAGTCCTTCAACGACACGATGGTATGGTTGGTGACTCAGGGGCGGCGCCCCACAGCCTTCCTGGAGCTGCAGGAAGGGAAAAATAAAGTAAGATCAGCACGACCCGGACCTCCTGTGTACACTCCTGCCCGTTCTTGAAGACGTTGTTGTCTGCTCTTTTTATTAGTATATTTCTCTATAACAATTATATGATAGTAACACTGTTATTATATAATTTTATTTATATATTTATTTATTTATATACAAGAAGGTACATTGGGATTGTGAGGATACATAGCATAGTAATTACATTCTTGTAAAGCTACTAGTACGCGCAGCGTTTCGGGCAGGTCCTTAATCTAAGAAACTTATAAGTAGGTAAATACTTGCAAAATTTATAAAAATGATAACAGTTACATAGCATGGAAAAAATAAAAGATGAGAGAAAAATTGTAGGTATATTAAAGCACATAGGTAGCTCAGAATGATTGCAATGACAGCTTGAACGGTAGTTTAACAAAACTTAGCAGGCACAATACAACATATATGGCTAGCACATAAAAGACAGCAATGAACACAATGATAAAGTTGTTTGGATTAAGTACATAAAGATTGGGAGATTGGGTAACACAGAGTAAATTTAAAGCTCAGTGTAGGAAACTACGAAGATGAAATTATCCTGTCCTTAGACACACACGCAAAGTATTTCACCTAAGCACAAGCTGCTAATCGACAAGATATAATATTTAACATTTACTGAAAGAAGAACAAGACGGATTCTGAGCCTAGAACGGCACGGCTCCACAACAGTGATGGCGGTCTCCATGTCTAGCTCTGTCTAACTAGTTTCCCACCATGATTCCCATATTAACCGACTTGCTTTCCCAGCCTGGCGTCATGGTGGGTATGGGCATAGGCCTATGTGTAGGCTTTTTCGCCCGAGGTTCCCTCTTCACGGACACCATCGACTACAATGGTGGCGGCGGCGGCGACGACCACGATGATTCTGACGAGGACTGGGACGAGGTAAGGTTGACTAGGCTTCATCATGCAGTCTTTGGGAGAAGGAAACCTTACCGCTAAGTCAAGCCTTACCTTCACAGTCAAGACCAGTCCTTCACAGTCAAGACCAGTCACAGGCAATCATAACCAAAGGCAGTCACAGGCCAGTCACAGGCAGTCATAATCAAAGTCAGTCAAGCATTCACAGTTGTTGTAGCAACTGATTAGGCATTTAATCATTCAGCCATTTACAGTCAATCAGGCTTTCACAGTCAGTAAACAAGAGTTTAATGTCATGCAGGCTGCCTCGTGATCCACCAGCTGGTAGCAAAGAAGCCCATATTAATACTGTCCAGATGTGGCTGGTATAGCTGGGGGGGGGGGGGTCCAGTGTGGGGGACAGAGGTTCACCCCACCATCCATGCAGTCCCCCTCCACTGTCTACCCCCTATCCATCCAGTTCCCCCCCTCACCATCCATCCATCCAGTCCCCATCTACCATCCATCTATCCACTCCTAACCATCTATCCACCATCCATCCATCCAGTTCCCCCCTCCATCCATCCTGTCCCCCCCCCACTATCCATCCAATCTCCCCTCCACCATCCATCCAACCACCTCCCATCCATCCAGTTTCCCCACCAACCATCCATCCAGTTTCCCCACCATCCATCCATCCAGTTTCCCCACCATCCATCCATCCAGTCCTCTTGCCATCCATCTAGTCTCCTTACCATTCTGGGACCCATGGCATGATACACAGTATAATAAGAACTTTACTGTTCAGAAAACAAAAAGCAGAAAAACAATTCAATTGTTTTTAAACAAAAAACAAAGAACTCAAGGTAAATAAACTGAGCGCGCCTCGCCCCGCGCCCCCAGCATCACACACTCATTTGACCCATGTGTGTATGAACAGACGTCGTCTTCCAAAAAAATCAGTCTTCTAGGGCAGTTGTCAATTGAGGTCTCACTGTATATACTTCTATTATTTCAGCATTTGGAAATATAGCTTCCAACTGTCCGATTTTGGATGTCCAGGTTGCAATTTTCCAAGGCCATTGCTCCCTGAGCCTCTCTGAGGGGGCTAGGTTCTGGCTCATGGTCCCTGGTAAGCTGAACTCCATAGACTAATGCCCCGGTCTAATAATTTGCATAATAGCCCGATAGCTCCAGGGAGCCTCTGGGGCTCACCCAGAAAATGGCGTTTCATTGCATTCAACACTGGTTTTACTACCTTTTATCTTTTATGTACAGTATTTACCTATGTTTTGTATTGTTACAAATCCAAATATATGCTTCTATTTTGCAGCATTTGGAAATACTGTACTGTATAGCTTCCAAATGTCCGCTTTTGGATATCCAGGTTTCATTACATTCAATGCTGGTTTATGTACAGTATTTACATTAACAGATACTAGTTTGCTATCTTTTATCTTTTATGTACAGTATTTACCAATGTTTTATATTGTTACAAATCCAAATACTGTATATGCTTCTATTATTGCAACTTTTAGAAATATAGCTTCCAAATGTCTGGTTTTGGATGTCCATGTTGCAATTACCTTGGATATTCCACGAGCCAGAACTTGGCCACTTAAGAGAGGTTCAGGGAGCAAGGGCTCTGGAAAATTGTAACCTGGACATCCAAAACCGGACATTTGGAAGCTATATTTCCAAAAAGATACAAAATACAGTACAGTATTGTAATAATCTTATTGTATTTATTATCTACAAAATACCAAATTAAGCTGTAAAGTTGTTAGCTAATTCTAATTATGATGTAGCTATGTGAAGATTAATTGCATTTTTTTGTGCTTTTAGGATGGATTTCTTGCTGAAGAATTGGGAGAAGTCAAGCTGGTTCTAATTGTTCGCAATGACCTCAAGATGGGGAAGGGCAAAGTTGCAGCTCAGGTACAATATGTCAAGGATAACCTGCTTTGTACAGATCACTAATCTTACAGCTTAGGTACATCAGTGATAACCTTTTTTGTACTGATCAGTGCCCTTTAGTCCTTTGTAAGCTTTTGTTTCCAGGCTGGATGGTGCATCTCTGTATTGTGAGGGTATGCTGTATCACCTATATAACATGCCAGTAAAATGCAGGTGGGCCCTATCCAGTTTAAAAAGAAAAGCCCACGAAGGGGTGAAAAGCCAGCTCATTCTCCCAAGTGTTTCCAACATCACCAAACTACTGTACTAAATTACCTGAACCTAACCTACCTGAGGTCCCATGAAATGGGACATCACGTCAATTTAGCAACCCACTACCATATTTACTATACTGTATCAGGTTTTGGACTTTAAAGAAATTATGTTAGTCATGCTATGTACTATTCAGGAGAATGGGTTGGAAGGGCACTGATCAATACACAACAACTTAAAATATGGCCTAATTAAAAAAAAAACACAACCCTCAGAGCGCCTTTAGGTGCCATGCGCAGTGCAATGGTTAAGCTTGGGTTCTCTGCCACTACCTGGGTGTTTTATGAAGTCTCTGCCTTGTTATGGCTAGCAGCCAACCCATTGTTTTCAGTAAGAAAATGGCAATTCAGTACTTTTTCCAGTCTCTGAAATTTATTCCACTTTTCTGCTTTCACATTCATGACCTACGTGTATGTAACTGTGTAGAATTGGTCTTTGTAAGTGTGCTCTTACCTGTTTTCTATGGCCTAGAAAGACTCACAGGTCTTATTGAATTCTGAACTTATTAAGAATCACTGTGTTTTTTAAGATTCTGAATAATCACCATGCCAATTACAGGGGTACCTCAGTTTTCGTAGTTAATCTGTTCCCAGAGACGGTACGAATACCGAGACAAATCTTCCCATAAGAAATACAGTAATGTAAATTGAATTAATCCGTTCCACACACCCCAAAATATTAACTAAAAAATACATTTTATACAGAAAACTACTCATAGTACCTTACCTTTATGGAGGACGCTTGTTGGCATATGGAAGACGATGAGGAGGGGGGGGGGTGAGAGGTGCTAGTGTTTGGAAGGGAAGTCCTCTTCCATTATAACATCAGGCAGTAACATTTCTGGCGTACTCACTCTTATATTTTGCAGGCATACCACTAAGACCTGGTTGTGGCTCGCTGCTCTCTTTGTCTTACTAAGAATCTGTCTAAAGACACTTGTTTTTCCCTGTTTTAACAGTTGTCTGTGGTCAGACATCACATTGTCTCACTATGAATGATCTCTTGTTTTCCTCTATCGTCATCCTCACAACTATTTTCTTAGGTTGAGCTGACTTTCTTAGAACCCATGGTGTGATATATAATAAGAACTTTTATGTTCAGAAACGAAAAAAAACAAAAACAATGAAATTCTTCATAGAGAATTCAAGCGCGATCATCACTAGGCGGGAGACACTGGTAAACTGAAGCGCCAAGCTCGCGGTGAACACGTACGTGTACGAACAAACTCCGAGCACCTAGACAAACAACGAGTACTGAATCAAATTTTTTGGAGAAATTGAGTACGAGTACCAAAAAATACGAGAACCGAGGTTCCACTGTATTCAGTAAGTGATGTTGCGCCAGTCGCCAGTCTTGGCTCATATCTCTGGACAGTTTGTCTGCAGTTCAAGGACTGACTGGATTTTTTGGGTCAGTGATACTCTTGCCATTTTCAGGCATCAGTTGGCCCCAGTAATGTTTTCCTGACTCACCAATGTAGTGTTCTGGGGGAAGTTCCTAGTAACTCCCTGAAGCTATCATCCCAAGAGTGCTTCACACTAAAATGTCACATCAACTGTGGCTAGTTCTGTTTGGTTTACCTGTCCTCACAGAGGTGCAGAGAGCAGATGACAATCTGCTACCTCAACAGAAGAAGGTTTTAGAAAATCAGAGCAGTTTTACAAACCAGTGGAAGGTTTACAGAAAACAAAGTCCTGAAAAACTACCAAACAACTACCACAAATGAGTCACAGAACAAAATATCCATTCAAACAAGCTCTAAACGTGTTGGTAGTGACTTCACCACCAGGCAGCCTGGCTCCCAGCCAGCTTCCCATGTCAATTCTGTTCCTGATAATGGTGTCCCCACACTACCTTCTTGTCATGCCAGCTCACGGGCAAGCCCTGAAGCTTCAAGCTAAGTGCCGACCTTCCTTGGACTTGTTTGTCCTGTGGGGGCCATTTACTTTGTTGTATTGCTTCCAATTTTAAGGTTGCTTCACATGCATGTTTTGATTCTCTTTGTGCATTTCAGGGTTTTCTTTTTTTGTGGCCAAAAATACTGCCCCTGCATAGAGTGATCTTCTGTTATGAACCCAAGCAAGGCTCGTGGTGTCAACTCCCTATTCGCAATACTGTATAGTGGAACCTCGGTCTACGAATGTAATCCATTTCAAGAGTCGTCTCGTACGCCAAAGCAAATTTTCACCTAAACCCTTAAACTGAGCAAAACATCATGTGATGTCTTGAGTAACTGTCGATAAATTGTGCACGACATCATATGTTTGGGATTACCACGCAAGATTTAAAAGTCTCGCGGCTACACGGGGTTCACATCAGCTTCCTCAGGGAACTTGTAAAGAGACGCCATTGTTTTTTTAAATCGTGGGCAACATTCCCGGGTGTGAAAGCCTCAATACTGAGTGAGCCACCAAGGCTGGCGCATGCAGCATGAGCTCACAGCAGTGCTGTTCAGCTTGTGACCACAGCATTGCTTAAAAATGTCAAAAATATATGTAACTGGTACTATTTAGCAATGATAGTATTACAGAAGTCCCCCTGACTGATAAAAAATTACCAGGATTCTGAAAATAGCAGGATTGTTGTGATAATTTGAGCTGTGCGTTATATTGTGGGAGTAGTAATGTTGAGGGAGGGAAGGCTTTAGCGTCATCTGCCAAATCTGTGTGCCCACCTGTTACTGTCTGCACTCACCATACCAGCTTAGTGGTTCGCTATGGTGAACACAAATGTAGATATTACATTCTGATAATAGCAGGATTGTTGTGATAATTTGCACTGTGCATAGTATTGTGGGAGGAGTAATGTTGAGGGAGGGAGGGCTTTAGTGTCGTCCGCCGAATCTCTATAGCCACCTGTTACTGTCTGCACTCACCATACCAGCTTAGTGGTTTGCTATGGTGAACACAAATGTAGATACTTATATATAACATGTATAAATAGTGTAATAACAGCAAAAGGAGTATGTTGGGAGTATTGGTGTACAGTACCATTACATTCAATGCTGGGCTTTGGGGACTTCAGCTCTTGGGGATCCATGTCCTTGTTTCTCTCGATTGGTTATTGTAGTCCTCCAGTTGTTGATCTTGTCTGCTAGCCAGGAATACAGTGTTGCAGGTACTGTACTTTTTCTTGGAAAGGTCAACGATCAACATATCAAGGTCTCGGTTGTCTGCCTTGCAACACTAAAAGGATCAGTGGTTTTGGTTCATAACTTAAGATAACGTGCCATGTAATATTTACAGTGACAATATAATTTATGAAATATTAAATGTGTGTTAAATTTTCTCTTACTCTGTACTTGCATTTTTTAAATTAATTATCTTCATACTGTACTTGTTTATCTTTCCTGATCAGCAATCATTTTTCTGCAGTGTTCCCATGCAACTCTGAAAGCATACAAGCAAACAAAAAAGAAGAATCCCAGACTACTGAAAGCCTGGGAGATGAATGGACAGCCCAAGGTAAAGCTTTTCTCTTGTTCTTATATAAGTTGTACTACAGTATAAGTAAAATGATTGCCGAATGATTATAATAGAAGTGAAGGAGATAGGAATGAATCATAAGTGGGATACCACTATCCTGCTCATGGTTCATTGTGTGGGAAGTAAAGGTAACACCCATTCACCCACTCCTGGTTCATTGTGTGGGAAGTAAAGGTGACACCCATTCACCTGCTTGATGGGGTTCTGGGAGTTCTTCTACTCCCCCAAGCCCAGCCCGAGGCCAGGCTTGACTTGTGAGAGCTTGGTCCACTAGGCTGTTGCTTGGAGCAGCCTGCAGGCCCACATATCCACCACAGCCCAGTTGGTCTGGCTCTCCTTGGAAAAAATTACATAGTTTTCTATTGAAAATATCCATGGTTGTTCTAGCAATATTTCTTATACTCGCTGGGAGGATGTTGAACAATCATGGGGGCTCTGATGTTTATACAGTGTTCTCTGATTGTGCCTATGGGATCCCCTATTAGCACTATGGCACTCAAGATTCATTGTGTGGGAAGTAAAATAAAAAGGGACACCCATTCGCCCACTTATGGTTCATTGTGTGATCGCCGAGAAGAAAGATGAAGGTTGGACACCAACAAATCTGCCTCCCACACACCATACAAATGGCAATAGACATACGTCAAACTCCAGACATGTAAAGCAGAGAAGTTCGAGGCAGCAGTGTACACCACCTGGCCAATCTGCTGGAAGAGCTGGAGCCACTGAAAAGTGTCTTGAGTTCAGACACTAGGCTACAAGCACTGAAAACCAAGACTGGGCAGGCCACAAAGACCTCCCTCTCTGAGTACGACTCCAGACCGGTCAACACCCGGAGCAGCAACTGAACCGAGGGGAAAGAGGTAAATGCACCTCCACCTTGACCAGGCCAGTCAAAAGGCATCCACCATGAAAGCTTCACAATCAGGAAACTGAACCACATAAGAGGAAAGGAGCCGATTACACACTGCACAAAAAGGTCCACCTCCAGGAGACCGAATTTCCTGCAAAATCAATGGAAGGATTCGTTGTCAACAGTCCACTCCATAAAGACATGCCAAAAGCGAGACAAGCTATCCACGAGAACGTTGGACACATCCCACACATGAACTGCATGGGAAACCAAACCCCAAGAAGCCAAAAGTTGAGCCACATGGTGTGTCTAGCTACATAGGGGAATGGACTGAAGTCTCTGTTCAGTTCAGGCAATGAACTACCAGGGAACAATCGGAGTGAAGTCAGAATACTGTACTGAGCCTGGAGGAAACTGAATCCTCCTCAAAGCATGCTTCAACTTAAACACAACACTGCACTCAAAGGAACAGACCTGACCACCGACCTTGTATGGCCTTGTTAAGCACTGGTCATGAGGCCCTACCCCAGAGGTGAGGGAAGGATGGCACCATGGAACTTAAACCTTAAAAAAAAGACGGAAGGGGAAGAGCTGACAAATTGACAAGAGCTGACAAGAGCAGATATCCTAGCTGACCTAGGATATCTGATCACCCAATAGTGACGGAACCACATCTAGTTTGATAACCAATGTGCATGTAGTAACTACAAACCACTTCCCATTTTATAATAAAACTTGCTCCTCCATTTTAATGTTTAAACTTGTTTAATGACCAAACCACACATCAGAAGATGGAGAAAACAACAACATTTTAGTCAGTCATGGACCATTATCAACACGTCTTGATAGTGGTCCAGGACGGACCGAAATGTCATCATTTCTTCATCTTCTGATGCGTGGTTTGGTCATCATATTTTCAGCCATGTTATTATGCCTCATCTTCTGCTTTAGACTTTTTTTATCATTTCCTATAGGTGGTATTGAAAGTAGATGATGAACCCTCCATGATGGATCTAGCTTCACTGGCCAGAGATGCTGGGTTGACTGTGAGTATCATTCAGGATGCTGGCCGTACACAAATTGCTGCTGGGTCACGTACTGTCCTTGGCGTTGGGCCAGGTTCTAAAGAACTAGTCGACACAGTAACTGGACATCTCAAACTTTATTAAATTTTAGGGATTAATGTTGATTTTTTAAAATATATTTAATGTTACAAATTTTCGGTAATAGGATATTATTATACTGTATCTCAACCTTTGATTCTGTACAAAAAGCAGCTCATTGCATCCTAAAGAATTCTGAACAGTTTTGATTTATTTCATCTTCATTAAAATATAATCCATTAACTCTTTGTTTTAATAGCTTTTTTTTAGTATTGTATTTATAATTGGTACAAGTGAAAATTTAATTTTCCCACGGTTAACCCTTTGACTGCGGCTCATCAGTTTCTGCCCCAGAAACGATTCTGGGAATTGTACAATTCCTAGATTTAAATGTGGCTAAAATAAAAAATAAAATTATTGATTACATGTTTTTACATCTACAGTATGAAAATAACCTGCATCACTATGGAGTCGGGGTCACTTCCTTCAATATGTCCAGTATTACCTAAATGATAGACATATTTTCTGTGAATGATGCTGCTGCTTCCACACTGCAGTTGTAGTTGCATTAACACTGCAGTTATTGAGTCCATAAACACCTGAGGGAAATTTTACCCACTATATCAACATTATTATCTAAGGGATGTATTATTTCAAAATCATATCAATTTCATATCAAAATCACTACAGATTCATTATATCCTACAGCTGGATCCTACATGACAATGCCACTATGATCATGTACACAATAGGGCCCATGGTGCCTACGTGACTTTGTGCATGATTTCTCAAGGATCTAGAAGCTTTGAGAAGAATATCTTGATTAAAAAAAATAATTGGAACAATCAATCGATTTCTGGTGAGGATCAAGTCAAATCCTTAATAAGAATTAATAGTACTATCCAGCAATACCAATAATCTATAAATCTTGTATCTAATTATATTATTACCAGTCTCCGTGGTGTAGTGGTAAGATACGCGCCTGGCATTCCGCGAGTGCTTTGTCATGGGTTCGTATTCTGGCCGGGGAGGATTTACTGGGCGCAAATCCTTAACTGTAGTCTCTGTTTAACTCAACAGTAAAATGGGTATTTGGTTGTAAAAACGATTCTTCACGGCAGGGATCGTATTCCAGGGACCTGCCCGAAACGCTACGCATACTAGTGGCTGTACAAGAATGTAACAACTCTTGTATATATCTCAAAAAAAAATATATATATATATATAATCACATCTTATCTCAATAATATGTCTAAACAGTAAAAATAAGCAATATATATTCACTGAAAGCTACCTTGCTCAGGGATCAACGGAGGGGGGGGGGGGACGATGACTGGAAGAGAATCGCCCACCACGGCACGAGGCCAGAACGTATGTTTACAGAGTGAATATGTGACGGTGCCTTGCGAACATTTTCAGTAAAGGATACCACACTAACTTATCATTAAGTTAGTGTGGTATCCTTTACTGAAAATGTTCGCAAGGCACCATCATATATATATATATATATATATATATATATATATATATATATATTGTTACGGCCCTCTCGGGACGCAACGGGGTTCTTACTCTGATGTTGTTAGAGGAAGATATATATCCGTTCCCAAGCCAGTAGTGGCTATCAAGGGATGTGATCTGTGACGCAAGTAACTTAAAGGGAGTAGGGAAAGAAAGTTAAGAACTTAATATTATAATTATCACCATCACCAATTAAATATATAAAATCAAAGAGTGCACAGGGGGAGGGGTATTAACACTATACAAGGGGATTATTCACAATATAGTCTTCTGCTGAAGACTCTGGATCCAGAAGCTAGGTGCCGAGTCCTCGGTGCTTTCTTCGTGGCCTCACAACGTGTCCTCTGAGAATGCCGAGCCTACCCTGGCCACAGGTCAGCCAAAACACAGGTCCACTGGGGGCACCGCCGTGGAGGCCGTCAACCACAAATCCAGCCAGTCTGCTGGCAGGTTCCGGACCCGCAACGCTGGTCAGGCCACTCCACGGACGATATTAGGGTAAACACCCTAGACAGGAGTCTCGTGTGATATCACTAATCACCCTCCTGTCCTCAATACCCCAGTGGATAATCGTCTCCAACAGTCAGTCCCGGGTAATCCTTTTACTGCCACTCCACTGGCAGGCTAACACACCACAGTGTTCTTCCGGGGGGACGACTTCACAACGGCTGCAACAAGGTACAAGGTATGGAGACTGGCTGCCTCGGGTAGACTGACTCGACTCCCATCACAGTAGTCCCAGGTCGGCTCTGTAAGCAGACACGTCATGAATGACTGGGACACACTAAAACACCTCACTTACGGGCTCGGGCACAAACACCTGACGTATCCAGTCCATAGATGGCGCTGTCGTCGGAGCACCACCTCACCAGAGGTCAGGAGCGGCTGTGTTGTGAGCTGCACAGGACTGGAAACTGGCCCTTGTGGCTGGTACACCTTGTCCTCACCAGGTGTCATCGTCCGTTTGGCGGGGGTTTCGGGAGCTGACCCACAGATGGCGTGGTCGTTACTGCTCCCTGCTCGGACGCTGGATCCGGGTTCGTAACATACATACATATATATATATATATATATAATATAAAAAACATGACTTTTGGTGAACTCCTCTTCCAGCTGAACACTAATGCAAGAGCATTAGTAAGAGAGATAGAAGCCCTAAATCAGAAAGTAGTAAACACGGAATATGCTGTCATATTCAATGAGACATTCATAAAAGAAAACCTGCTGCCAGTATACACCAATATATATATATACAGTATATATATGCAGAAAAACCACATGTGAAAAATAGAGAATGCTTAACCCATTTTTGGCTACATCGCCTTCATCAGAGCAAAGTAGAATGAAGCATTCTACTTTACTCTGATGAAGGGGATGTAGCCGAAAACGCGTTGGGCATTCTCTGTTTTCCACACGTGGTTTTTCCGCATACTTGGATCAGTGTTTTTGTGATCATTATTGCATGCATATATATATATATATACTATATATATATAATGAAAAATTCCTAGTACTTCATCTAAATAAGAGTGTAGAGTGGAGAGAGTGGAGCACACCAAGTGATGCAGCCTCTACAATCAACTTTATCTTATCCTACTGCAAACGCAACTAAAGACATAATCAACTAGCAAAGCTACTGAAATATTAAACAGCAAAGCTGTGACATAAAATATAGTGCCTGAGCTCTATAAGAGAGGTTATCAAATCTGGCAACTTGTCAGACGGCATCAGCTTTCAGAATACAGTAGATTACATAAGTATATTGAGTAATTGTAGTGTTGATTGCCCAATTGCATGCTTGTACAGTATAAACTTAATCTATCCAATAAGTCTGTTTGCCGTTACAGTGTGGGGCGACACCCCAGATTTCAGTAAGTTTTGATTAATCTTTCGGCCATTGAATCTTTAAGTTATCTGGACACTCATTAATTATTCCACCTCAGTCAAGTCAAGCTCGACAATCTTTTCATATAAATTGAATATATCTATATATAATTAATAATGTACATTAAGTTAACAATTGCTTACTTAGTTATCTTTAATTTATCATAAGTTTATCATATTGAATATAATCCTTTAAACCAAGATGGCTATATCAGTACACTTAGATCATATTATGTTCCTTTAATAAATGGAATGCATTTGGAAGTGATGTGGTGGAGGCGGACTCCATACACAGTTTTAAGTGTAGATATGATAGCGCCCACTAGGCTCAGGAACCTGTACACCTGTTGATTGACGGTTGAGAGGCGGAACCAAAGCTCAACCCCCCATAAGCACAACTAGGCGAGTACACAGGACCCCCACCCGTCCACATCCCAACCCCTAACCCATCCTCCCCTCCACTTGCCCACACCTCAACCCCACCCTTACCACCTGCCCACACAGGGCCCCAGCTTGCGTGGACACCCCCCCCCCCCCCGTCGTCAGAGGATACTCAAAAAATCCAAACCCTGACCCTTCCCCAAACATGACCCCAACCAGTTGGGACATAACACCATCCCGCGCTTACCTTCTCCTGGCCGATAACATGAAACTCACCAGAAGGAACAGACCTGCCTATTTCCTGGAAGATCTGAACGCAAAACAACCTTGGGACACGGAAGAACAAATCGGGCAAGAGAAGCCACTCACGATGAGTACAGGGGCCTGTGGCTGAGTGTATAGCGCTTAGGCGATCGTAATCCTTATGTCCGGGTTCAATCCCAGCGCCGGCGGATCGAACAAAAAAAAAAATTAATTTGTGGAAAAAATGAATTTGTTAGTAGTTAGTAACAGTTGAGAGGCGGGCCGAAAGAGCAGAGCTCAACCCCACAAGCACAACTAGGTGAATACAATACGATAAGGGACGGAACCCATCTGGGCCCAGATTTCCAAACTTATGGGCCCAATGGCAGGGCCATAGTGGCAAACCAGACAATGCTGTCAAACAACGACCATTTCCTAAACGCCCACACAGAAAGAGGCTCAGTAAACACAAGTGACCATTTACCAATAATAAATAATAAACTCACTTCACACATTCTCTTAAGAACATATTAACAAAGGCAACTGCAGAAGGCCTATTGGCTCATACGAGGCAGATCCTATCTATAACCACCCAATCCCACTCATATACATGTCCAACCCGCGCTTGAAACAATCGAGACACCCCACATGATAGAGGTTTACAAGTGGATGAATGGACACAACAAAGGGGATATTAATAGGGTATTAAAAGTATCAACACGAAACAATGGGTATAAATTTGATAAATTTAGATTTAGGAAAGACTTGGGTAAATACTGGTTCGGTAACAGGGTTGTTGATTTGTGGAACCAATTACCGCGTAAAGTGGTGGAGGTGGGGTTCCTCTATTGTTTCAAGCGCGGGTTGTACATGTATATGAGTGGGATTGGGTGGTTATAGATAGGTGCTGCCTCGTATGGGCCTAGAGGTCTTCTGCAGTTGCCTATGTTCTTATGTTCTAAAGCTTAAAGCTTCTTGGTAGGGTTTTGAAATGGTCAAAGGATTGGCAGATGCAGTTTAATGCTGATAAATGTAAAGTTCTGAGGTTAGGTAATGATAAGGTTACAAGATACGAGCTAGATGGTGTTGAGATTGCGAAGTCGAATTGCGAAAGGGATCTGGGAGTTATGATTAGTAAGAATTTAAAACAAAAGGATCAATGCATAAATGTTCGTAATAAGGCAAATCGGACACTTGGATTTATTAATCGCAGCGTTAGTAACAAGACACCTAGTGTGGTTCTCAAGCTATATCTTGCTCTAGTTAGGCCCCATTTAGATTATGCAGTTCAGTTTTGGTTGCCATATTATAGAATGGATATAAATTCACTTGAACGTGTCCAGCGTAGGATGACTAAGTTAATTCCCCAAATTAGAAATCTTTCATATGAAGAAAGATTAACAAAGCTTAAGTTGCATTCACTGGAAAGGCGAAGAGTTAGGGGTGACATGATAGAGGTTTACAAGTGGATGAATGGACATAAAGGGGATATTAATAGGGTATTAAAAGTATCATCCCAAGACAGAACACGAAACAATGGGTATAAATTGGATAAGTTTAAATTTAGGAAAGACTTGGGTAAATACTGGTTCAGTAACAGGGTTGTTGATTTGTGGAACCAATTGCCGCGTAACATTGTGGAGGTGGGGTCCCTCGATTGTTTCAAGCATGGGTTGGACATGTATATGAGTGGGATTGGGTGGTTATAAATAGGAGCTGCCTCGTATTGGCCAACAGGCCTTCTGCAGTTGCCTTTGTTCTTATGTTCTTAAATTTCATTCAATGGAAAGGCGAAGAGTTAGGGGTGACATGCTAGAGGTTTACAAGTGGACGAATGGACATTACAGAAGAGATATTAATTGGATATTAAAAGTATCAACGCAAGACAGATCACGAAACAATGGGTATAAATTGGATAAGTTTAGATTTAGAAAATACTGGTTCGTTAACAGGGTTATTGATTTGTGGAACCAATTACCGCGTAACTTGGTGGAGGTGGGGTCCCTCGATTGTTTCAAACGTGGGTTGGACATTGTTACGGCCCTCTCGGGACGCAACGGGGTCCTTACTCTGATGTTGTTAGAGGAAGATATATGTATCCGTTCCCGAGCCAGTAGTGGCTATCAAGGGATGAGATCCGTGACGCAAGTAACTTAAAGGGAGTAGGGAAAGAAAGCCAAGAACTTAATATTATAATTATGACCATCACCGATTAAATATATAAAAAGCAAAAAGTGCACAGGGGGAGGGTATTAACACTATACAAGGGGATTAATCCATAATCGTTGTCTTCTGCTGAAGACGCTGGTGCCACAACTCTCAGTGCCGAGTCCTTGGTGCTTCTTTGTGGCCACACAACGAAATATCCAAAGAAGTTGAGCCTACCCTGGCCACAGGTCAGCCAAAACACAGGTCCACTGGGGGCACCGTCGTGGAGGCCGTCAACCACACGTCCAGCTGGTCTGCTGGCAGGTACTGAGCCACCAAGGCTGGTACGGCCACTCCACGAACGATATAAGGGGTACGCCCTAGACAGGAGTCTCGTGATATCACAAATCACCCTCCTGTCCTCAATACCCCAGTGGATGATCGTCTCCAACAGTCGGTCCCGGGTAAATCCTCTTACTGCCACTCCACTGGCAGGCTAACACATCACAGTGTTCTTCCGGGAGGACGACTTCACAACAGCTGCAGCAACGTTCAAGGTATGGAGACTGGCTGCCTCGGGTAGACTGACTCAACCTTCAACACAGTGGTCCCAGGTCGGCTCTGTAAGCAGACACGTCATCAATAACCGGGACACTAATAAACCTCACTTACGGGCTCGGGCACAAACACCTGACGTATCCAGCCCACAGATGGCGCTGTCGTCGGAGCACCACCTCACCAGAGGTCAGGAGCGGCTGTGTTGTGAGCTGCACAGGACTGGAAACTGGCCCTTGTGGCCGATATTCGCCGTCCTCATCCGGTGTCGTCGTTCGTTTGGCGGGGGTTTCGGGAGCTGACCCACAGATGGCGTAATCGTTACTACTCCGTGCTCGGATGCTGGATCCGGGTTCGTAACAGACATGTATATGAGTGGGATTGGGTGGTTATAAATAGGAGCTGCCTCATATGGGTCAATAGGCCTTCTTCTGTTACCTTTGTTCTTATGTTCTTATTTTCAAGGTTATAATCAACTTCTTTGAAGGCAGATTCTTTTGCTAACTCATCAGATCATGCATTAAGAGGCCAAAATGAGATGGAATCCACCTGAAATGGACTTTATTACCATCATTAATCATTTTTGCTATACTTGGGTCTAGACTGTCTAATCAGACAGTCATAGTGAGAGTTTGATACTTGATACTTTGATACTTGTTTTTTGATACAGTACCCCATGAAAGACTAATTAAAAAGATAGAGGCCCATGGTATTGGGGGTTCTATATTAAGTTCGATTAGGACATGGTTATACCAAAGAAAACAGAGTTAGTATAAATGGGGTTAAGTCAGACTGGGAAAATGTAAGTAGAGCCAAGGCTCTGTCCTGGGACCTCTGTTGTTTATAATAAACATAAATGATTGCAGTTACCTTTGCTCTTATGTTGACCAGAACACACTTTGTTCTTATGTTCAAACACTAGTATGTAATAGTTGTCTTAAAGAGTTGAGCGCAATTAAGGATAATCAAAAATAATAAAATTGCTCTATTGGTGACATTCAAATTACTTTGGAAATTCCCGCCAGATAATCGGCCATGCTCTACAATATAGTTATATTATTGATATATGCTCAACTTAAAATAAATAATGTAGTATAGATTTGACAGAATTAAATTTTAATAGTAAATAAAATGTTTATAGAGTCATAAGGTTCGAAGAAATAAGTAGAATTAATTACAGAAGAGAATAAGAAGCGGAGGAAATATGGAGCGCGAGACGGAACTAAAGCGACGGCCAGGACGACTCTCGCGTTCCTGCCGCGCGAGAGCGTAATGTGAGAGTGTAAACAACGTTTGGAAATGGCCACAGCAGCTTATAATTATGTTGTTACCGCCCACAAACCCACCGCCGTCACAGCATGTGCTACGGGTAAGTGTTTGTGGGAGAGTGTGGGGCGGGGGGCAGGTGCCAGGAGAAGAAATATGTTCAGGTGTTTGAGCAGTTACGGAGAGGTGCATGTGCTGTAGCTTGCAACAACAACCTGCTCAATCCTGAAGTTTTTCATAATTGCTGTGGTTGTGCTGCAGGCATCAACCCGGAGCTTCTCGTTGCTCTTTTATTCACCTTTTTTTTTTAAGTGCAGGAAACTTTTAGGATACTTAGGTGTTAACGGGGGGGGGGAGGCCTTCACTGCCGGTCTCCATCGCTTTGATAATCTCCAGCTCTTATTTATGGTCTCCATCATACTCAATATAGCTTTTCTCGCCACACTCATTCTTAATCGTAAATAGTCTCCACCATACATGTTTTACTCGCCAGTCATTGACTTGGCCACACTCTTTCCTCCTTGTCTTGGCCACACTCTTTCCTCCTTGTCTTGGCCACACTGGCTCTGTTATAGCCACCACTATAACACTCTTCATTGCCTCGGTGTCGACGATTCATGGCCACCGTCGTCATAGTCATCATAGCCTCATCCATACTGGTTCTTTTTTGTCACAATTGGCATGGACTCATCTCCACTGACTCTTACTTAAGAAGAAGAAGTCCTATTGGCCCATACGAGGCAGCACCTATCTATAACCACCGAATCCCACTCATATACATGTCCAACCCATCGAAAACCCAAACAATCGAGAGACCCCACCTCCACCACATTACGCGGTAATTGGTTCCACAAATCAACAACCCTGTTACGGAACCAGTATTTACCCAAGTCTTTCCTAAATCTAAACTTATCCAATTTATACCCATTGTTTCGTGTTCTGTCTTGTGTTGATACTTTTAATACCCTATTAATATACCCTTTGTTATGTCCATTCATCCACTTGTAAACCTCTATCATGTCACCCCTAACTCTTCGCCTTTCCAGTGAATGCAAGTTAAGCTTTGTTAATCTTTCTTCATATGAAAGATTTCTAATTTGGGGAATTAACTTAGTCATCCTACGCAGGGCACGTTCAAGTGAATTTATATCCATTCTATAGTACGGCGACCAAAACTGGACTGCATAATCTAAATGGGGCCTAACCAGAGCTAGATATGATCCAAAGCGGATAACAAATTATCTGAAGAACCTTATAGGTAAAAAGAGCATGGTACAAAAGGATTAAGAATGGGGAAGTTAGTTTAGAACAAGGAATTCGTACAACTGGTTAGAAATGTTAAAAAAAAGAGATAAGGAAAGCAAAAAGAAACTACGAAGTTCGCATAGCAGGGCAAGCGAAGACAAATCCTAAAGGGTTTTTTCAGTTATATCGAACTAAGACTAGGGAAAGGATAGGTCCATTAAAAACTGAGACAGGACACATAATGGATAATGACGAGGAGATGAGTAGTATTTTTAGTAAATATTTTATATCTGTATTTACTAAAGAGGAACTTAACAATATGCCTTCAGCCGAACAAGTATATGTGGGTGGGGACGAGGACAGGTTGAGTATTTTAGCAGTTACCAGGGAGGACGTAATTAAACAAATAGTAAAACTAAAACCAAACAAATCCCCAGGGCCGGATGAAGTGTTTGTCAGGGTGCTTAAAGACTGCAAAGAGGAGCTTTCCGAGCCACTTTCTACCATATTTAATAAATCAATAGAGTTAGGTAGAGGGCCAGAGTCATGGAAGGTAGGTAATGTGGTACCAATTTTTAAGAAAGGAGATAATCACTTGCGTCAAACAATCGGCCAATTAGCCTAATGTCTATTGTGGGAAAGTTACTTGAATCGATAATTGCAAATACAATTCGTCTTCATCTTGAAAAACATAAATTAATAAATGAGTCGCAACATGGTTTTACAAATGGCCGTTCATGTTTAACAAATTTGCTCCTTTTATTCCAGCATAGTTGAGGCAGTTGATAGTGGTAAAGATTGTGATGTGTACCTTGACTTTAGCAAAGCTTTTGATACAGTGCCACATGAAAGACTGATTAAAAAAATAGAGGCTCATGGTATTGGGGGTGCTATATTAAGTTGGATTAGGGCATGGCTATTCCAAAGGAAACAGTTAGTATAAATGGGGGATAAATGGGGTCAGAGTGGGATGATAATGTTAGTGGAGTACCTCAGGGCTCTGTCCTGGGACCTCTATTGTTTATAATATATATAAATGATTTAGATTCAGGCTTGAGTAGCAACATCTGCAAATTTGCAGATGATACAAAAATCGGTAGGTAATTAACACGGAAGAAGACTCACTATCATAAGAACATAAGAACATAAGAACAAAGGTAACTGCAGAAGGCCTATTGGCCCATACGAGGCAGCTCCTATTCTATAACCACCCAATCCCACTCATATACTTGTCCAACCCGTGCTTGAAACAATCGAGGGACCCCACCTCCACAATGTTACGCGGCAATTGGTTCCACAAATCAACAACCCTGTTACTGAACCAGTATTTACCCAAGTCTTTCCTAAATCTAAACTTATCCAATTTATATCCATTGTTTCGTGTTCTGTCCTGTGTTGATACTTTTAATACCCTATTAATATCCCCCCGGTTATGTCCATTAATCCACTTGTAAACCTCTATCATGTCACCCCTAACTCTTCGCCTTTCCAGTGAATGCAACTTAAGCTTTGTTAATCTTTCTTCATATGAAAGATTTCTAATTTGGGGAATTAACTTAGTCATCCTACGCTGGACACGTTCAAGTGAATTTATATCCATTCTATAATATGGCGACCAAAACTGAACTGCATAATCTAAATGGGGCCTAACTAGAGCAAGATATAGCTTGAGAACCACACCAGGTGTCTTGTTACTAACGCTGCGATTAATAAATCCAAGTGTCCGATTTGCCTTATTACGAACATTTATGCATTGATCCTTTTGTTTTAAATTCTTACTAATCATAACTCCCAGATCCCTTTCGCAATCCGACTTCGCAATCACAACACCATCTAGCTCGTATCTTGTAACTCTATCATCATTACCTAACCTCAGAACTTTACATTTATCAGCATTAAACTGCATCTGCCAATCCTTTGACCATTTCAAAACCCTATCTAGATCAACTTGAAGTGATAGTGAGTCCTCCTCCGAATTAATTTCCCTACCGATTTTCGGTAGGGAAACCGAAAATTTTCGGTAGGGAAACCGAACTATCGGCCCTGGGTACGGTGAATCCCGTCACTGCCACTCCTCAGGCAGACAGTTGAACACACTACAGTTCTCGTCCGGCGGCGGCTCACTGCTTCTCTAAAGCAGACTGGTGTAGAGACCTTGGCTGCCTAGGGTAGACTGACTTTTCGTACATCACAGCAGCCCTACATTGACTATGAATACAGACATGTCATAAGTACAATGGGACCACTAGGACATGTCACTTCCTAGCTGACATAGACGTACACCCTGTCGCTCAATAGATGGCACTGCTTTTCTAAGCGTCACCTCACCAGAGGTCAGCACCAGCTACCTCATGAGCCGACTAGGACAGGAATCCAGCGCCTATTGCCGGTATATTCCCGTCATCACTAGATGGAGTTGTCCATGTTGTGGGGGTTTTCGGGAGCGGACTCACAGATGGCGTTGACGTCACTGCTCCGAGTTCCGACTGTGGACTTGGGTTCGTAACATTCTTCAGCTATATCTTGATCTGGTTAGGCCCCATTTAGATTATGCAGTTCAGTTTTGGTCGACCATACTATAGAATGGATATAAATTCACTTGAACGTGTCCAGCGTAGGATGACTAAGTTAATTCCCCAAATTAGAAATCTTTCATATGAAGAAAGATTAACAAAGCTTAACTTGCATTCACTGGAAAGGCGAAGAGTTAGGGGTTACATGATAGAGGTTTACAAGTGGATGAATGGACATAACAAAGGGGATATTAATAGGGCATTAAAAGTATCAACACAAGACAGAATACGAAACAATGGGTATAAATTGGATAAGTTTAGATTTAGGAAAGACTTGGGTAAATACTGGTTCGGTAACAGGGTTGATGATTTGTGGAACCAATTACCGCGTAACGTGGTGGAGGTGGGGTCCCTCGATTGTTTCAAGCGCGGGTTGGACATGTATATGAGTGGGATTGGGTGGTTTTAGATAGGAGCTGCCTCGTATGGGCCAATAGGCCTTCTGTAGTTCCATCTCTTTTTTTTCTTCCTCGTCATTCTATACATTTTCCTCTTTTTCTCTTTCCTCCTCTTCTTCCCCTTCCTCCTCATCCTCCTCCTCTTCCTCTTCCTGTGCCGTCTCTTCTTCCTGTTCTTGCAGCTACTGTAACAGATCCCATTTATCATTAGTATGATATTTGCAGGCCACCTGACATCACCTACAGACCTCAACCTTGTAGTTGCTCGCAACAACAGGGTCGAGCTTCATCTGGTAACACCTGAAGGACTCAGACCTCTCAAGGAACTCACTATATATGGCAAGATAGCTTGCATGCACCTCTTCACTCCAATGGTAAGAATTTTGTTTTGTGAATCTGGTACACCTGGTGTAATAAAAATATATAATGTGATGAGTAATATACATGTCATAATTGAATGTAATTTTCAACTGTATTCATACATTCTTTTGTTAAGAAATATATCTTAGTCAATTAATTTTACATTTTAACATTTCAGAATGAAGCTAAAGACTCGCTGTTCATTTTGACTACAAGATACTGTGCTATGATTTTAGAGTGTGTGGGTGATGGAGATCACCTTGAAATTCTCACTCGTGCCCATGGAAATGTGTCTGATAAAATTGGTGAGTTGTGTGTTCTGTGTTTAGATTACTTCATATGTAGTGCTAGTCTGTATTGAGTACATATTCCTACAGTATTGTAGGAAAATTACTTGAATTGAAAAAGCGCCATTTGTTTACATCTTGAAAACCCAGAATAACTCGGATTAAGATTAAGCAGTTTATTGAAGAATTGTAATATTCTGTATCTTGATTTCAAGAAAACCTTTGATGCTGTGCCTCACAATGGACATATTAGGAAAGGTCATGCAAACGAGCATGATGTCATGCTCGTTTGCTAATTTTCGCTTGGGGAGTTCTGTCCACTCGTTAGACTTTTGGTAGAAATACAGGGTTTGTTTTGAGGCGCCTACCTTTCTGATGCCAAACCTGGTCGATGGCAGACATAGAATGCTCCCATCCACATGGGGGGGGTTTCTATAGGCCATTGCTCCTCATGCCTCTCTGAGGGGGGCCAGGTTCTGGCTCGTGGTCCCCAGTAGGCAAGAACTCCGGGGAGTTCTCTGGGTCTCACTCAGGAAATGTCATTTCGTTACAGTCAACGCTGGTTTTATCTTATATGATGGACATTTGTGTCCTTTACAATATGTATGCAGTAGAATGTTCATAATGTTCTATGGAACTGTGATACATGTGTCAGTAATGTGTCCACAACAAATGTTCATAGGCACAATATTAATATTGTCCATTGGTTCAATATTCAATATATTTACAATATGTACACTTTCACACACTACCTATAGTTACACACTCAGTACTTCAGAAGTGAGTGATAATCAAAGCAGTAGTCCATAGTTCACAGTGCGAATTCGCACTCGATGCACCAGGTACAAACAGATTTTCACTTCCTGTTTCTTCGTTCTGTGTGCTTGCAAATAACGCACTCACTTACACCCTTGGCTTTAGTACATGTAGGTGTTATGTAGCTAAGCTCGTGAAGTGTAGGGTAGTCTTGAAAAGATTATAGGAATAAATCAATTTGTAAGGTAGTCTTGAAAATATCACTTTGTAAGGTATTCTGGAAGAGATTCAGGTATTCTGGAAGAGATTCAGCAATTCTTGAAAAGATTGCTTTGTAAGATAGGATTGAAAAAATCCAGGTATTCTTGGAAAGATCCAGGAAAATCTCAATGACAAAATTCTGTCTTGGTATCACTCATATCTTCACATGTATGTGAGGAAAGTGGGTGTATCTATAAAAATTGGAAATGACAAGGGTATGCATGGGTGGCTCTCAGCTACTACTGGGTTATACTGGATATGCTCACTGTATCGTCCTCATCGGTGCTATATCACTTATATCTGACCTTTGTGATAGGTCCTTATTGTGTCTAGCTTCATCAATATCATGATCCTTATGTTCTTCAAACAATAAGGTCTGAATTTCACCAACAGAGAGCAATCTTTCAAAACCGCGTCTGACGGGTTGGGAGCCAGAGGCGTGTGCGCCACCCATAGTTGCTCACTCGGAATGGATACAGCCAGCAGCCCTAGGGCATTCTTGAATTTTTTCCAAGATGGCTGCCTCTCACTGGAGGTCCCAGGAGTCCTTTTCGCACCCAACCAACTGTGCTCATGTTTTGAATGGGTACGAAATCTTAAACTGGTGTTTTCTCAGCGGGCGCAGATTTAGGCAAATGAGTTTTCTCAGCCAGAAAAAACTCAGCTTGGTGGGTATGTGGGCCTGCGGGCCGCTCCAAGCAACTGCCTAGTGGACCAAACTCTCACAGGTCAAGCTTGGCCTCGGGCCGGGCTTGGGGAGTAGAAGAACTCCCAGAACCCCATCAACCAGGCCGCATAGTGGTTAATGATTATGATGTGTGTGTGGAAGAGGAATGTGTTGCAGGAGTCATGCACTAGACCAATACTATCCAGGACTGTAGAGTACATAATGGTGTGTTGACCAAAAAGCATTCAAGTAGTAAAGAATAAAAAATAATTCTAATGTTATTTGACAGTATGTAATATAGTTCTAAGACATACTGTATGTTGTAAGATAATGTTCAAACTTGTTCATATACTGTATTTATGAATAATCTGATTGTTTTCATAAGTTTTTCAACTGTAAAATTTAAGACAAACATTTTCAGCATTAAGTTATGTAATATTAAGAGTCTGTAGATTTGTTTAAGGATTGGAAGAGTGGAAGATACTAGCTGGTTGGCTGTATTGTTGCACATTGTTTTAAAATATTATTAAATAACTGGTATTTCTCTAATCCTTTACCAGGTAAGCCATGCGAGACGGGAATGATAGCCATTGTTGATCCTCAAGCTCGGTGCATTGTCTTGCGGCTCTATGAAGGTCTTATTAAAGTTATTCCTCTCGACAAAGACAACAACGAACTAAAGGCTTATAATATTCGGTAAGCTTTTACACATACAGTATACTCAAACTTCTGTGTCACCCTCATTTCATTCCCAGGTAAACACAGCTCTTATAACACACCTATACCCATGGGGCTTGGAAGAAATAAAGTGGTTGGACCTGATGGAGTTTCACCTTGGGTGCTGCGAGAATGTGCAACCGAGCTGAGCAGTCCACTTCAATTAATATTCCAGACATCCTCGTGCGCAGGAATTGCACGGCAGATATATGGAGAAAGGCAAACATAGTACCAGTCTATAAAAATGGTTGTTGAGAGGAACCTCTAAATTATAGACCTGTATCATAACAAGCTTGAACACCTAGGGAGTAATGACATAATAACTGACAGACAGTATGGTTTTCGAATAGGAAGATCCTGTGTAACAAATCTGCTTAGTTTTTATGATAGAGCCACAGAGATAGATACTACAGGAAAGAGGTGGTTGGGTTGACTGTGTCTAGACCTAAAAAAAGGCTTTTGAAAAGAATCCCACACAAGAGGCTGTTCTTGAAACTGGAACATGCTGGAGGGGTGACGAGGAGACTTCTGACATGAATGAAACATTTTCTAACTGACAGACAGATAAGGGCAGTACCAGTAATTGGAAACAATGTATCTCACTGGAGGAGTGTTACTAGCGGAGTACCACAGGGTTCAGTTCTTGCACCAGTAATGTTCATCGTCTACATAAATGATCTACCAGAAAAAATATAGTAATGTAGTGTACTATAGTAATGTGTTTGCAGATGATGCTAAGACACTGGGTAAGACGATTGCATAGGAGATGCATAGACGATTTTATAGACGAGTGTAATGCCATTCAAATTGATGTAGATAAAATAAGTACTTGGAGCAAAAAGTGGCAAATGGAATTCAATGTGAATAAATGCTGTGTTATGGAATGCGGAATCGGAGAAAATAGACCACACACAACTTAATGTGGAAATGAGAGCACATTAAAGGGGTGGTTAACCACTGCACTGCTCTGCTGACTTCTAAAATTGTTAAATGCCCTTCCCTGATGACATATATGTCGAAATAAAATATAAATTGTACTTACTTTGGCCGCATTGGGGTCCAGAAAATGGCGTGTGATGTCACGGTTTGGTGGCCGCTTGTGGCGTAGACTCCCAGAGCCAGTCGCGCGCCAGCTTCAACAAGCGCAAGTTGCCACAAATATCTTTTTATTCATTTTTCCACATAATTACAAATGCATTTATTTTTTTTCTGGCTAATCCTATGTTTATTGAACATGTTCACAATATTCTGGCAGTAGAACATCCGTACTATTCCAAGACACTGTGTTACATGTATCACAAATGTGTCCACAAACATTGATTATACAGTGGGGCCTCGACTTACGATTTTAATTAGTTCCCAGAGACGGATCCTAAGTCGAAATTAATTTTCCCATAAGAAATAATGGGAATTGAATTAATCCGTTCCACGCTCCCAAAAATATTAATTTAAAAATACATTTTATACTGAATACAATTTTTTTTTCTCTAACTACAATACAGTACATATGTTTATCTTACCTTTATCGAGGACTCTTGTTGGCGTATGGAAGATAGTGAGGAGGGGGGGGGAGGAGGCAGAGGAGAGGTGTTACTGTTTGGAAGGGGAGTTTCCTTCCATTATAACATCAGGCAGTGATGACTTCTCTGGGATACACTCTCATACGTTTTGCCTGCATACCATTAGGACCTGGTTATGGTTCACTGCTTGTTTGTCTCACTAAAAATTTGTCCATGGAGATTTGTTTTTTCTTCATTCATCAGTGTTATTGAAAAGGTTAAGGCAATGGTCTACTGCAGCTTGATTTGGGTGAGTCGTTTCAGCAAAAGTTTGCAGTTCTTCCCATGTTGCACACATTTTCTTATTTTTTGAGGAAGGGACATTCTGTACTGCCTCTATGGTCATTCTCACATGTGTTTTCATATGTTGAACCTTACCACTGACTTTCTTGGGACCCATGGCGTGATATATAATAATTTTATGTTAAAAAAAAAAATATCGCCAAAATAATGGAATTTCTTATAAGCGTGATCGTCACTAAGCGGGCAGCTCTGGTAAACTGAGGCTTTTGACTTTTTCACTCGACGCACAAGGTGCTGATGCATCTTTGCTTGCGTTCCCTACATTGTGTGTTCTTGTAGACAACGCAGGCAAGTTTACCCGTGTCTTGTGATTCTGTGCCTGGCATATAACCAAGCTTGTGTACACCCAGAATTTCTTTCAGGAATTGCATGAGGCATTGCTGCTGGCATCCCACGTGTTGCAACAGAGCTCTCCATCCCCAACTTCACGAGAAGTTGTGAAACTAGAGCAACACTGAATGTACATATTGGGGGGTCTCTTGCCTGATTTCATGAGATACATATTGAAACAGTTCATCACAGCAAATGTCAATGAGGTGAAAAAAGAATTTCTTCATTCACTTCACAGATTTTCTCGCACACTAGACGGCACCTACCATCGTGTCACATTTATCAACTAGCCACATGTTTATGTTGTAGTCAGTGTGGACAATGCGCTGAGTGGGGGTCGGTTGCTGGAATGTGATGTGCTCACCATGGTCTCTGTTGGGTAACTGAGGCATTTAAAATCGTGCGCTAGACCCTCAATTGTATATGTACGATGAGTGCAATTTCGTGACAGTTACTCCCTACATACATGTATGTCTTGCTTGGTTTAAGGGTTTGTAACACTTGTGTCACATGTCACAAACATCACCTAACACTTGTGTCAGGTGATACTAATGCTGGGGAATACTTACTTGAGCCTGGAATGACCTCTAGAAGGCTTGCTACACTCAGTCTTCCAAGTGCTGCTTGGCATCAAAGTGACCGCAAAGAAACTAACTTTAAGTTGGCTTGCCCACCTTGGCATGGGGACTGAGGATACCTGCCTTGATTGGCTATGATCAAAACATACCTAGGGTAAATTATATGTATGTATGTGTGTGTGTGTAATAAATAATATTATATATATATGTGTATGCATGCATGCATGCTTTTTGGTATTTTATTAACCAAATTTTTATAATTATACAAGTATTTGCATTTCTTTGCAGAGTTGATGAGCTTCAGATTCAAGATATAGAATTTTTATATGGTTGTTCTAATCCCACAATAATTGTTATTTATCAAGATACTCATGGAAGACACATCAAAACTCATGAGATTTCATTAAAAGAAAAGGAATTCTCAAAGGTAAGTTATATTTGAAGTTATATTGAAGTGAGCAAAGTGTGTGGTAAAATAGTGATTGGTGAAGTATAGTGAACAGTCGAGAAATTTGTCAGTGTTCATGGATAGAAGAGCATGGATCATCTATCTATATCTATCTATCTATTTATGAAGAGCAGGGGGTGCCATAGGCACAATCAGAGAACATTGTATAAACACCAGAGGTCCACCGTTGTTCAACATACTCTCAGCGAGCACAAGAAATATTGCCAGAACAACCGTGGACATCCTTAAGAGAAAATTAGATAGTTTTCTTCAAAAAGTTCCAGACCAACTGGGCTGTGGTAGATATGTGGGCCTGTGGGCCGCTCCAAGCAACAGCCTGTTGGACAAAGCTCTCACAAGTCAAGCCTGGCCTCAGGCCAGGCTTGGAGAGAAGAACTCCCAGAATCCCATCCAGGTACAATCCAGGTATTTTGGGCCTACCAGTGTTTAAGCATGTGAAAAGCTTGCAGGTGTATATGGGAGTTATGGACTTAAAGAAAGCATAGTATAAAGTTGATAGAGGGTTTCTAGATCAATGAACATGTATTGAAGCTTTTATGTAGGAAAGTGAGCATATGGGAGGCCTGGTCAGAGACAGGGCCATGGGGGCCTTGACCCCTGGAATCAACACAAGGTATATAAATATATATGGTGTAGTGAGTGAGTGGTGTGATATTAATGTTGATGGAGGTGGCTTCCACAATTTCTTCTCTTAAGCATTCCACTTGTTGACCACCCATACTGGGTACAAGTATTTCCTTATATTTCTTCAATTCATTTGTGTTTCCAGCTTCCACTTGTCCTCTTATCTTATTTTCTCTCAACTTGAAGGGGTGTCCTTGTTCATCCTGTCTATTCCTCTTAGTATCTTGAATGCTATGATCATATCTCCTTTGTTTTGCACGTCGTCCAAGGTGGGTGCCTGACAACTAAGTGGACAGCGCTTCGGATTCATAGTCCTGAGGTTCCGGGTTCGATCCCCGGTGGAGGAGGAGACAAATGGGCAAAAAGTTTAATTCACCCTGATGCTCCTGTTACCTAGCAGTAAATAGGTACCTGGAAGTTAGACAGCTGTTACAGGCTGCTTCCTGGGGGTGTGTAACAAAAAGGAGGCCTGGTCGAGGACCGGGCACGGAGACGCTATGCCCCGAAATCATCTCAGAATAACCTCAAGATAAAGTTTTGAGGTCGAGTTCTCTCAACCAATCCTCATAGCTTAACCCTCTTAGCTCTGGCACGAACCTAGTTCCCAACCTCTACTCAATCAATTTTTGTTTTATGTTTCGCAAGGTATTGGTTCCAGGCCGGTGCTGCATGTTGTAGCATTAGTTAAACAAAAGCTCTGCAGATTGCCTTGAAAGTATTCTAGTTTAGGTTTCTAAGTGACATTTTAATGGTTGCCAGTAGTCCCCATGCTGCTGATGTCACCCTGTCTATAAGGGCCTCTGGTGTTAGTATTGGACTTGTATTCACTCCCAAATCTTTTTCTCTCTCCAATTCCTGAAATTATCTTCCATATATGGTGTAAACACCTTCTGGTCTTCTTCCTCCCTACTCCATCTTCATTACCTTACACTTATTGGGAGTGAACTCCAGCAACCATTTGCTTGCCCACTCCTGGAGTTTGTTAATGTCTTCCTGTAACTTGCTGCAATCTTCTGTTTTAACATTCATCGTTAACTTTTCATCATCTGCAAACAATGAAATGTACTAGCTTAACCCCTTGGGTAACTCATTAACATAAATTAATAGAAGTGGTGGTCCTGTGATTGATTCATGGGGTACCCCCACTTGTTACACTTTCCAGCTGAAGACCTTGCCTCTGACTGTGACTCTCTGGCTTCTGTCCTTTAGATACTCTGTTACCTAGTCTAGCATATTCCCAATTATTCCAGGCATATTTCTCCATCTTATACACTGGTCTTTCATAAGGAACAATATCAAATGTGTTTTGACAGTCTAGGAAAGTACGATCTACTCAACCTTCTTTTTCCTGTTGTATTTTAGTAACCTTGAGGAAGAGTCTCGGGTGGCTTTGGGAGATGCCCCTTCTGATTCGGACACTGAAGTGGTTGCGCCCGTTTTCACGCCGAGGCTTCTGGGCTGTCCCAGCAGATTCCATTCTTGGAAGCTTTTTGTTCAGGGTTGGTGGGTGTGGATGAGGCCTCTGCCCTGGGGCATTTGTTGGGGATTCCTGGGGCTCGGGGGGAAGTCCGCTTCGAGCACTTGGCCTTCTTTTGACCCTGCTTGGGTCCTTGTTGCCCTTTGGGCAGGGGTTATTGCTGCATGGGGAACAGGTTTTTGTATTATCCTTCCCTTTATGAATTTGAATTGGGTGCGGCTCACCGTTGGGTGCTCTTGGGTTCCTCAGATTCATCTTTCTGGAGGTTCCTTCCTCTCGGATTTCCCCTGGGGAGGTTCGGGAGGCCCTTGGTGCGTACCTCCTGTGAGATCCGGTTTACACCTTTGTGACGGACGGATCTAGCTTCTTTTGAGTTCAGTTCTTCTTCTGATTGGGTGCTTTAGGAGGTTCTTGAGTCTTTCTGGCTGGTAGACTGCCCCTTTTTCTCTCTTGGTTCTTAGCGTGGCTTTTGTCATACCATACATACCATACTTAAGTGGCGGGAGGTTTCTTCTGTGTTGCAGATATTCTTGTGGGGCTCGCTCGAGTTCCTCAATGAGTACCTCTTCACCCGTGCTTCCTCGTGACGTGGGTCTGCAGCCCATCCTCTAAACAAAGACCCATTCAAGGTTTTCTTGTCCTTTCTCTCTCAGCTTTTTCTGGACTAGCATCTTATGCCGAATTCTGTTGCTACTTATCGTGCAGGTGTAGGCTTCTGCAGTTTCTGTAGCAGCGGTTTCTGTAGCTGCGTGTAGCAGCGGTTTCTGGTGTAGCCTCTTCACCATGCGTACGGGGTGGATGTTACTTCTGCTCCGTTTCACAAGCTATCTCGTGTGTATTTTCACTTCTGGCCAGCTCATACACCATCTGAGCCGTCTTGGTCTTTGGAACGGGTTTTTTCCTTTCTTTCTTCCCGGTTTGTCATGGCCCCTTCAGTTTGGGATTGCTTTGGGAAAGCCTTATTTTTGTTGGTTTTAGCCTCTGGGGGTCGGGTTGGGGAGCTTCATGCTCTTCTCCGGCGCCGGGAGTTCTGTTCATTTGGTCCTGGTGGTAGTTTTGTTCGTTTGCAGCCTTCTTTTCTGGAGAAGAACGAGACGGCTGCTTTCCGGAGGGGTTCTTGGGTCATTGATGCTCGGTTGGTCAGGCCAGAGGTGCATCATGTGCTGTGTCTGGTGGTGGCTTTACGTCGTTACCTGCGGGCCACTGGTTCGGTGACAGTGGACGCACTCTGGGTGGATCCAGTTTCCTGTTCCAGTCCTCGTGTGTCTCAGATTGTCTGGTGTAATTAGTCTAGCCAGTCTAGCCAGGGGAGCCGGTCGGCTGAGCGGACAGCACACTGGACTTGTGATCCTGTGGTCCTGGGTTCGATCCCAGGCGCCGGCGAGAAACAATGGGCAGAGTTTCTTTCACCCTGTGCCCCTGTCACCTAGCAGTAAAATAGGTACCTGGGTGTTAGTCAGCTGTCACGGGCTGCTTCCTGGGGGTGGAGGCCTGGTCAAGGACCGGGCCACGGGGACACTAAAAAAAAAAAAAAGCCCCAAAATCATCTCAAGATAACCTCAAGAGTCTGTGGTGTACCCTCATGCCCATGATGCATGGAAGTATGCTGCTCTTGCAGCTGTTTTTGGTACTATGTCTTGGGTTGACATTCGGGCATGGGGGGGTTTTGGAGGTTGAGCAGTGTCCTGGCCGCCAAGTATCTCGTGATGTCCCGGGCCCCTATATGGCCTTGTGTTGCATTGAGGAGCCTGTTGCGGCTATCAGTCTCCACTTCGCCTTGATATTTGCGGTGTTGCCGTCTCCTGGGTAAGCCTGTTTTTTACTTATCTGTGGGTAGTTAGCTTCAGGGAGCCAATGAGTCTCCCCACAGAAAACCAGCGCTGAATGTAATGAAACATAATTTTCTGGACAAGCCCCAGAGGCTCTCTGACACCCTCCCTCCCTCTCTCCAGTTGACAGTCAATATCATTCAAGAACTGAGGTGGTAGGCTGCTGGCTCCCCCCCCTCCTCTCCCTTTCATGGGGGGGGGGGGGTTGCACTAACGAGCAGGAGTACTAGTTGGATGAGGTGTTGCCTGTTTTTCTTTCTGGGGAAGTTCTTTTGCTCTTTTTTGGATGTAGGTCGCAATTTTCACCAGATTGTGGTCTGCTCTGTTTTGCCTTTCTGGGTGCCCTCGACGGTTGATGGCAATTATGACATACTTTAAATGTAAAGTGCTCATATGGTCATTGCTCCGATAAGCCAGGTTCTGGCTCATGGTCCCAGAAATGGCAAAAAGACACTTGTGACTGATGACCCCCAAACTAATATAGCACATATCAGTTTGGATAGCTTCAGGGAGCTTTTGGGGCTCCTCCAGAAAATGGTGTTTCATTACATTCAACGCGCTGATTTTATCAGTACCAGTATTATCCTACTCATTTCATATACAGCATTGAGTTTTAATATTTGATCATTTAATATTTATATATTGATAGTTTATACTTAGCATCAGTTCCTGAAAATTAGTGTAATTAGTGTATTAGTGTAATTATTTACTGTGTGCGTCGGTGCGTGTACTGTACCAGCTTGTGTAGGATATGAAAGACTTATGAACTTAATCCTGACCTTTATCTAGAGGTGTTGAATTATTAGTATTTACAATTTGCTTTCTCTCCTTACTATCATTGAAATTTTGTATCTATAACCACCAATCAGAACAAGGTACTTAAACTGTTGCTCTGATGGATGGCTGTCAAGAAACTCCTTTAATAATATGGGCCTGATTTTATTTACAATGTTTCTTAATTTGAGAGAGATGCTAAAATATTGTTTACTGACACAAATTAGGTTGTCTTTGGTAATGAAGTTACTATAAACTGGATATAACAAGCATAACCAGCTTTTTATTGTTTAACATTGACTAATGGTTTTTTAATAGATGCCTTGGAAGCAAGACAATGTGGAGACAGAAGCCTCGACAATAATTGCCGTTCCCGAGCCATATGGTGGGGCCATCATTATTGGGCAGGAAACAATCACATATTTGACAGGCACCTCACATGTTACTGTGGCTCCAGCACTTATCAAGGTACAGTACTGTATATTGAAATCTTTTTAGGAATTGTTAATGGTTCAAACATTATTTATTAGTAAGCTGTAGACGATTTATTATTTGTATTAATATAATTAATATTGACTAAGATACGAGATGATAGTGCAGATTAATTAAGGAAGTGTTAGTAGGCTAACTTGGTATTATACTAGATGGGCTACCCAGTTGCACTCGGGTCACTTTTCCCCTCTTCCTCTCTCATCTCTCTTCCTCTGTCCCACCCTCTCTCTGCTGCACCATTCAGTATCCAAAGTGAATTCTGATCTGGTCCTACTGTTTTACTTACACCTAATTCTTCCAGGTGTTTCTTTACCTCCTCTTTAGTTACTGCTATATCTTTCATAATGGTTTTCACCCATCTTTTACCATTGGGATTAGATCTAGATCATTGGGATTAGATCTCTCTTGTGCATTTTTTCACCTCCAGCCTGCTCATGCGCCACCTGAGGTGTCTTGGTCTTTGGACCGGGTTCTTTCATTTCTTTCTTCTCCTCAGTATGTCGTGGCCCCTTCAGTTTGAGATTGCTTCGGAAAAGTTTTGTTTTTGTTGACTTTGGCCATTAGGGATCAGGTTGCTTTTCTCCGGTGCTGGGGGTTCTGTTCGTTTGGCCCAGGTGGTCATTTTGTTAGTTTTTGATGGAAATTATGACATGCTTTAAATGTAATGTGCTCATAGGCCATTTCTCCCTGCGCCTCTCTGAAGGGGCCAGATTCTGGCTCGTGGTCCCTGATAGGTCATTTCTTCCTGCGCCTCTCTGAAGGGGCCAGATTCTGGCTCGTGGTCCCTGATAGGCATAAGGACTTCTGTGACTGATGACCCCGACTAATATATCATATATATATATCAATTTGGATAGCTTCGGGGAGCCTCCGAGGCTCACCCAGAAACTGGAGTTTTATTACATTCAACACTGATTTTTTGCCGTTATTAAATTAAATAGTATTACTGTACTGTGTGTTAATAAATGTGCTGTATGAATGAGTGTTACATAGGGATTAGCAGAATAAATTTTAAAAATCTTGATTTCCAACAGACAAGTACTATCGTTTGTTATGGCAAAGTGGATGCCAATGGATCCAGATACCTTCTTGGAGACATGTCGGGGCGTCTGTTTATGCTGCTGCTGGACAAATCAGATGACCGTGCAGAAGCTGTCGTCAAAGTGGAGCTCTTAGGTAGAAAAGACTTAATTTGTGTTCTTATTTATATTTTTACCTTGTATTTATATTCATTTAGTTTTAAATATAAATTGGTAAATAATTTTGTACATAAAATTGTAACTATTAAATTAAGAACATCAGAATCAAGGAAACTGCAGAAGGCTTATTGACCCATACAAGGCAGCTCCTATTGATATCCACCCAAACTCATTCATATATATGTCTAACCTATATTTGAAACAGTCAAAGGATCCTACTTCTATTATGTTACGCAGTAATTGGTTCCACAAATCAACAACCCTGTTACTGAACCAGTATTTACCCAGGTCTTTCCAAAATCTAAACTTATCCAATTTATACCCATTGTTTCATGTTCTACTGTGCGTTTAGTAGTCGATACATTTAGTAATCTCTTAATATCAACTTTGTTATGCCTTTTCATCTACTTGTATACCTCAATCATATCACCTCAAGTTCTTTGCCTTTCTAGAGAATGTAAATTAAGCTTTGTCAATCTCTCTTCATATGAAAGGTTTCTAATTTGCGGGATTAACTTTTTCATCCCACGTTGGATGCGTTCTAGTAAATTTATATTCATTTTATAGGATGATGACCAAAACTGAACTGCATAATCTAAATGGGGCCTAACAAGAGGAAGATATAGCACGAAGAATGACACCAGGTGTTATATTAATAACGCTTCGAGAAATAAATCCCAATGTCCTATTTGCCTTATTTCAAACATTTATGCATTGATTTTTTGGCTCTAAATTCTTACTAATCATAACTCTCAGATCCCTTTCGCAATCCGACTTTGCAATCTGAACAATCCGAGAGCTTGTATCTTGTAACACTATCACCATTACCTAGCCTCAAAACTTTACATATATGAACATTAATCTGCATCTACCAAACTTTTGATGCAGATTAATCTGCATCTACCATCACTTTCGTAAACAGTGGTAGACGGTTGGAACAAGTTAAGTGAGAAGGTGGTGGAGGCCAAAACCGTCGGTAATTTCAAAGCATCATATGACAGAGTGCTGGGAAGACAGGACACCACGAGCGTAGCTCTCATCCTGTAACTACACTTAGGTAATTACATTTTGAATCCTTTGCTACGTAACCCATCGCTAGGTTCCATCTCACTCCAAGACCGGCCCAACCCCCACCCCCCCCACCCCATGCCCAGGAATTTCTAATCTATTACACAAAAAAAAAAATTCTTTGGACGTTAAAATCAGCTTTTTGGAAATCTGCCACTTGACAAAATTCTTTCTTACACATGTATTCCATTCTATGCTAAATCTGATTTCTTTGTGATCATTGTTCCCTAGGTCACTTCCTATATCGATGTTATTAATTTGTCTCTCCCTGTTAGTTAACACTGTAAAATATTTTTTTGTGTGTTCGTTACTTAACATTATCGTGCGTGCCACGTGAGCACCGCAGACTTTGACGTCATGGGGCTAATGGTGCGGGCGAGCGGGCGGCGACGCCTAAATGTGTATGCTCGTTTCAGTTTTCTCACCTTAATTCTCGTGCTACGTCGTTCGTTTTGGTATCATTGTGTTTGCAATTAAATTCCCTGCAGATGTATATGCTTATAATGTCCAAAGGCCTGGTGAGATTCCCCACAGCAAAGCCTAAAGTCGGAATAGTTACCTGTGAGCGCAAAAAATCGGTAAAATGTGTATACTTGTTTCAGTTTTCTCACCTTAATTCTTGTGCTACGTCGCACACCACAACCTAATATGTATACTCGTTCAGTTTGATAACATAAATTTTCATGTTACATCACTCGTTTTGGTATAAAATTGTTCGCAATATAAAGGCGTGCATTTTAAAACTAGTCTCATAATAATAGAGCAATAACTGGAATTTTAACAAATATTTTAATTTTGGACGCTCATCATCAAAATTATTCATATCTTTCCAGTGTTCTGACATCAATTTTCATGTTACAGCGCTCGTTTTGGTATCAAATTGTTTGCAAAATAAAGGTGCGCATTTTAAAACTAGTCCCATAATAATAGCACAATAAGTAGAATTTTAACAAATATTTTAAAATTTAAAATTTACACCCAAAAATGTATTTATAATCTTTCAAGTGTTCTGACATCAAGTTTCGTGTTACATCTTTCATTATGGTATCAAATTGTGCACATTCTAAAGGCGCTTATTTTGAAACTATCCCGAGGTCGATCGGATAAAAAATGAATTTTATACAAATATTTTTTATAGTGGACGCGAGTCCTGTCCACGGCTAGGACTCTAGAGAAAAAAAATGTACGTGATCGGTGTCCAAAGCGAGCGATACTGTTAATGTGTTGCTTAAATAAGTAATCATTAATTAATTCCAGCACATTTTCTGCTTTGCTATTCCCTGTTCTGTTAAGCCAGTTTATTCCACTAAAATTAAAGTCACCCAATTATTTCATAATTTTTGTTACAGGGGAAACTTCAATTCCTGAGTGCCTGACGTACCTGGACAATGGTGTGGTTTTTGTTGGATCCCGCCTTGGTGACTCTCAGTTAATAAAGCTAAATACTGAGGCAGACTCATCAGGCCAGTATGTGACTGTCATGCAGACATTCAACAATCTCGGACCTATTGTTGATATGGTTGTAGTTGATTTGGAACGACAAGGACAAGGACAGCTTGTAACTTGCTCAGGTGAGTATGGTATAGTCATCTGTGTACTTTCCTATCAGTCTCTAAGGCAGAGTGAGGTCTAGCTCTTCATGCCTCACCTACTAGCCTTGTACCTGTTGCATTTCAACTTAATTACTGTATTCTGACTTTTCAATTCTTTGTCGAATTGGGCTTTGAAGTTGTAGATGGAGATGGCTTCCACAACTTCATCTTTTACAGATTCCACTGGTTAACTACCTGTACCAGGTACAAGTACTTTCTTATGCTTCTTCAGCTCATTTGTGTTTTCAGCTTTTCAGCTGTGTCCTCTTGTCCTGGTTTCTCTCAATCTGAAGAGGCTATCCATATCCACCTTATCTGTTCCCCTCAGTATTTTGTAAGATGTGATTATATCCCCTCTCTTCCTTCTGTCCTCTTAAGGCTGTGAGATTTATATCCATTAGCCTATGTTCATAGCTTAACCCTCTTAGCTTTGGCACCAATCTTGTTGCAAACCTTCAAACTTTTTCAATTTGGGCCTATGCTTCGCAAGATGCGGATTCCATGCCAGTGATGCACAATCCAGTATTGGTCTAACAAATGTTGTGTAGATTGCTTTGAAAGAGTCCTGATTCAAGTTGATAAACGATGTTCTTATATTTGCCACTGTCCCATATGCTGCCGATGTTACCTTGTTTGTGTGCCTCTAGTGTGAGTGTCGGACTTATATCCACTCCTAGATCCTTCTCTCTCTCTCTTCTTAATTCCTGTAACTGCCTTCTCCGAATGGTGTAAATGTCTTCTGGTCTCCTCTCTCCCTTTCCCACCTCCATTACCATATACTTGTTGGGTTCAATTCCAGCATCCATTTGTTTGACCGACTTTGACTACTTCTGGAGCTTGTCAAGTTTTTGTAATTTTCTGCAGTCCTCTTCTGTCTTTATGTTCCTCATCAGCTTTGCATCATCTGCAAACATTGACATATCTGAGCTCACTCCTTCAGGTAGGTTGTTAACATAAATTAGGAATAGCAGCGGTCTCTGGATGGAGCGATGTGAGACCCTATTCGTTACATTCTTCCAGCTTTAAACCTCCTCTCAAACTGTGACTTTGCTTTGTCCTTCAGATACTCCCTTACCCAGTTCAATGTTTTCCCAGTTACCCCAGGCTGCTTCTCAATCTTGTACACCAGTCTTCCATGGGAAACAATGCTAAATGCTTTTTAACAGTCTATAAAAATGCAGTCTACCTTCCTTTTTCTGTCTTATTTTAGCTTTGTTATAAAACTCAATCAAGGTTGTCAGGTACAATTTTCCATTTCTAATTTTTTTTCAGATTTTTTGTTACAAAGTTGATTCTCTTGAGATGCTCCACTATTCTCAACCTGATATTACTTTCTCCAGCACTTTACAAGAAATTTTTGTCAATGATACTAGTCTCCTTGTTGGTTCTAATGTAAAGACCTGAAATCTTTTGTTGAGTTCGTCGCATTTCTATGAGAGGTCCTCCCTTGTTTCTTCAATCTGAGTACAAGGTCAGTATGCTGTACGGAGTATACTGTCATTTTTCTACTGATATTGCTACAGAATAGCTTTGGTTATTCCTTAGCATTTGTAGCAATATCATTTTCAAATTGCCTCTCAGCTTCTCTCCTGACTTGAGTGTATTTATTCCTTGTTCTCTTTAGTGCCTCTCTATTGTTCTTTATTCCAAATTCTCTATACATTTTCCAGACTTTTCTGTGAGGCGCTCCATCGGCTTATGAAGCTATCTGAACTGATATGTGCTATATTAGTTTGTGGTCATCAGTCACAGGAGTCCTTATGCCTACTGAGGACCATAAACCAGAATCTGGTTCCCTCAGAGAGGTGCAGGGAGTAATTATCTATGAGCACTTTACATTTCAAGTATGTTATAATTGCCATCGACCAGCGAAGGACCCAGAAAGGAAGGCGAATCAAAACAGACCACTGTCTGGTTAACCTTTGCAATCGACATCCGAAAAGATCAAAATAACTCCTCCAGAAAGAAACCCAGCAAGCAACACTTCATGCAATTAGCACTTCCGCTCATTAGTGCTACTCCCACTTCGTTGGTGGGTAATGCCTTGTAATTGTGATTAGTAATAATGGATTCGAGCTGATCTTGAGTGAACCTATCATTAGTTTGAATCATTTTGGGAGCTGTTTGGTGGTTTCAATACTTCATTTTCTGTGAACCTTGCAGTTGTCAGTAAAGCATCAGTGACTTTCAGGATGCTTTTCCCAGAAAGTTTGAGAATTATCAAACTCCCTGCGCCTCTGTAAGGGTGGCTGTGTTCTGGCTGGTCCATGGTAGACCAAACAGAACTACTACGACTGATGTGAGCAATTAACATGCAGGAATGTCAGCGGTATAGCATAGGAACCTACCCGGGCTTTACCAGAAAGAGGCGTGTCATTACATTCAATGCTGTTTTTTCATCTTTTTGTTTTCTTTTCATGATTTCTTTTTAGTTACATTAGATCCAGTTCTTTCAGTCTTTCTTTGTTTCCTAAACCGCATAATTCTAGAATAAACCTTATTGCAAACTGCTATATTTTGTTATTAGCACTTCTATTTTCTTTTGTTCTTAACTGCCTTTCAATTTCATTCCTTTCCTTGCTTGTTTGCTGTTGCCGAGGCATTCTTAATTTTCTCCTTACCTCATTTTTGGTGCAAGTATGTGTAGTGGCTTAAGTGGTGGCTTGACCACCACCTACAATTAATTTACCAAATGTAAATTATTCTTGAAAAGATTTAAACAGTTGGATGCAGTTTTAGGGATACATTCTATAGTGTCATCCCCTCAGGTAAAGCCAGTTTTCAGAGAGAACAAGGTATCATAGATATTCAAATTAAATTAAAAAAATTTCAGGTGCCTTTAAGGAAGGATCGTTGCGGATCATTCGGAACGGGATCGGCATCCACGAGCAGGCTTCTATTGAGCTGGACGGTATCAAGGGCATGTGGTCACTGAGTGTGAATTCAGGAAAGCATCACAATACTATCGTCCTCTCATTTGTTGGCCTCACCAGGTAGGTGTCGCTGCTGTTCTGTGTTTTCATTTGTGGTTTTTATTTACCATGTTATTTTACATCTATTGCATTGCCTTCCTTATTATGAATGACAGTCTTATGTCTGGCTTGCTTTGATACGATAAAATCTTATGCTAACATCATGGTTACATTCTTGGACAACCTTCACAGTGTGAAAAAGTTATTATTTTCCATATTTCTTAACCCCTGACATGTGTGGCTATCAATATACATGAATGCCTACCTTCGCATAAAAATATAAAGTTAAATAAAAATATTTCAGCAGGGGCCAAATGGTGGCCCCCTGTAGGCTCAACACACAGATGTCATATCAGCCTTAAAAGGCCTTAACCCCTGCACTGTACTTACTGAGATATCTTGACTAACAGGTGGCGAGCTGACCGAGAAAACTCGTTTGTAGATATGGAGGATGATTTAAAATTCCCGCGGGTACACATCCTGTTTCTCAGGACTCCAGTAAACAGATGCCATCTTGAAAAAAAAATTGTGTATCGCTCCTGGCTGCAGGACCCTAAGTACTACCAAAGCTGGTGCATACGACAGTAGCTCACAGCACAGCTGTGCAGTCTGGGGCCACAGCACTACTTACAATCTTTATAATCTTTCAAGTGTTCTGACATCAAGTTTCATGTTACATCTTTCATTTTGGTATCAAATTGTGTACATTCTAAAGGCGCTTATTTTGAAACTATCCCGAGGTCGCTCGGATAAAAAATGAATTTTATACAAGTATTTTTGTAGTGGATGCGAGTCCTGTCCACGGCTAGGACTCAAGAGAAAAAAAATGTACGTGATCGGTGTCCAAATAGATGATCCCGACTAATAAAAACTATGTACTGTATATACAAGGTGCAGATATCAGTGAACACAATGATAGTTGTGTTCTCCCATCATTGTGGGAGCCAGACGCGTTCACAGCATACAGCCAAGGTTTCGTGCATCTACGTATTATAAAATGTGACCTCATGTTCCTTTAGAAACTAAACTTGTGGAACACACTATGGAGGCTGACTCCATACACAGTTTCAAATGTAGATATGATAGAGCCTAGTAGGCTCAGGAATCTGTACATCAGTTGATTGACGGTTGAGAGGCGGGACCAAAGAGCCAGAGCTCAACCCCCAAGAGCACAACTAGGTGAGTACAGATATTTTGTATTAGTGTGATATCTAATTTTATTATTTATCTTTGATTCCTTGTTAATAATTTTTTTTTTTATCAGGGTGTTGACATTGAGTGGTGAGGAGGTAGAAGAGACAGAGATTACTGGTTTCGTTGCCGACCAACAGACCTTTTTATCCTCCAATGTTAAATATGAGCAGTTACTTCAGGTATAGTTTTATCAATGCTAGTTATTCATAAGAAATTTATGAAATATTTTGCTAAAGTATATTCCAAACCTTGACGTATTGGGTTGCAAACCCATTTTCCCCAAAAAGTTCTCTACTAGAGACAATATTAACCACTTTTCTTGCGGGGAGAATGTTGTGGCTTCCTGAAGCTGTCTCGCTGGGATGACTCCTAACTACTAGGTCCCATCAGTTGTAGAGTTCTTAGGCCTACCGGGACCAGAGCCAGAATCTGGGCCCCTCGGGTTCATTTGTTTAAATGAAAATTTGGTATTTGCTTTAACTATGTAAACAAATGATCGAGTCTTTCAAAACTAGCATGTGCTAGTTTTGAAAGACTTATCCCACTTATTTGGGAGGGGGGAGGGGACCATGCCCTCCAAGGGCTTGTGTCCTCAATTCTAGACACTGATGCAGTCAAGACCACATAACTGCTGTAGAGTCCCCTGGTTGACTCCTGTGCAGACTTCACTTTTTCAGCCAAGTGCTTTTTGGGACTTTGGCTTTGTGGTGTTTCTGTGTACAATGTTGTATAGTGTGAGCCTGGCATTTAGTGTATGTGAAGCTGCATGTGCTCAGGGCTTTCTTTCCTGGGTGCTCCCTTACGCTGCCTTTGCACTGACAGAGTTGTCATCTGGTGTGTGAAGAGTAGAGGTGCTATAGGCAAAATCAGAGAACACTGTATGAACATCAGAGGTACATGGTTGTTCAATATCCTCTCAGCAAGTATAAAAGATATTGCCAGAACAAAAGTGGAAATTTTCAAGAAAAAACTGGACAGTTTTCTTCAAAAAGTACCGGACCAACCAGGCTGTAGTGGATGTATGATGCTTCGGACTGCTCCAAGCAACAGCCTGTTGGACCCAGCTCTCACAAGTCAAGCCTGGCTCTGGGCCAGGCTTGGGGAGTAGAAGAAATCACAGAACCTCATCTAGGTACAATCCAGTCAAGGGCATTGTGGTCCCTCTGTCCTGGCTTTAAGTCTGGCATAGTGTCCCCAGTGTTGGATCTCCCACTTGGTTTACCCTTTGGGCCTTGGAAATCCCTTGCTGGTTTGATGTGGCAAGTTCTATTCTCCCCAGACCCACTCTTGGTATGTGAGAGTTTGACGGTTGTTTGTTGTCCGTGCTCTGATCTTCCTCTGCCCTGAAACATCTGAGGGTTTGCAGGTCAGGCAGGGTCGTTGCTATCCCCTTTGTCTGGCTCTCAGTAGGGTTCGTGAGTTTGCAACCGTGTAGCATGCGCTGCAGAGGTTTTGGATTCCTATGGGCTCCATTTGAACTCTTTGAGCTCTAGCTCCATTTGAACTGTTCCCTTCATAGTTCATATCTCAATGGGGAGAGGTCTCGTTTTAGTTCCTGTCTCTTTGGAGCTAGATTCTTCTTGTAGCTCGTCTGATGAGTTCTCACGGTTTTGCTCTCCATGCTGTTCATGTCTAGGGATGTGTTCAATGTTCTCGCAGATGGTCTGACCTGGTTCCTTCCTGTTTCTTGGAGTGGACTATCAATGGTGGACCTGGACCATCAACCAGGCCTTCCAAGTTGATCATCTGATCAGCCAAGCTGTTGGATGTGGCTGTTTGCAGCCTGACATATGAGTCACAGCCTGGTTGATCAGGTATCCTTTGGAGGTGTTCAACGAGTTCTCTCTTGAACACTGAGAGGCCAGCCAGTTATGCCCCTTATGTGGAGCGGGATGGTGTTGAAAAGTCTTGGGTCTTTGATGTTGCTGAAGTTTTGCTGCAGCATAACTATTGCATCTTTGCATTTCAATAGGGCTATTTTGCACATCCTGCCATGTCCACTGGTTCCATATGTTATTATTTCAGTGTGCAGAATTGGAACCATTCCCTCTAATATTTCCTATATGTAGATTATTATGTATCTTGCCTGCATTCTAGAAAATACAAATTTAGGATTTTTAATTGGTCCAATAATTTATGTGACAGTGTGGATTCTAGTGGAAAAACCTTTGCAAATTCTTCAGCTCAACAATTTCTCTGGCTCTGAATGGGGCTGTTAGTGTGCAACAATATTCCACCCTAGAGAGCACTAGTGTCTTGAAAAGTATAAACATGGGTATGGCATCCCTTGTTTGGAAGGTCGTTGTATCCAACCTGTCATTTTTCTTTCAGTCGTGACAGCTACTTACTCCCATTACTCCCCTCTCTCCTTACACCCCCCCCTACCCCAATACCTCCCATACCTCGTGTCACTGCTGTACAGGATTAATATGGTATGGCCCGTCTGAGATTTTGCCTGATGCCTGTCTGCAGTATCGGACAAAATCTCGGGTTTTCCAAATTTCTGTTAAGATATAGGTGAAGTTTGGCAGAAAGTTATCTGGACTTGATTTAGAATCTATGCCAGTCTGAACGATCTGGCCAAATCTCTGATTAACTGGAGTGTTGTCTGGATATGGTGAAGTTTTGCCAGAAAAATAAATGGAAGTGATTTTACCTGGATAACCCAAATACTATATCCAGTTCAGCAGAATTTGGGCAAGTGAGCTCATACAATAGTTTGCTTTGATGTGCTGAATTTCTGTTTGCCTTCCCTGAGGAGGTGGTGAAAAGAAATTTGACCACTCTTGTCTCTGTGAGGCAGGCAGGGTCTTGCTCTGGCCTCTGGTAGGCCTATAAAACTCTGTGGCTGATGTGACCTAATAGCTTTTACCATCTCGGCATATAGCTGCAGGGAGCCACCAGGGCTCAACCATAAATTTGCATTTCATTACATTCAGTACTGTTTTTTCAAGTAAGGTAAATGATGGGAGAACCAGTATACCTATTTGACATTGACAAATGTTTCTCCAATAGGTGACGGGAACGTCTTGCCGCTTAGTTACCGAAAGCAATGGGCAGCTGGCGTGTGAATGGAGACCACCAGAAGGTCGCAACATCTCTGTAGTTGCCGCCAACAGTAACCAGGTGGTGGCTGCGGCGGGCCAACACATTTATTATCTCACCATCCAGCAGTCTAATTTGAAACTTGAAGCGTGAGTTACATAGCCACATGTTTTAACACTTTTGCCCTTTGGTACCTGACTATTAAGCATTTATCACGTACTTTACATTCCTCCACAAATGAAGGTGTTGAGAGTGGACTGGGGTTTAAGACGTTCATGTTCACAAAGGAACTTCAGAAAAGAGAACTCGACATGCCCCTTCAAAGATTATCTGATCAACCAGGCTGCGACTCGTATGACAGTCTGCAAACAGCCGCATTGAACAGCCTGGTTGATCAACCCAGCAACCAGGAGGCCTGGTCAGAGACCAGGCTGTGGGGACTCTGATCCTTAAAGTTGTCAACTGGTAGGCCAGTAGAGCTCTGTGATTAATTAATGACATCTAGTAGTATGGCACTTAATTAGTGTAATAGCTTCAGGGAGCCTCTGTGGCTAACCCAGAAACTGACATTTCATTACATTCAACGCTGGTTCTGACTGACTATGTACTTGAGGTGCCCATTACTGACAATCATTATTTGTAAAGTGTTAAATTAAACATTTTCCTGCATTAACGTACAGTACACATTTGTCTTTTAAAGATCCACTACTGTGGAGCATGAAGTTGCCTGCCTTGATGTCTCGCCTCTCTGGGAAGAAGAAATGGCATCTGTTGTGGCTGTTGGCCTCTGGACTGACATATCTGCAAGAGTTCTTGCCCTTCCTTCACTAGAGGAAAATGCCAAAGAGTTTCTTGGGGGAGGTAAGGCTTGTAATGAAGAATATATGATTACCTTGAATACTTTTCTTATAGATAACTTTTCATTCATTGTAAAACATTTTTTATATTTAGAACAATGGAAATTTGGGTTAAGTATATGATTGGAAATGTGACTGTTGGCTGCACTAGGCTAAACTAAGTTTCAGTAGATATGAGGTGTGCCTTTATATTTTTTAATTACTATATTAATGAGAAAAATTACACAGGACCCATCTAAAATTATATAGGACCCACCTAGTGTGGACATATAGGCCTTATGCAGTACTCCCTTATTCTTATATTCTTACTACAGATATGATGGAGTGTTAGGTATTTGGGAGGGAATAGTTTGATGAGGCGTACATGCAAGAATGCCTAGATATGCAGGGTAAACGTACCACATAAACATGAACACTATATAAATGTATGTATTTAGGTGACTTCATTTTATTGTGTGTATCCTTTGACAGATATTATTCCTCGTTCTATACTGATGACAACATTTGAGGGCCACCACTACCTCTTATGTGCCATGGGAGATGGCCAGCTATTTTATTTCAGCTATGCTCCATCAACTGGTTACCTCTCTGATAAAAAGAAGGTCAGATATATGATTACAAGCTGTTAAAAAATGATCTTGCATGCACAGTACAATGTGTGTACTTTGTTGTATAGCTTTTTGTATATTTTTATCAATTTCATTTTATGTCCAACAATATATTTTCCATTTTCCCAATTATCTCCAGTCTTGTTTGTTATATGCTTTATTACTTACAACTGAACTGCTGCGTGTCTTCTCACACGTGACATAGTCCTTACACACAGATACCAGCACACAAAACCTCTGCACTAACAGTTAAAAACTTGCCTGAATGAATAATTTTAGTAAACGTTTTTTCATAAGTTTTCTGTACATTGATGGTTGCAAGTTATTTGCAGGTGGTTCTTGGAACACAGCCCACAACATTGCGAAGGTTCCGTTCTCTGTCTTCGACGAATGTGTTCGCTTGTTCTGACCGACCCACAGTTATCTATTCGTCTAACCATAAGCTAGTCTTCTCCAAAGTCAATTTAAGAGAAGTGACACACATGTGCCCACTGAATGCAGAGGCTTATCCTAGTAGGTAAGTTTACTGTAATTTCTTGATTCATTTATTTATTTATATATATATATATTTTTTTATTTATTTCTTGTTTAGGGCTTCTATCCTTCTGACTAGTGCTCTGCATCTGGGTTTAATTGGAAGAGTTCTCCTAAAGTCATCTTTGTTCGAGGTGAAATAAATAACTGTAGAATGTATTACACTTATTTTAAAATTTCACAACATTTCGAACCTACATGGTTCATTCTCAAGTGATGGGACAGTACAGGTCATATTGGATTTATACCATTCGGGGTTCAGGTGTGAACAATGGGATCAGGTGAAGACAAATGGATCAAACAGTGGGTATAAAGGTCTATACAAATGGATCAAGAATAAGACATGAAGGGGAGAAGAGTAAGGTGTAAAGTGTGAAGAATAAGGCGTAAATAGAGTACGAAACACATACAAAAATTAATCAGGTGTAGTGGGCGTGGCATGTTAAGCAGTGTCTTCTATGTTGGGATCATCATGTTCTGGTCTTGTTCTTACTCTCATGGTGGGTAGAGTGAATAGTTCCGTAATTTGGGTATTTATGGTGGGTTGCTCTATTTTTATGTGGGTTGCTTCAAGAATTTGTAATCTTACATATTGGGTTTTAAAGTCTGTCTGAAACATATTCCTTTGAGGAAAGCCAGAAAGAGATCCAACGTAGAAAGAGAACACAGACGACACTACTAAAGAAAAACAAATAATGGAGATGCTTGAACAGACAGGACTCTCTCTATACAAAGAAGGAATAATTTACACAAGGAGATTGAAGAAATTGAGCAGAGACTGAAACATTCATATCAGATTGAAGAAAGGCAGCTAGAACAGAAAACAATTCAAGAAATAAAGAAAAATACAAAATATTTCTTCATGTGCAAAATTAAAAGCAAAACCACTGCCAGTATTGAACCTATTCGTATGAGTGAAGGTTCATGCATTGAGGATGGCAAAGAAATAAGTGAAATCCTAAAAAAGCAGTATGAGGACATGTTTAGCACTCCAATAAACAGCATGAAAGTGGAAGATCCGGACAACAACTCTTGTGTGATATCCAAACCCTTGTAAATATAAGTAATATCAACACGAGCGTGGCAGATTTTGAAAAAGAAATTGACAACATGCCCATGCCCTGGGTCCAGACTCATGGAATTCAGTATTTATAAAGAAATGCAAAGTGCCAGTAGCACAGGCACGCAGTATAGTGTGGAGGAAGAGCTTGGACATGGAGGAGATAACAGATGCACTTAAATCAGCAGACATAGCCCCTCTTCACAAGGGTGGGAGCAAAGCATTGGCAAAGAATTATAGACCAGTTGCACTAATGTCCCACAAAGTATTTGAGAGAGTGACGGTACTAAAAGTACTGTATTTGAGAGAGTGATCAGGAGTCGGGACACCAACACCAGGTAAAATACTGTGACATCATACTGGAGTGAACGATATGGGAGAAAATGCAGAATAGAACCAGTGAAGAGCATGGGTGCCATAAGCACAATCAGAGAACACTGTATAAACATCAGAGGTTTATGGTTGTTAAACATCCACCCCAGCGAGTATAAGAAATATTGCCGGAACAACCGTGGATATCTTCAAGAGAAAACTGGATAGTTTTCTTCAAGGAGTGCTGGACCAACCAGGCTGTGGTGGTTATTTGGGCCTGCGGTCTGCTCCAAGCAACAGCCTGTTGGACCAAGCTCTCACGAGTCAAGCCTGGCCTCGGACCAGGCTTGGGGATTAGAACAACTCCCAGAGCCCCATCAAGCAGGTATCTCCGGTCTCATCCAGATCATTGTGTGAAAGTATAGCACCAGTCTCATCCAGGTCATTGTGTGAAAGTACCACCAGTCTCATCCGGGTCATTGTGTGAAAGTACCACCAGTCTCATCCGGGTCATTGTGTGAAAGTACCACCAGTCTCATCCGGGTCATTGTGTGAAAGTACCACCAGTCTCATCCAGGTCATTGTGTGAAAGTATACCACCAGTCTCATCCAGGTTATTCCTCCCACCTTTCAATTTGTTTCTGGTTCCTTTGTTTACTACAGTCTGTGTTATACTACAAGTCTGCTGCTTCTTCCTAATTACTTCTGTTAAAAGAACTATTGACAATTTGCTTCAGTATAGAAATATTTAATGGCATTACCCAATTTTGTTTTATAAATTTCTTTTATTTGTCTTACAAGTTCATCTCTCTTTTCAGTCTTGCCTTAGCCACCAGTGAGGGCATTACCATTGGTACCATTGATGAAATACAAAAATTACACATCCGCACAGTTGCATTGGGAGAAACCCCTCGACGCATTGCTTATCAGGAGGAGACAGAGGTAAATGCTGCACACTCTAGAATTAAAGAAATTTTCTTTGAGGCACAAAATTGTAATTACCTTTATAATTATCTGTAGGAACAATAAACTATGATCAGATATTTAAAAAAAAAAAAGTCAAATTATTGTTTGCTTGAAACGTTTGATGTTATCTTTAACCCTTAAAGGGCACAAATTGTATACTGTATACGGTATACAATTTGAGTAAATGTCGCTGAACAGTGCAAATTGTATGCATGCATTTTAAAGTATTTAAAAAGTATTGACAGAGTAAAGCAGAGTTTTGACGTTTACGGCTTCAGCAGGAAAGTGGTTCCACAGGTTTACAAACCTATGGTTGAAAAAGCATCTCCTGTTTTCTGTCCTACATTGGAGGTTTGTTGAGCTTGAAGCTGTTGCTCCTTGTTCGTGTTACATCTGATCTTTTGAAGGTGTCGGTCTCTACTTCGTCCAAATTGTTTAGTATTTTGAAGGTTTCTATGAGATCTGCCCTGTCATGCCTGGTCTGCATTGTTAGCCCAGTGGCCCACAACCGTTCCTGATAAGAGAGACGACTAAGCTCTGGTATGATTTTTGTTGCCTGGTATTGCACTTTCTCCAGAGCATCTGCTCACCTAATTACTCACCTAGTTGTGTTTGCGGGGGTTGAGCTCTGGCTCTTTGGTCCCGCCTCTCAACTGTCAATCAACTGGTGTACAGATTCCTGAGCCTATTGGGCTCTATCATATCTACATTTGAAACTGTGTATGGAGTCAGCCTCCATAGTGTGTTTCACAAGTTTAGTTTCATAAATTCTGTTCATGTGTTGAATAATTCTGTTTTACATTTGTGTATTTAATTGGGCATTACATCATGCACTCTTTTCAGCATTTAATATTTACCTTGCAGACATTTGGAGTAATAACAATGCGTGTGGATGTGATGGACAATAACGGATTGCGTAGTGGGGGTGCGTGTGCCTCCCTGGGTGCCCACTCTACGTCTGCTGCATCGACAACGTCCAGCTTACTCAAGCCCCCAGTTCAACCTCCACCTGAACCTGGACAAGAAGTTGAGACACACAACCTTCTTGTTATATCACAAAATACTTTTGAAGGTATGATAAGGGAAACAAAGTATTATTATTAAAAAGTTTAATAATGTTTAGCAAAGGGGCAATTCATATGAAACATAAATCAGCATGATATATCTCTTGTGTCTCATGAAGTAGTGAGTGAGCATGAACTGGCAAGAGTGAGTAAGCATGATAAAGAAAGAGGGAGAGGGAGACAGAGAGAGAGAGGGGGAGGGAGAGAGAGAGGGAGAGGGAGAGAGAGAGGGGGGGGAAAGAGAGAGAGGGGGGGGGAGAGAGAGAGAGGGGGGGGGGAGAGAGAAGAGGGGGGCCCCCCTCTTTCTCTCTCTCTCTCATAGGATTTCTCGTTAACCATCAATTTGGTCATTGAACCAAATTTGATATATTGCCTTGCTTTTTCCTCTCTCTCCTTTGCAAGAATGTCCTTGCTCCTTATTATTTGTTTTAATTAAATAACATTTTCTCTTCAGTTCTTCACTGTCACAGTTTCCATCCTGGAGAGTATGCATTAAGCATATGCTCCACAAGGCTGAAGGATGACCCAACTGTGTATTATGTTGTGGGCACAGCACTCGTCAACCCTGAAGAGTCCGAGTCGAAACAGGGACGGATTATTCTCTTCTCGTTTGGCGAGGGTAAACTGCAGCAGGTAAACATGTGATATATCATTTTGCTTTAGTTACTTATATTATTTGTTTGAAGCATTGACAGAGAATGATATGGTATATTTTATGGTAGCAGATGGTAAATCCATCCTCTGTTGTGTTATGTCTCACATTGTTTTCTGAGGCAAGCCCTTGGTGACTCCCTGAAGCTATCTTGCTGACATTGCTGCATTTATGGAGTAACATCAGTCGCAGGAGTTTTGTTTGGCCTACCGGGTACCAAAAACAGAATTGGGCCATGTCATAGGGGTGCAGAGGGCAAGTGACAGTTTGCCAACACACTGGGAAAGTATCCAAAATGTCAGTGATGCTTTACAGTAACCTGTCCTCAGACAAAGTCCATTCCATCCAGCGATCGGCCCCAAAAGATGCATTCATCAATTTTAACATGCTGTTTATTAACCCTTGTGTTGCTAAGGGCTAATTGGCCTTTGTCACCCACAGGCGTATAACAAACAAAAATAACAGAATTAAAAGAAAATTTCTTTTTAACCTGTTAATTTGTGTTCCCTGATCACGGGAAAAATAATAAAAAATTCGTAAGTGGCATATTTTGGCCGCAATAGGTCGGGGAAGCCTGGCAAAAGAGACGTGCCGACTCAGCAAGCGTTGGGGAAGTTCTGCTTCGCCCCAGCTGTCAGGCGGGGGTTGCCACAAAGATATAATTACCTAATTATTTCAATTTCTCTGATTAATTTTCTTCATTTTTTGCTCTTAATATTATTCAATAGTGTGCAGTGTGATTTATTTATATAATAAATTGTGTAAATGATTGCTGTACTCAAAATTATGGAGTGCATATTATTGATTCAATTATTATGTTCATAAAACGGTGAACAAATACTTTGTCGGTTATTACACTATATACACAGGTTATATATAAGTATCTACATTTGTGTTCCCCATAGCAAACCACTAATCTTGTGTGGTGACAACAGACAGTAACAGGTGGCCACACACAATTCATGCTCCCTCCCTCCCTCTCGTCGTCACTGGTTCAAGGCCAGACGCACTAACGTTCCTCCTTCAAGTATACTGTTTGTGGTGTTATTACCCTATATACACACATTATATATAAGTATCTACATGTTTTGTTCACCATAACTGTTCAACTAAGGCAGTATAGTGCCGAAAGAGCATAGTGGTCACCCTTACCCAGCATGACAAATCATGCAGATGTTGCTACCTCACCAATATGGCTTCTCCCAACACTCCTTTTGCTGTTATTACACTATATATACACTACACATTATTTATAAGTATCTACATTTGTGTTCACCATAACGAACCATTAAGCTGGTATGGTGAGAGGCAGTGGCTGTCACTCCCTCCCTCCCCTCACCACGTCACCTGTCTCGCCACCATTCTCCTCCCACCATACTGTTTTTGCTTTTATTCACTATATGCAGATGTTATATATAAGTATCTGCATGTTTCGTTCACCATAGCGAACAACTAAGCTGGTATAGTGAGTCCAGACAGTAAAAGGTGGTCACACAGTCAGCAGACAACACTACCTTCCTCCCCACTAAGATTACTCCTCCCACTACAGCGCTAATTATCACAACAATCCTGCTATTATCAGAATCCTTGTCATTTTTATCATAGTCAGGGGTCTTCTGTAATACTATCATTGCTAAATAATAGATGTACATATATATTGTTGACCAGACCACACACTAGAAGGTGAAGGGACGACGACGTTTCGGTCCATCCTGGACCATTCTCAAGTAGATTCTCAATCGACTTGAGAATGGTCAACATTCTTCAGCCACATTATTGTGACTCATCGCCTGCATACATGTATATTATGGCATTTTTAGGAGATGCTGTGGTCACAAGCTGAACAGCAGTGCTGTGAGCTCATGCTGCGTGCATCAGCCTTGGTGGCTCACTCAATACTGAGGCCCCTCACACCCGGGAATGTGGCCCACGATTTAAAAAAAAAATGGTTTCTGTTTACAAAAGCCCTGATGAAGGTGAGGTGAACCCGGGGTATCCGCTGGCCGTTTAAATCTTGCGTAGTACTCAAACACGTCACATGACATGATGCGCAATTTTGGGTAAGGTACTCAACATGTCATGTGACGTGTTGCACAGTTTAAGGGTTAAAAATAGGAATTTTCTCAAATATAAATTAATATTGTTATATATTATCATATTGTGCCTATTTAGGTATTGGTTAAAGGTGTAGGTTCTGTTGGCAATTATTTGTATTTGTAAAACGTGGGTGAAGCATTTACAGAATTGTCGTTCAAACAAAAGTTGTCAGCAAAGCACTTGTTCCGGAAGTGTTCAAACATCATCAGTTGTGAGTCGTGTGTAAACCGTTTTTCATTCATAAACTGGGGGATTTGTATAGAGCATGAAATGGACTTTGGCCTTTGTTTATGAGGATGGGATATTTACAGACAACTGGAGGGTTCATTTAAAATGAAGTCTCAGTATTGCCAAATAACACAAATGATTCACACAGAACAGTAGGTTCAATCAAAACTCATTAGTACCAATATCCACCACCAGACGGACTGGCCCCCCAGCCTGCAGCCGCTTCCCAGCTCACTGATGTGATGGGGGTTAATACTACTAGTAGTACTCTGTCAGTTGTGGCAAGTTCCTCTGCGTCAAGCTAAGTGCTGGCCATCTTTATACTTCATTCTTCCTGCGGGAGCAATTTACTCGTGTGTTGTTCTTTGATTCTAGTATCAGCTTCACATCTGTGTTTTCTTTCATTCTTGTTTTGTGGGCTTGGCTTTTGTGCTTTGAGCTGCATGTGCTCGGGGTTTTCTTACATGGGTGTTCGCTAGCACTGCACTTGCACTGACAGTTACTTCTCTTCTGTGTTTGGGAGTTTGCTCCTAAGAGGCCAGGCTAACAGGTTGGGAAGAGCCTTATCTTGGTCAGTTCATGAGTCTGTGATGCCTGTGTTTGGGCCCCTTGGCCAAGGGCATTCTGTTGGTTATATGGGGGTGCACTGGGGCATGTTCGCTTATTTATATGGCACGGCTCTAAGAGTGTTGGCTGCATTTGGTAACTGTTCTTTTTCCAAGCAACCCCAGGGCCTGGGTATCCAGTTTAGCTAGCCATCAGGCCTTGGTAATTTTCCCAGGGGTCTCGGGTGTGGTTCCTTATGGGTCAACCAGCTGAGCCAGCACTTGCTGCATGTGAGTTTGTAAGGTATTCATCGTCCTTGCTACTGGGCGATATTCATTCTTTCTGCCTTCATGCTGCCTTCTTGGTCGGTGACAACTATGACCATCAGTCTTTTGAGATTTGCTTTCACTGGTTCTGCAGTGACTGTTTCAGCTTCAAATTTGGAATGTTTTCATGTGGCTGCTGCTTTACAGAAGAGGTTTGCTTGGGTTAGACATTCGCTGCATTGTAGCTGTTTGACTGATTAGTTGTCATTTCCCTGTCTGTAATGGAGTTGCTCAGTCCCTTCTCATTTGTGGAGTGGAGACTCATGGTTCAGGATTCCTCCCTGGAACTTCTTTGGGTCATACGAGTCATGATACCACCTCTGCAGTGTATCTGGTTATTGCAGGTTGGTTGCACTCTGGTGTGGCCTCATCCCTTTGGTGGGAGTCCTGACTGTTCCTGGTCCCGAAGCATGGTTCAATGAATCTATGGTACATCCTTGATCTTTCGAGATTGAACAGCTTCATTTCTTATCTAATCTTTTGTATGACCACTTTGGCCCATGATTGCCTGCTACTATAGGTTGGAACTTGGATAGTGTCCCTGGACAAGCATGCTTGTTGACATGTCCCTATTCGTCCCAGGATCAGGGACTGGCTATGTTTCATTGTTGAGCATGATGCTTACTGCATCAGGGTTGTCTCCTTTAACTTAAATCTGGTCCCTGTGTCTGTTAACCAAGGAAATGCAGCTCAGTATGGTCCCTCAACATCTCTTAGGGGTTCATTTGTTGGCCTACATCAATAATGGACTGGTTTGGGCCCCATTAATTTTGCGCGTCAGCAAGCTAGGAAACTGGTTCTTTCCCAATGTGGGTTCCTGGTAAACTGGATTACCAGTTGGTTGTATTCCAGGTTTGGACCTGGCTGGACCTAGTTGGGACTCGCTATTGTCTTCTCTGTCGCAGCCTCCAGTTGCCCAGTTTGTTTCCTCTGCGGTGGCTTCATCCCACCCCATTTACCAATAATTGTATATTTAGGAATCTTTATACATTACTATATTGATAATTTCCTTTTCAGGTGGCTGAAAAAGAGATAAAAGGAGCTTGCTATTCTCTGTGCGAGTTCCAGGGCAAATTGTTAGCTTCAATTTCAAGTACGGTGAGTTATAGCAGCTGTTATGTATGTTATCATCACTACAGACAAGTGTTAAAACAGGGAAAAACAAGTGTCTATAGACATATTCTTAGTAAGACAAGCAAGCAGTGAGCACATAACCAGGTCCTAGTGGTATGGCTACAAAATGTAAGAGAAAGAGTACCCTAGAAATGTCATCACTGTTGTTATAATGTAAAGGGACTCCTCTTCCAAACAATAACACCTCTCCTTCCCCCTTCCTCACTGTCTTCCATATGCCAACAATAGTCCTCAATAAAGGTAAGATATACTTGTACATACTGTAGTACAAAATATAAATAGTAGTATGTATAAAATCTATTTTTAAGTTAATATTTTTGGAGGCGTGGAACAGATTAATTTAATTTACTTACTTCTTAGAGGAAAATTTGTTTCGGTTATCAAATTTTCGGTTTTCAAACTCTCTGGAAACAGATTAAATTTGAAAACAAAGGTACCATGGGTCTGACAGCTGAATGCAGAACACAGTTCTGCATGTGGGTTCAGGAATCTGTACATCAGTTGATTGACGGTTGAGAGGCAGGACCGAAGAGCCAGAGCTCAATCCCAGCAAACACAACTAGGTGAGTACAGTCAAATCATGACATGGAACAAAAACGCAATGTAAAGGGTTTGGATGTACTCATGTCGGAAGACCTTACCTTTAAAGAACACAATAAAGTAGCCATCACAACTGCAAGAAAAATGACAGGTTGGATAACAAGAACTAGAGAGGCAACTAAAATGCCTAAATCTATATTCTCTTGACCGCAGGCAGGAGAGATACATAATAATTTACATGTGGAAAATAGTAGAGGGGCTGGTCCCAAACCTGCACACAGAAATAACACCACATGAGACCAGAAGGCAAGGCAGGATGTGTAGAATACCCCTGTTGAAAAGCAGAGTTGCAATAGGTACTCTGAGAGAGAACTCTATCAACATCAGAGGCCCGAGACTGTTCAACACGCTTCCACTACACATAAGGGGCATAACTGGCTGACCCCTCACAGTGTTCAAAGAGAGAACTTGATAAACACCTCCAAAAGATACCTGATCAACCTGGCTGTGATTCATTCGTCAGGCTGCGAGCAGCCGTGTCCAACAGCCAGGCTGTGATTAACTCGTCAGGCTGCAAGCAGTGTCCAACAGCCTGGTTGACCAGTCCAGTAACGAGGAAGCCTGGTCGAGGACCGGGCCACGAGGACGCTAAGCCCCAAAAACACCTCTAGGTAACCTCAAGGTAACAGGCGCACAGCAAACACGCCCCCCTTCTTCACGTCCCCACAGCCAGAGTAAGAGGATTTTAGTTTTTTTTTTTTTTTACATGTACATGTTCAGGAAAGGGAATTTATCATTTTATAAGATCAAAATTTTTGGGGGAACACTTGATTTTCGGCGCACAGGAGGAATGTCCCAATAAACACAGTGCATCACAGTGGTTAATGTTGTTTGTGTCTTGAGAGTGGACTGGCGATACCTCTCTCAGTTGTCTAAATGTGAATTAAAAAATACCTTGATTTATTATTTTTAACATAAAATACAGTACATAAATATTGGTTCTTTTTCAGGTGAGGCTGTTTGAATGGACCAATGAAAGAGAACTACGACTAGAGTGTTCCCACTTCAACAATGTTGCAGCCCTGTGTCTGAAGACTAAAGGGGACTTCATCCTTGTTGGTGACTTGATGCGCTCAATGACCCTCCTCCAGTACAAGACATTGGAGGGCAGTTTTGAAGAAGTGAATGAAAATATTTTTATTTTTACAGTTTATTTGTACAATTTAGGTTCATGTTAATACATTGATTTATCGTTTTGCTTCATCATTTATTTGGGGACTAACTTACATGTGCAGCATTTTGGACAAAATTCACTGAATCACGAGTTTATGAAATTATAGAGAAATATTATGGCAAATTTGTGAAAAGTAAAAAAAATCTAGGTGTAGTAATTTTGCCATGGTAGGCCAAACAAGGTAGATTTACCTCCAGAGTGCCACGAACCCAAACCAAAAAAATGGACTTCATATACCGGTACTCAAAAAACTACTTTTTAAAGTTGTTATAGAGATTATAACACAAAGACCAATATAATTAATTTTAGTTGCCATAACGTGGCTGTAGAGGTGCTGAAAATGGGGTTTTGTTTCTATACTTCCCCTGACAAAAAAATAATAATTCTAAAAAAAATCTTTTGATTTGAGAGTGGCTATCTCCAGAACTATTCTGGAGATGAGTGATATCTGGTGGTGGTAGGGTAACTTTTGATTTGTAACCAACTGTAAGACAAATTACATTACTGTGATATATATCAATGATAAAATCAGTTGGGGAAATAAAGCGACTGGCATCGGCAAGCAAGGTACTGGCCACCATGCAGCCTCTAGACTTGCTGAGGATTCAGTGAACTCCCAGGTTTATAGCTTGTCTTGGTACAGGGGTGAGGTGCATGGCTGGGAGTACCCTCATCGCTAGTCTGAGCTGCCTCTTTCTTCAAATTTATTTTCTCACCAAATGTAATCTCATCATCTTACTTTTGTAATATAAAATGTGACAATATTTGTCACTGCTCTTAAGGCAAAGTACATTTTCGTTTCCAATATACATTACCTTCCAAACTGTAAGCTAAATGTTACTCACTTTATGCTAATAATATAGTTTGATTTAGACTGATGTACACATGTTGAGGCCTTATTTTAACAATTGGAATAGAATTGGAAATCAATCCAGAATAGGGGTTTGTTTTGGGATGCTTGCCTTCCAGGGTGCCTGACCCAGTCAATGGCAGATATAGAATGTTTCCAACCACATGGGCGGGGGGGGAGGTTCTATTGGCCATTGCTCCTTGTGCCTCTTTGAGGGGGGGCCAGGTTCTGGCGCGTGGTTTCCCAGAAGGCCTCGAGCTCCATTCACACTGACTGATTCCAAAGTCGAATATTAGCAATATCAGCCTGGATAGCTCCGAGGAGCCTCCGGGTCTCACCCAGAAAATGGCTTTTCATTACATTGAACGCTGGTTTTTTAGCTCCTATTTTTTAATAAAATTATTTTTCATTAAATTTTACATTTTCTTTTGTGAATTTGACGTTGATTTTTTACAGATTGCAAGGGATTATGACCCCAACTGGATGACAGCAATCGAGATTTTAGATGATGAGCTGTTCCTGGGAGCAGAACATTCTCATAATCTTTTTGTTTGTCATAAAGATAGGTAAGAACTCTCAATTTTCTTTTCATGCTAAATCTTAGTTATTTGTGTTGCAAAAACAGAAATATGTGTTGTGCTGATATACAAAGTTGGATACAAAGGCTTATGGTATACACCTTGTGTCCAACTTAGCATATGCCTTGTGTCCTTGTGTATAGTTAGACATAGGTGTATTTCATATTGCTTAAAAATAGTTACAAATAGTCACTATTTTTTTAGTAACGAAATGATTTTATGGACACCAGAGCATTGCACGGATCTAAAGTTTATATCATTGCAGGAGATGAGTCACAATAACGTGGCTAAACGTGATATAATGTGGCTTTATATCATTATATCTGCATTTTGAGGAGGAATTTGGGAATAAAATAGTTCCGGGCATGCATTCACAAGTAAACAGAAGTTTCAGATATGTTTCAGTAAATTAGACATTATCTTAGTATTTATTTAATAATTTTTAACAGTAATTGGTCAGTATACAGTCTTCGTACATTCTGTCTTACCATCATCTTTACGTTGGTAAGATCTCACCACCCTGTGGTCTTCTTCTCCGCGATAATATGAGGTTTCTTGGTGGGCTTTCCTCCATTTTCTTTCTCTTCGTCGTGTTTTGTCTGTGTCGGACAAAGTTGTTGTGTCCTTTCTCTTTTGCCTTTTTCTGGAGCGGCATCTCTCGCCAATTACTGTTGCTTGTTATCATGCAGCACTGGTGGAGCCGCGTCAGTTTGAGTTGGGGTCGTTGTCCTTTCTGCCCCATTTTACAAGCTTTCTCGTGCATCCTTTCACTTCCGGCCTGCTCGTGTGCTGCCTGAGTCTACTTGGTCCTTGGAATGCGGTTTGCCCTTCCTTTTTTCACCTTAGTTTGTGGAGGCCCTTTTGATTCAGGATTTTTTTGTTAGCTTTGGCCTCTGGTGTTTAGATCGGGGAGCTTCAAGCTCTTCTCCGGTGCTGGGGGTTTTGTTCGTTTGGTCCTGGTGGTCGTTTTGTTTGTTTGCAACCAGCTACTTCTTTTCTGGTAAAGAATGAGACAGCGGACTTTCAGAGGAGTCCGTTGTTTGTGGATACTTGGTTTGACCTGTGTTGCATCACATGTCAAATTAACACTTTGAGGTTCCACAGACTGATTATCTCGTCACTCATTTTTCTACTGAATGTGTTCCAACGACGCAATACTGAGTCACTCATTAAAATATTTTTTAAAAATTTAAATTTTATCAGATCAATCTGGTAGTGGTTTTAAAATAAGCGCCTTTAGATTGCACACAATTTGATACCAAAATCAAAGATATAACATGAAACTTGATGTCCAAACACTTGAAATATTATAAATAGGCCTATAGTCCGAATATTAAAATAATTGTTAAAATTCTATTTATTGTCCTATTATCTTGGGACTAGTTTTAAAATGCGCGCCGTTTTATTGCGAACACTTTGATACCAAAATGAAAGATGTAACACAAATATTTATGTCAGAACACTGGAAAGATATAAATAAATTTGTGATGATGAGCATCCAGAATTAAAATATTTGTTAAAAATCCAGTTATTGCTCTATTATTCTGGGACTAGTTTTAAAATACTCGCCTTTTTATTGCGAACAATTTGATACCAAAACGAGCGACGTAGCACGAAATTTGATGTTATCAAATTGAACGAGTTGAACATTAGGTTGCAATGTACAAAATGGTGCTCGTTCATGGGTAACTTTAGGCTTTTCTGCGGGGAGGCACTCCAGCCTTTTGTACATTTTATTCATACACATCTGTAGGGAATTTAATTGCGAACACAATGATACCAAAATGAGCGACGTAGCACGAGAATTAAGGTAAAAAAATGGAACGAGAATGCACATGTTACTGATTTTGTGCGTTTTTGCCGACTTTACGCTTTGCTGTTGGGAGTCACGCTAGGCTTTTGGACATTATATTTATACACACCTGTAGAGAATTTAATTGCGAACACAATGATACCAGAACGAGCGACGTAGCGCGAGAATTAAGGTGAGAAAACTGGAACGAGTATACACATTTGAGTGTCACCGCGCGCTTACCCGCACGGAGGGGCCACGATCCCCCTGTCAACCGCGAGTTTCCACGGAGCGCGAAAGTGTTAAATCTGTACCACCCTATCTCTGCCCTCTGTTTACAGCTGATGAGTCCTCATTATGAGGCAAAATTAGTACATGTACAGTTCTGCTCTATTCTACTGCAATTGTATTTTTGTTTATTAACTTGCAACAGTGCAAAGTCTTAAGACCTGATTATATCTTTTGTTGCAGTGCAGCAACATCTGACGAGGAGCGACAACAGATGCAAGAAGTTGGGAGGTTTCACCTAGGTGATTTTGTGAACGTGTTTCGTCACGGAACACTAGTGATGCAAGGGGTTCCTGAGGCATCTACTGTGACTCAGGGGTGTGTCCTGTATGGCACAGTTCATGGTGCACTGGGTGGGTGAAAGTTTCTTGTTTTAATTGTACCAGAAAGGTTTTTCTAAAATTTATAGAGTAGTTTATTATTACTATTATGCTGTGGTGTCTTCAGATAATTATTTTTTTAAATTGTACAGTAATTAACAGAGTTGTTAGACTGTAAAACCATATTTTAAAGTGCAAATATTTTGGCCTTTGTCTTGACGAATTTTATTAGTGTAGCACAAACCTTTAGTTGAGTACTATGTATACTGAACAAGGATGGCTCTTCTCTGGCCCCGACCACGGCGGTCTCCGGGTCTCGAGTCCCTGTGTCTGGCCTCCAATACAGGAGGCCAGGCACAGGATACAGAATGGGAGATGAAGTCCTTCATAGAACGGACAGAGAGAAGGATCTAGGAGTTGATATCACAGCAACCCTGTCTCCTGAAGAGTTGAACAAACATCAAAAGAACAACATCTGCGGCATATGCGAGGCTGGCTAACGTCAGAACTGCCTTCAGGAACCTGTGTAAGGAATCATTCAGAACCTTGTATACCACATATGTAAGACCAATCCTGGAGTTTGCGGGCCCAGCATGGAACCCCATACCTTGTCAAGCACAAGGCGAAGCTTGAAAACATTCAGAGATATACCACTAGGCTAGTCCCAGAACTAAGATGCATGAGTTACGAAGAAAGGCTGCAAGAAATGCACCTCATGACACTAGATGACAGAAGAGTAAGGGGAGACATGATCACAACCTACAAAATTCTCAGGAAAATTGACAAGGTAGACAAGGATAAACTGTTTAACACTGGTGGTATGCGAACAAGGGGACACAGGTGGAAACTGAGTACCCAAATGAGCCACAGGGACGTTAGAAAGACCTTTTTCAGTGTCAGAGTAGTTAACAGATGGAATGCATTTGGCAGTGATTTGATGGAGGCTGACTCCATACACAGTTTCAAATGTAGATATGATAGAGCCCAATTGGCTCGGGAATCTGTACATCAGTTGAGTGACAGTTGAGAGGCGGGACCAAAGAGCCAGAGCTCAACCCCCGCAAGCACAATTAGGTGAGTACAGCTCCATTCTCCAATCATGAGGCCCTTAGAGTGGATGCCTTTCCACTGGACTTTTTAAGGTGGGGGATTCTGTACTTCTTTTCTGGGTTAAAGTCCTGGCCAGTTTGGAATCGTAATAGGGAAGAGTACTCATTGATGTACTTTGCTAGTTTGACCTTCTCAGCTCTCTATGTCTGGAATTTGTGGCGCATCCATGTTTATGGTGAGTGTTTGCTTTTTTATGGTGTCCTACCAGCATTTTTCTTCTTGGCTGCAGTATTAGGTTTTGTGGCTCTGCTTTTGCCTCCTAGTTCTCTTCATCTTTGCTCTTCAGTTTCTGAGGGTGTGTGGTGCTCTTTATTTTCTTTTTTGGCATTTTCTTCATCAGCATTTCATGCCAAATACTGTTGCTTCATATTATGGGACTGTGGCGAAGCCACTACAGCTTGCGTTCAGTGTCGATTTTACCTCGGCTTCGTTTCGCATGCTGTCTCACTCCTTGTTGCACCTCCTGCCTGCTCATGCACTGCATGAGCCAGTCTGGTCTTTGGACACTTTTGGCCTTTTCTTTCCTCCTTTCCTATTTTGTTGGCTCTTGCCCCCCATTGTCAGGTTGGGAAGCTTTATGCTCTCCTCCGAAGGAGTGGGTTATGTTCTTATAGCCTTGCTGGGTTTTTTCTTTTGCCATCTCCTCATTTTCTGACACAGAATGAAATGGAAGGCTTGGTTTGTCTGGCCAGGGTGCATCATTTGTTTTGTCTGGTCACAGCAGTTCATCATTTGTTTTGTCTGGTCACAGCAGTTCATCGCTACCTGTGCACCACGATCTTTGATTTGGTGGACATCCTGTTCATTGATCTGGTTTCTATGGTTCCCTATTCTAAGGCACATTTATGCCAGGTGGTGCACGGTGTTGTCAAATCTCGCCTGCCTTTGGTCTACTCTTGGGCCCATGATGTTCGCAAGTTTGCAGCTGTGGCCATTGTGTTTGCCCCTATGTCACAGGCAGCTGTTTGGGCTTGGAGTTTTTAGTAAGTCTATCAGGGTTCTTGTGACTCATTTAGTTGTCGCCTCCTCCTTCCTGGTAAGCTCTATATTTTTTTCTTCTTTGTTGTTAGATAGCCCTAGAGAGTCACCAAGAGGTTCCTCGATAAAACCAATGTTAAATATATTGTAAATTTTCCATCCATACTCTGTGATTAGCTATAGGCAGTTATCTTTTGGCCCTCCAGAAAACCACCATCAAATGTGATGAGATGCCTATTTCTGTTAGGGCCTCGCTGGCTTCCCCCCTTTTAGGTTTGTCGGTGGGTGTGTTTTTTTTTTTCAGCTCGTGATTGAGCTCTGTTGACATGGGGAAGCCAGAGCTGTCAATCATGCTGCCACCTAGCGGTGGCTAGTTGTAATTAGTGGTTCTGACCTAACTGCAGGGTGGATAGTTTGTGGAGTTGTTTGGTGCTTTGTTTCTTTTTGTTCTGTGAACCTTGTAGTTGTCTGTTTTGCTTCACTTAATTTTAGATGTTTCTTTGGCGAGGGTGATTATAACAATCCTCTGCTTGCTGTGCTCTGTTGTTGTGCTACCTGTCTGGTAATAACAAGTAATGGGTTAAAAATAACTATCTTTTATGTACACAGTAAAATAATTTTTTTAAATATAATTAAATTGCATGCATAAGTCTTATATATGTACTCAGATATTTGCTTGAATTATAAAACTCCTTTTCTATGTCACTTTAAATTTTTTGTTGTTGTTTCTCAGGACTTGTGACAAGCCTGCATTTGGAACTATACAATCAGCTTTTAGAGATGCAGAAGCGACTTGCTCGCATTATTAAATCAGTTGGAAAGATTGATCATGACTTTTACAGAAGCTTCAGGTATGTTACCATTTAACAGTTTGTTTTCTAAAAAACACCACCTTCCTCGTTGCCTCCAGCTTGCCCTTGCCTCCCTGAAAGCTAACTTTATTCTTATCCTTCCTTTCGACAACGGCAATTCGATGGTTGTCCTTGATGATTATGTGGACTACCTCCAAAAGGCTGGTGTTGTGCTCTCTGACTCCCATACATATGCTTCTCTGATTGCTAACCCTTTGGATTGCCTTAAAACTTCTTTAACTGTAAACTAAGACAGTTCTATAGTCTATGTTCTCCTGACTTTGATCTCGTAAAACATTTCTGTGTCATTTGCCCTCCTTTTCCTTATTTCTATCGTCTACCTAAAACTCACAAACCTGGTGTTCCTCTTTGTCCTATCATTTCTACAAGAGGCTCTGTTTGCTATCCTCTTAACTCTTGGCGTGCCAAAACTCTCACTCCTTAACCCCTGCACTGCGCACCTGTTTTTGGCAAAAACTTCATAGTGCAATTTATAAAGACATTTTTGTTGTTTTTATAAATATTCAGGTAAAGTTGATGTCAAAATGTTTCCAAACTCAACCACTTTCATTTCAAAACACAAAGAGTGATGAAAACATTAAAAAACATTAAAATACAGCCTAATTAAAAAAAAAGTACAACTCTCAGAACAAGATATCTTGGTTGGCGCAGCACAGTGGTTAATGAACAAATCCCCAAGGGCCATGATGAGGGTTTGAACCTCCATCCAGGATGATCCCAGATGCGCCTTAGTCGATTGTGCCACGACATGGTCAAAAGAATTGCAAATCTTTTTTGAATTAAAAATTCCTTTGATCATGTCGTGGCACAATCGACTAAGGCACATCTGTGATCATTCTGGACGTAGGTTCAAACCCTCATCACGGCCCTTATGGATTTGATATATCACGCCAATGTGATTTCTGTGTGTATCTCACTCCTTATCTTTTTACTTTTTCTGTGGGGAGCCCCATAGGCTCCCTGAGCTATCCATACTGATATAGTGCTATGTCATGGAGTCCTCAGTCACAGAGTTCTTGTTGCCTACCGAGAACCAGAGCCAGAACCTGGCCCCCCTCAGAGAGGTGCAGAGAGCAATGGCCTATGAGCACTTTACATTTATAGTATACCATACTTGCTATTTACCGGGGAAGGCCCCCCAGAAAGGTAGGCAAATCAAAACAGACCACTGTCTGGTTGAAAATTCTGAGCTATGGCCTCAGAATAGCAAAGAAAGAAGAACAACAAGCAACACATCATCTAACTAGTTAAAGTTAGAACAAGTTAATATAAATGCCACAGCTCTCTGTGCCTCTGTGAAGGGACCAGGTTATGGTGCTTTGTCCCTGGGAGGCCAGAGAACACCACGATTGATGGCATCTGTAGCACTTACATCAGCGATGGTAGCTTCAGGGTGCCACTGGGGCTTGCCCAGAAATTAGTGTTTTATTACATTCAATGATGGTTTTTTGACATCAGGGGTTGTAGGTCTGCCATCTACTCCATATCTCTGTTTCGGTCATTATGAGTTATTTTTGCTCTGGGGTGAATGACTTGCCTCCTGCCTTCCAGTGGGTATCCTATCTGATCTCGGTCTGTAGGCAGTCCATAGTTCTTATACCAGTCATAATCATTATACGTAAGCAAAACTCAAACTAAATATTTAAAAGTGACATCATAATTATAGTATATTACCACAATTGATTATGGTTAGTATAGGCATAGTAGCATAATAAATAATGTTTTGTGATGTTTAAGGTTTATTTACAGAAAATCTTTAAAATGTGGTTGTTTTGCTTTAAGTAAAATTTACTTATTAAAATTTTTTCTGGTTGAGCAATGATTAAATGTTTGTTCCCATAGCACTGAACGCAAGACTGACAGGTGTGAGGGCTTCATTGATGGTGACCTGATTGAGAGTTTCTTGGACCTTGGCCCAGAAAAGATGAAGGAAGTAGCTCAGGGTTTGATGGTAAGTGTTTGGAAAAAGGGTCGAATCCCCTCTAAAGCACGAAAATATTAACTTTATGTAGAAAAGGACATAACAGTATATTGTTGTTTCACTAGATACTTTAAACAAAGCGCCATAGAATACTGGTAATACAGCAACAAAAAAAAAAATATATATATATATATATATTGGTGTATACTGGCAGCAGGTTTTCTTTCAAACATGTTTCATTGAATATGACCGCATATTCTGTATTTATTATTTTCTGGTTTAGGGCTTCTATCCCTCTAACTATTTTCTTAGCATCAGGGCTTAATTGGAATAGGAGTTCTCCAAAACTCATTTTCGTACTTTTAAGGTGAAGAAAAGAAGTGATTTACTATAGAGTGTATTACACTTATTTGTATAATTTGCACGACGTTTCGAACCTCCATGGTTCATTCTCAAGTGAACAGATCTTACAATACTAGTTGATTTTATACCCGCATTAGGTCAGGTGATAATACAATGAAGGTGAAAACATGGGGGGATACATAAGGGATAAACATAGGGGCTGCAGAAGGCTTATTGGCCCATACGAGGCATCTCCTATCTAAACACAAAGATTAATCCAGTGTAATTGGCCTGTTATGTTGGACATTGTCTTCTGTGTTGGCATCGATATGTTCTTGTCTTGTCCTTACTCTCATGGTAGGTAGAGTAAATAGTTCCGTGATTTGGGTGTTCATGGTAGGTCGCTCTATTCTTATGTGAATTGCCTCAAGATTGCCTCTTGAGGCAATTCACATAAGAATAGAGCGACCTACCATGAACACCCAAATCACGGAACTATTTACTCTACCTACCATGAGAGTAAGGACAAGACAAGAACATATCGATGCCAACACAGAAGACAATGTCCAACATAACAGGCCAATTACACTGGATTAATCTTTGTGTTTAGATAGGAGATGCCTCGTATGGGCCAATAAGCCTTCTGCAGCCCCTATGTTTATCCCTTATGTATCCCCCCATGTTTTCACCTTCATTGTATTATCACCTGACCTAATGCGGGTATAAAATCAACTAGTATTGTAAGATCTGTTCACTTGAGAATGAACCATGGAGGTTCGAAACGTCGTGCAAATTATACAAATAAGTGTAATACACTCTATAGTAAATCACTTCTTTTCTTCACCTTAAAAGTACGAAAATGAGTTTTGGAGAACTCCTATTCCAATTAAGCCCTGATGCTAAGAAAATAGTTAGAGGGATAGAAGCCCTAAACCAGAAAATAATAAATACAGAATATGCGGTCATATTCAATGAAATATTATATATATATATATATATATATATATATATATATATATATATATATATATATATATATATATATATATATATATATATATATATATATATATATATATATATATATATATATATATATATATATATATATATATATATATATATATATATATATATATATATATATATATATATATATATGTCGTACCTAGTAGCCAGAACGCACTTCTCAGCCTACTATGCAAGGCCTGATTTGCCTAATAAGCCAAGTTTTCATGAATTAATGTTTTTTCGACTATCTAACCTACCTAACCTAACCTAACCTAACTTTTTCGGCTACCTAACCTAACCTAATCTATAAAGATAGGTTAGGTTAGGTTAGGTAGGGTTGGTTAGGTTCGGTCATATATCTACGTTAATTTTAACTCCAATAAAAAAAATTGACCTCATACATAATGAAATGGGTAGCTTTATCATATCATTAGGAAAAAATTAGAGAAAATATATTAATTCAGGAAAACTTGGCTTATTAGGCAAATCGGGCCTTGCATAGTAGGCAGAGAAGTGCGTTCTGGCTACTAGGTACGACATATATATATATATATATATATATATATATATATATATATATATATATAATATATTAGTATATTTTGGTAGCAGTCTTTTCTGTAGACATACTTTTTCGGTCATATTTAATAATATAAGATTAATAATTCTAACACGAATTTTCTCAATCTTTCGTACATTTCTTTTCACTGTTGGAGGTAATTCAAAAATCAATTCTAGTCTAGAAATAAAAATGAATTTTGGAGAATTGATTTTTGAATTACCTCCAACAGTGAAAAGAAATGTACGAAAGATTGAGAAAATTCGTGTTAGAATTATTAATCTTACTTTTTCGGTCATATTTAATAATATATATATATATATATACACACACATATGTGTACTAACCAAGTGTCAACATGTTTCTCTACATATAATAAGAATTAATAATTATGATCTTGGCATAATGTGTAGGTGAGTATGGTTGTGTTAACTTAAGGTTGAGGCCTAGATGTTGAAGGGAGGATTGGGTTGGGTTTGTGTTTGGTTAGGATATGTTTTGTTTAGTTTAGTTAGGTTAGGTTAGGTTTAGTTAGCTTTGGTTTGATTAGCTTTTGTTTGGTTAGCTTTGGCTTAGTTAGGATCAGTTTTGTTTGGTTAGGTTAGATCAGGTTTGCTTTGGTTTGGTTGTTAGTTTGGAGACGATGAGTCACAATAATGTGGTTGAAGATATAAAGACTAAACCACAGACGAGAAGATGAGATGACAATGTTTCAGACCGTTCTGGACCATTATCACAATCGACTTGATAATGGTCCAATACGGACTAAAACGGTGTCGTTTCCTCATCTTTTGGTGTTTGGTTTAGCCTTCATGATAGGTTGGGTTTGGTTAGATTATGTTTGGCTGGAATTGGTTAGGTTAACATATGCCAATACAAACTTGCTTCATTGGCATTATAAATTTGCTCAGGAGAGAGAATCACAATCTCAAATTTGGATACATTCCATTGCCCCTCTATCCACCACACAGGGGACATTCCAGATTCATCTTTCCTTATAAGGCGAATGGTCTGATAATATATCACCACAACATGTTTTCTCTTGACATCACTGCTTGTTGAAGCCCTAAACAACGTATTAACTGCATTTCCTGATGCACTAGTAGCAGGATGCAAAAAATATGCACAGATATAAAACAGTGAGAGAGGGGGAAGGTTGTCTGCTGGGGGTAAACAAAAACAAACAGCGACGTCACCGGCTAGTCAGTGGCTGGCCGCGGAACTACATAGACTTCTTCTAAATGAAGGTGCCACCTGGGGAGCCCGGATCGCAAACGAATAGATGGAATAAACCAATGATCGAGGTCCGATAGCAAGGTTGGGGAGTGTATTGCATTTATGACTCCATACTGTGAGATGTCAATCATAGTGTAACATTAAAGTTTATGCAAACTGTTTTAGAAAACCTCCCTTAGTATTCAAGCCTTTACTTAGTACATATATAAAACTGTGCTCATTACACCAGCTGTGATAGTATTGATACAACATTGGAGCTTTGAGGAGATAGCAATTCCAGAGGTGATCAACTAGAAAGATTTTACACTAGGTGTGATAACAGTGAGGAGCATGGAGGCAGTGGAAGGTGTTATTTACACCTCTTAAGTAACTACAGGAAGGTCAAAGGAGTAATGATACATGCAACAAAACACACATTAAGATAATAGAAAAGGCAGCCACAGTGGCAAGGAGAGGCAGAACAAAAATCCTAATACTGTATTTGGAGATTTTAACTACAGGGGAAATAAATTGGTCAACAAAAGGATAATCACAGGGAAGATGAAATACGGAGAGCAAGATTTGTGGACACTAGAGATGAACACTCCCTATGGCAGCGTATCAAGGGAGCCGACAAGACTAAGAGATGATCTATCAGCTACCAAGACCTGGTGTTTACCCCTAAATAAAGGTGATGTACAGAAGTTAAAATAGGTATGAGGAGCTAATGGCTGCTACATTATCATGTTTGTAGAACAGAAAGAGTTGGAAAAGGTCAAGGAGCAAGAGAAAATACAGAAGAGGGGACTGCAGGAGGGTTAGGGATTATCTGCAGACGGTTCAGTGGGAGATTAACCCTTAAGATGTGCATGGCATACATATACACAGGAGTAACATGTCCCACCATACACTTGGCATACATATACACAGGAGTAACATGTCCCACCATACGCTTGGCATACATATATGATTTGCATATTTAAAATAGTCCTGCACATACATAGAACTCACATTTGCTGCCTCAGGCCACCAGTAACCATCCCCCATCTCTGTGAAAGTGAGTCCCTCACTTTCCTTTTAGGTCCTTAGTAAGAAAATGATGACCATTGCTTGGCAACATCACCATGCAGTGTCTGCTCGTTTATGGCAACCACAGAGGAGACACTAAACTTTTAACAACAGCAAATGAGTGATTACCATGTATATATTTGAGGCAAAATGTGTGCTATGTGCAATTTTAAGATTTAGATTAAGATTTTAAGATATTATATATACATACATATATACCCTGTACAAACTTTAGACACCCACCAGGGGACTTGAACCCTGGCCATCAAGATGGCAAGTATGCACTCGTATCCACTGCACCATACTCAAGAGCCCTAAAGAGGTGGGAATTCCGGGGTATTTAACCACCAGTATCCCATCCTCTCCAGGCAATGAGACAGCGATCACTACACGTTTTCCATCAAGCCCTGTTATATGGGAGAACACGACATGGACACCGTGTCGTACTCGGCCTACTATGCAAGGCCCAATTTGCCTAATAAGCCAAGTTTTCCTGAATTTATATATTTTTCTCATTTTTTCTTATGAAATGATAAATCTGTCCATTTCATTATTTATATTATATATATTTATATTTATTTGAGTAAATGTTTGATATTAGAATGAAAATGTGAGTCTCGGGTAAAAGCCATAGTACAGTTCTGTGTTCTATTTAAAAGTGATAATTTAGTGATGTTTTTTTGTGTCTGGCATAATTGTTTCCCAGTATTTTAATCTGTATAATTTGTGAACTTACAATCTTGATATCCATCCCTCAGATTAATGACGGTTCAGGAATGAAAACTGAAGCCACCCCAGATGACCTCATTAAAACTGTAGAAGAACTGACCAGAATCCATTGAGCAGATATCCGATGAAGAAAATGCAATTAATACTTGAGCAAGTTTGCTGTGTTGATAGTGTATACACTTTGGGATCCCTGGCAACACCAAGCTGCCAGTTACATTTCACTTCTCTATTACTTCATCTTTGTCAAGAAACTTAGTTGTAATGCTATAGTGTGCTTAATTGATTGTGGTCATTATAACTTTCATTACCACATTCTGCACATGAATCCTTAATAAACAAAAATTCTTGTTAGGTGCAGAACTTTGTTTATTTTATAGCCAAAGTTAGCACTGTTGGTCATAAGAACAAGCCTATATTTTGTATAGTTGGGGTTATATAAATGATAATAAAAATTTTGTTTTAATCTAACAACTGTGTTTCTTGTAATAATTTTTGTTTAAATTTGAAGGATATGTGAAAAGTTAAAAAATAATTCTTACATATTTATCAATAATTAATTTATTATTATAGGACTTGACAAGATAAAGAAATGCTGGATATACTGTACTTACATGATATGCTTGCTATTTGTAATACACCAGTTCAAAATGCATGATTTGTTTATAACTTAGACTATCCAGCTTCTGGCACCAATACTAAACTGTTGTGCTAGAGGAAGTAAAATATGTACGGAAGAATAGTGAAGTAGTGTCAGTCTTCACCATTCACAGGTTGAAGAGCTGGTGCATTCCAGCTATATAGAGGTGTTGTGGCCGTGCAGCAGTGTCCACACAACTAGTCAGTCTCAGGTGTTTCCAAAGAGCAAATGAGGAAGCTGTAATTTGATACAGTCCACTTGCAGCTGGTACACTATAGCCAGTATAACCACTAGCCAGCTGCAGTTCACTTGCAGCTGGCTATTGTCATCTTCAGCTAACTCACTAAGAAAGGCTGCCTGGAATGTCTTAATACTTTTATTAAACATATTTTAGCTTTATACAGCCTTTTAAGTATTAAATAGTTTTAAGTAAATCAGAATAGAGTTACTGATAACATACAAGCCATTAATAAATTATAATTGAGGATTTACGTTAAGTAAATACCAACATAAGACCCATGAAATAGTAAATAGTGCAGGAAGTTGCTATTGTTTTGAGTGATATCTAGCATAGAAACTTAAGTATTTATTATATTAGATTTTGAAAGCAGCAGCACAAATACCAGGGATATTCTTACATGGATTGATCATATTGAGATGTGATTCTCACAATCATGCATTAAGTTCTGAAGACAAAGTGGTGTTGCTTAATGTGCATGAGAACAGGAATGTGGGGAAGGATTAAAGGAAATCAATGTGTAGGATTAGGCAAGACTTGCGTGTGTGGGTTTTTTTATACTAATAACAGTGCAAAGTTATATGACTGGGGGAGTGTTGTATTGCAATGGAATGTTAACATTTGAAAATATTAACCATGCAGCAGCCAGCTTGTAGTGAATGCGAGGTTCAATACAGTACATATAGTCTTGAGTGAGTGCATTGAACTAGTACCACTTTTACCCTAGCTCAAAATTTACCATCAATTGGTTTAACATTTTCAGTGATTGGTTATGCACAAGTCTGAGTTGATTATATTTAGATTTAGCCATCGGACCAGGTAGTGGAACTGGTATTAGTTGAGTGTTTGTTGCACATGTTGTATATACCTCCATTGTTAGGTGACCAGGGAACATCTCAAGGTGGTAGTGATAACGTCAACTACCCAAGTTTGTGTCAAGATGCAACGCATCCTCCTGTTTAGATAGTACATTTTGAAACTGTGCACCATAGAATAAATATTAACATACTAAGCAATTAGTAGGATTTTGTACTATTCACTCTATCGTCCAAAAAATAATGAAGTTAAAATCCAATTTAAATATTCCTAGGCCTAGTATAGTGCACACACATGTACTATATTAGGCCTCAGATAGTGTGTGTTAGTCCTGGTAAGGTAAGGTTAGGTTAGTTTAGTTTGTCTTTGCAACATAAATAGAAAATATTTTCCAGTTTGTCTCAATATGTCCGATTTGTACTTTCTAATTGGGTTGAGAGTCAGTATATGTACTGTGGTCTTCATCGTCACTATACTACCAAAACAAGAGGATGAGCGGCAAGATGGCAGTTGCTGTTTTCAACAGAGCTGTGTTATTTTCCCAACTCCACATAAATAATGTTTTTCATTGAAACTTTTAGCTTCTCCCTCCCCATTTTTGTTTTCCAGAAATTTAACTATTTAAACACAATGAGAATTGAGACCAAAATAGTGTTGTTTTGCATTGTAAAAACACTACATTCATCATCATGTGTGCTGGATTGTTAAGAAACCTTAACATTGTACATACAGCAAATTTTTATTCTCTTGTTTTAATATACATGATCTTAAAATGCATCCTGTTTTCTTGCAAGATCATTTGTGGTGTATTCAAATAATATCCTTGTAGAACGGAACACTACAACATACATCACATTGACATATAGGATGTAGCTCTACACTACAGGAATGCATCTTAATATAGAGCAGCATGTTGTTTATACAGTATTGCTGATTATGTACTATTTTGTTTTGCGAGTATATATTGTACAGAACATATTCTAGTGTTGCCACCAGTAATTTCACAGATGCTGATGCTTAAGAGACCGTTCGAACTCTTTCCATCTCCCTGCGTTAGATATCTTACTTGAAATTCTTTACCATCTACAACCTTGATAAAATCTTTGCCGAATCTGGCCCTTTGGCATAACTTATCTTTGTGTCTGCTCATGTAATGGCGTCCTGAATATCTAGCAACTGTGCTGTGAAAGCATCTAGCCATTCTGGCTTAGTGCTGTCTTTTGATTATTAATTTCTGTATTGTGTTTATTGTGCTGCTGTATGTGCATTCACTGTACCACTGTGTGTATAAACACTGTACTGCTGTGTGTATATACTGTACTGCTGTGTGTATATACTGTACTGCTATGTGCATATATATACTGTGCTGCTGTATGTGTATATACTCGACCACTGTGTGTGTATATATACTGTACTGCTGTGTGTATATACTATACCACTGTGCATATATACTGTACCGCTGTATGTGTGTACTGTACTGCTGTGTATATAGTGCACCTATATGCTGTACTGTACCGCTGTGTGTATATGTTGCACATGTATATACTATACTGTACTGTGTATATACTGCGTACCTGTGTACGTATATACACTATATCGCTGTGTATATATACACTATACCGATGTGTATATTATATATATATACACATCGGTATAGTGTATATATACACAGCGATATAGTGTATATACGTACACAGGTATGCAGTATATACACAGTACAGTATAGTATATACATGTGCAACATATACACACAGCAGTACAGTACAGTATATAGGTGCACTATATACACAGCAGTACAGTACACACATACAGCGGTACAGTATATATGCACAGTGGTACAGTATATACACACAGCAGTACAGTATATATACACACACAGCAGTACAGTATATATACACACACAGTGGTCGAGTATATACACATACAGCAGCACAGTATATATATGCACATAGCAGTGTGCAATATATATATATACATATATATATATATATATATATATATATATATATATATATATGTCGTACCTAGTAGCCAGAACGCACTTCTCAGCCTACTATGCAAGGCCCGATTTGCCTAATAAGCCAAGTTTTCATGAATTGTTTTTCGACTACCTAACCTAACCTAACTTTTTCGGCTACCTAACCTAACCTATAAAGATAGGTTAGGTAGGGTTGGTTAGGTTCGGTCATATATCTACGTTAATTTTAACTCCAATAAAAAAAATTGACCTCATACATAATGAAATGGGTAGCTTTATCATTTCATAAGAAAAAATTAGAGAAAATATATTAATTCGTGAAAACTTGGCTTATTAGGCAAATCGGGCCTTGCATAGTAGGCTGAGAAGTGCGTTCTGGCTACTAGGTACGACATATATATATATATATATATATACACACTGTACTGCTATATAAATGCAGTATATACTGTACTTTATATTTCACAACAATGCAAGTTTTACCATCAAATGTATGGAGTTTTATTAAGAGGAGAGAGATAATAGCTCACTGGCATGATGAGGTAATAATAGTGGTAGAGTATTGTGCGACATCATCATCATGTGCACAGAAAACTGCACATTATCATGAGCAGGTACCAAGACTTGTATTGGTTGGTTTGCATATCCAGAGCTCTTGTTGGTGCAGTTAATAAGCATTTTTGTTGCTTTGTTCATCTAATTATGCAATCTAGTTGACAGTTTTGATGATCATTTTTTTTTTATTGCATTCATCTCATCATTAGTCGAGAAGAGCATGATGTGCTCTATTAGATGCTGTAGAGAAAGTTCGGAGTGCATTTTATCAATAATGATGGATGACATGATTTAATAAAACTGTTACAGGAAAAATATCAACAAAGTCTATGGTCAATTTGGCATATATCTTATGTCAATATATATGGTGCTACATAGCCTTCCCGGTTTGGTGCCTTCTATTGATAAGTAATTATGTCAAAGATGATGTAAAATATTTTGACATCTCTTACTGATACTTGCTGGGAGGAGGAAATGGTATATTAATGGCACTGGAGCAGAAAGCCTCGAGTTCATCGCCAATGTAGACAGTAGTGTCTTCAGGGAGGATTAGCTAGTGTGCCTTCCTATGCTTGTGTGTGTGTGTGTGTGTGTGGAGCAGCTACTGCTCAACTTTGTGTGGGTGTGCTCGCACTTCTTGAAGCTGAGTATACAGTGTTACTGCAGTTACTTTGGCTGTTTGGTTGGACATGTTCTCTCTTTCTATTTTGTTTTTATGCCGTTACCCGTTTTTTATTCCTTTGCTATGAATTTCAGAAAGCTACGGAGTGCACCAGTGTTGCATTTGGTGCATGCTAACATTGAAGAATTGAAATCCAGATTTTGTCAGTATTATGAAGTCTTTGCAATCCTTAAATATTTTCTTGTGGCATTCGGTTTGTTAACCCTTAGACCGCGCATATTGGGGGTATATTGGCAAAAAATATTCAAATTATGTAAAAATAACTTAAAATGTTAAACAAATCTCCAACTTATTGGCTTCAGTGTTGTGAAACTTTCATCAACATTTTCAGAGATTGATTTTAGACGATTTTTTAAAAAATAAGAACGTTTTGTTGATAAGGAGAACAGCTGCTAATAACTGGAACTGAAGGATTATGCAGTAATAAAGATATGCAAGCACCTGTCCGACGAATAGTAGTAAGAAGTGTCCACAAAGTGGATATGCAGTTGGTGCCTTTGTATCATTGACGAGTAATACATAATAACAAATAATAAATATGTTAATATGCTTTATTTTGATATCATTAACATTGGACAATGTATTTATATATGTTACTTTCATCAATGTTCCAAAAATATAAAAAAAATATAAGATTTTTTTCTCCTTTATTATCTTATTTTGTTGTAACCTTTACATTCTGGAGAATGCATGTGTTTTCCTAACTGTGAAGATAGAATGAAATTGGTCAACAAATAAATCAGTCACAACTCGTCAAACTTGGTACTCTTAATTTTTTTTGGCCGATTTTTTCTCAGATTTCAAACTCTATTTTCTTTGTCTCTTCAGGTTGTTTTGATGATTAGGGATCATATTTGGGCTTTTTCACTTGTATAAAGTATACCCCTAAATCATTATCATTATTATAATTATCCCTATATTTTATGTTTTTGGGGGCTATTTTTTCTTGACTTCATTTCAACACACATTGACCTACAACTTTCACATATTCGAGTACGAATGCCAAACAATGTTAATTAAAGCATACAATTAAATTAACGAATTAAAACTACTTTTATTCATTGTTAATAACTTCAACTTCAATTATCTCTGAAACTAGAGTTTCAACTTTGAGTGGCTTCTAAAATTCCAGTTTTTGACCAATTCTCACTATTTTGACATACAGTACTGTATTGTGTGGTCAGCTGTCTGTTCTGCAATCCCTTCATAATGGATTTTTCATAAGCTTTATACATTTGGAATTATAATTTTTTTGGTCTAAATTTGCCACATTTCAAATGCACTATTGATTTTTTTTTTTTTACAGTAAACTATACTGAAAAGTTATACAGTATTCTAATTTGATGAAAATAAAGATCATATGCTATTCTGAGAGAATAACAACATTAAATGAACAATTGGTGATAGTTCATATTTTTTATTCTGAATTGAAAATCTGAAGTTTTCAATATAAAATTTTATAATTAATTTTGATTCTTGTTTTTCAAGTTATACTGTGATCATTTAGACAAAGTTGGAGCATTTGCCTAGTTGATTATGCCAAAAAAATTGGAAAGTGTTTGTGCAAATTTTAAGAACTTATGTTAAATTATTTTATGTCAAATCATACATGCACTGTATGTATTGCACGGTCTAATGGTTAATGTAGTGTGACTGGATGCTCGGTGAGTATCAAGTCATCTTATTAATTATGACTTTGGCAGATATGTTCATTATTTTGAGAAGTTAGCCCATGGCATTCATGTGCACTTTAAATACGGTAGATTTTGTTGTGTCAGTCAGAATTTTTATTGTTATAGTGAAATAATGAAACAGTAATGTGCTCCACTGCTACTACTTGCTGTTATTAATATCATATGGTAAAGTATGCAGAAAGATTTCAAGTTCCCTCAACAAACATACATAATTTGAACTGAAAAGGAAAATAAAGTATATATGGGATAAGAGACGATAACAATCTTAAGAGATTAAAGTGTATTGGTGTAGTACTTGGGAACATGTAGACATGTAGCACGTTTCTAGTTACATATTGTATTGTAACTGCAGCAATTATGAATGTTTTCTTTGATACAAAACATTTTACTCCATACAAAATTATATAGAAAAATAAGGAAATTTTATCCTGAACCTTGAAACATTTTCTATGAAGTACTGTATTGCAATAATAATTTGTCAAGTGGTTGACATTGGGGGAATATATTATTAAAACTTTTGTAATTAATGTGGGGATTTGTGGGTGTAGAGATAGAAATACTGTACAGTATATGAGACATAACTGTATGGTAGGGGAATTGTAGTGGGGCTTGGGAGGGGGGAATGTTGGGGGCTGAGCTTGCAGGTGAATGTATTGATGTCAAGGTGGGCTTATGAATGTGCATGAGAGTGGGCTTGCAGGTGAATGTACATATTTGTAAGTGCACCGCGTTATAGTGTGTTTACGTGAAGGAACAGTGTTTATTGTCATGTGTGGTATGAGTGGCATTACAATGTGCAATATTACAGGTGAATCTGGCCTATATACAATGTTTATAACATGGTTTTGGAGATGAATATTAACACATTTGGTCTAATGTGTACATGTATTCTGCATGTGTACATGCACACAATACCATGAGCAGGAACCAAGTCTTTATAATGTGGCTGAGCACAGTCTACAGTATTTTGTATTACTAATAACCCAGTTTACTTTTACTAGTTGCAAATGTTTACCTAGAGTGGCACACGAGTGCTCTACTTGGCTCGCTCAGTGTTATGCTCCACTACGCTTGAGAAAAGATGAAATGCATTTAAAGGGGGGAATTATGAAGTATATTGCCTAGATTAAAGAAAATTGTTATCAGCTTTCAACTATAAACTTTTGATAATAAAACTATACAATTGGTATGTTACCATCAATGATGATACCACTCTTAATATAATGTGCCAACTAGTGTAAGAGCCCACTAAACCAGATCTTTGGGTAATCCGGCCAAAATCGAGTCTTGAGTTTTTGTGTCCAACTTAACCTAATTCTGACAGAAATGGGAGTTTTGGCTGGAGCTACTGAATGACATTGTGAGACCTAAGACCTAAGCTCACCAGAAAGCCAAGGGCCTTCAACAGCTGACAGTCAAAACTGACCTTGCCAAGTTCATGTGCTGTACACATGATCTTAAAATGATTAGGCGAGTGTATTTACATATAACTTAATTGAGGAAGAAGGTGGAAGTTGTGATGGGTGGCAATGACTGTAAACATTGGCTCTTCACTTATGTAGCTCTTATACTACCACTTTACTGTTCTTAGGAATGTTTGTACAATTAAATGGATCTGTAAAATTACCCAAAACTATTGGGTATAACTAAGCAAATATTGCGGCAGCCAGGAAAATGATAGGATGGATTACGAGAACTTTCAAATTCAGGGATCCCATCACAATGGTTGTACAGTACTCTTCAAATCACTTGTGCTGTCCTGTCTCGAGTACTGCTCAGTACTCACTTCCCCATTCAGAGCAGGAGAGAGTGCTGAAAAAGAGTACAGAGAACATATACGGGATACATAAACGAGATAAAGCATCTAAATTATTGAGTTTGTCTCAAAGCTTTCCAAATGTACTAGCTAGAAAGACGACGGGAGATATCAAATAATATACACGTGGAAAATACTGGAAGGCCAGGTCCCAAATCTGCACAGTAAAATAACAACATACTGGATTTTTTTTTTTTTTTTGCAGGGATATTCCTGCGCGGGCCCTAAGCCTCTGGCTGGCCCACTAAGTGTTGGTTGTTTCTGTTTTACTTGGGCGGAGTATGAGTATTTATGACTCGTAGGGTCGCTTCCGTAAGATTTTGCCATGGTGTTTAACAACAACTTCTCTTTGATGAATCTAAGTTGAAATCTTAATGGGTTTGTAACTATGCACTGTGTTAGATAATGTTCCAGTGGTCTGTCGGGCATTTCTCCAGTGCTGACATTTCCTATCATCTTCCGGAACCTGTAAGTCTATTTCCCATGCACATGGGTATCCAAGCCTGATGCGATGTAAGTGTACTTCTGTTGCTCTACTGCTCCCTTTCATCAAACTAAGTGGTTCATAGTTGGTTGAATTCATGTACCGACCCGCAGATCCTGATGTTGCAACTGCTGTGTTGTGGTCACTGTACATCTTTTGCAGTGCTCTGTTTCTAATTACTTTCTTAATCTGTGATAGACTCTGTGGTATGTAAATGTCTACATTTCTTTTCTTAGTAGCAAGTTTTGCAGCTTCGTCTGCAATGTCATTTCCTATTATTCCCACATGACTTGGCACCCAGTTCATAAGTACCCGTCGGCCTTGTCGTTTGAGTGTTTGCATTAATGATATGACATTTGTGATCAGATGTATGTTATCACATATGTGTTCTTGTTGCAAGGTTTCAATGGGGTGCCATAGGCACCATTAAGAGTGAACTGTAAAAACATCAGAGGTCCACGGTTGTTCAACATACTCCCAGCGAGCATACAAAATATTGTCGGAACAACAGTGGACATCTTCAAGAGGAAACTATATTTTTTTTTTTGAGATATATACAAGAGTTGTTACATTTTTGTACAGCCACTAATACGCGTAGCGTTTCGGGCAGGTCCCTGGAATACGACCCCCCCACGAAGAATTGTTTTTACAACCAAGTACCCATTTTACTGTTGAGTTAAACAGAGGCTACAGTTAGGGATTTATAGTTTCCTCCAAGGAGTGCCGGACCAACCGGGCTGCGGTGGGTATGTGGGCCTGCGGGCCGCTGCAAGCAACAGCCTAGTGGACCAAACTCTCACAAGTCAAGCCTGGCCTCGGGCCGGGCTTGTGGAGTAGAACAACTCCCAGAACCCCACCAACCAGGTATCCCTCGGGCTCCAGTAAACCCCCTCCCCCCGCCACCCTCGGGCGGTGTGTAAAATATATAAATAAAATAAATAAATAAATGTTTATTTAGGTAAGGTACATACATACATGAAATTTTTTACAAAGATTGGTGGACTTATAGATAGAGCTAGTACATACAATGCCTAAAGCCACTATTACGCAAAGCGTTTCGGGCATATGCTCCAAATGCTCCAGATGCATCTTTCTGGATGATGATATTAATAAAATAATTAAGGCGGTGTACAAGTGACACCCCCCCCACCCTTGTGTACAAGTGACAAGAGGCGTGAGTACACCTTGAGTGACCCAACCTCACACCTCAAAACATCTCACTCGTACTACTCCAACAAACCATGCATTATATTCTATTGTACAACATGAAACATCAATTAGCAGACGGAGGCCGGCCGTGGAGGGATCGATTATCAAGGATTGACCAGCGCGCCGCTAGCTTCTGTGCTGGGGTTCCCGGGGCGTGGAGGGGCGCTGGGGCTACATGTTCCAAGGGATGCCTGGTGGGTGAATGGGGAGCGGGGGCTATATGTTCCAAGGGATGCCTGGTGGGTGAATGGGGAGCAGAGGCTATGTTCCAGGGGATGCCTGGTGGGTGGGAGGTTAGGTTGCAGAGGTTGCCAGGTGGGTGGGAGGGAGGAGGGCAGAGTCACAGGGTTGCCTGTAAGGGGAGCTGGGAGGGGAAGGGTGGGCCAGGCTCCAGGGGTGGCCCAGCACGGGCCTCGCATTCCAGTCTTGGAATCACCCGTGTTGCGGTGCGCCTGAACTCCTCTACTCCAGCCATATCTGTGCCCAACGCACACCTGGGTGCCACACACCTGGCCGCCACACACACCTGGGCGAGCGCTAAACCTGAGAGGAAGGTGAGAACTCATATTCACGTTTTTCTTGAACCCAAAATGTTCGTTAGTGTTGATAGTGGTCATGTTGGAAGTGTTGGTGTTGACAGATGTCATGTTGGAAGTGTTGGTGTTGACAGATGTCATGTTGGAAGTGTTGGTGTTGACAGATGTCATGTTGGAAGTGTTGGTGTTGACAGATGTCATGTTGGAAGTGTTGGTGTTGACAGATGTCATGTTGGAAGTGTTGGTGTTGACAGATGTCATGTTGGAAGTGTTGGTGTTGACAGATGTCATGTTGGAAGTGTTGGTGTTGACAGATGTCATGTTGGAAGTGTTGGTGTTGACAGATGTCATGTTGGAAGTGTTGGTGTTGACAGATGTCATGTTGGAAGTGTTGGTGTTGACAGATGTCATGTTGGAAGTGTTGGTGTTGACAGATGTCATGTTGGAAGTGTTGGTGTTGACAGATGTCATGTTGGAAGTGTTGGTGTTGACAGATGTCATGTTGGAAGTGTTGGTGTTGACAGATGTCATGTTGGAAGTGTTGGTGTTGACAGATGTCATGTTGGAAGTGTTGGTGTTGACAGATGTCATGTTGGAAGTGTTGGTGTTGACAGATGTCATGTTGGAAGTGTTGGTGTTGACAGATGTCATGTTGGAAGTGTTGGTGTTGACAGATGTCATGTTGGAAGTGTTGGTGTTGACAGATGTCATGTTGGAAGTGTTGGTGTTGACAGATGTCATGTTGGAAGTGTTGGTGTTGACAGATGTCATGTTGGAAGTGTTGGTGTTGACAGATGTCATGTTGGAAGTGTTGGTGTTGACAGATGTCATGTTGGAAGTGTTGGTGTTGACAGATGTCATGTTGGAAGTGTTGGTGTTGACAGATGTCATGTTGGAAGTGTTGGTGTTGACAGATGTCATGTTGGAAGTGTTGGTGTTGACAGATGTCATGTTGGAAGTGTTGGTGTTGACAGATGTCATGTTGGAAGTGTTGGTGTTGACAGATGTCATGTTGGAAGTGTTGGTGTTGACAGATGTCATGTTGGAAGTGTTGGTGTTGACAGATGTCATGTTGGAAGTGTTGGTGTTGACAGATGTCATGTTGGAAGTGTTGGTGTTGACAGATGTCATGTTGGAAGTGTTGGTGTTGACAGATGTCATGTTGGAAGTGTTGGTGTTGACAGATGTCATGTTGGAAGTGTTGGTGTTGACAGATGTCATGTTGGAAGTGTTGGTGTTGACAGATGTCATGTTGGAAGTGTTGGTGTTGACAGATGTCATGTTGGAAGTGTTGGTGTTGACAGATGTCATGTTGGAAGTGTTGGTGTTGACAGATGTCATGTTGGAAGTGTTGGTGTTGACAGATGTCATGTTGGAAGTGTTGGTGTTGACAGATGTCATGTTGGAAGTGTTGGTGTTGACAGATGTCATGTTGGAAGTGTTGGTGTTGACAGATGTCATGTTGGAAGTGTTGGTGTTGACAGATGTCATGTTGGAAGTGTTGGTGTTGACAGATGTCATGTTGGAAGTGTTGGTGTTGACAGATGTCATGTTGGAAGTGTTGGTGTTGACAGATGTCATGTTGGAAGTGTTGGTGTTGACAGATGTCATGTTGGAAGTGTTGGTGTTGACAGATGTCATGTTGGAAGTGTTGGTGTTGACAGATGTCATGTTGGAAGTGTTGGTGTTGACAGATGTCATGTTGGAAGTGTTGGTGTTGACAGATGTCATGTTGGAAGTGTTGGTGTTGACAGATGTCATGTTGGAAGTGTTGGTGTTGACAGATGTCATGTTGGAAGTGTTGGTGTTGACAGATGTCATGTTGGAAGTGTTGGTGTTGACAGATGTCATGTTGGAAGTGTTGGTGTTGTCCACATCATCCTGATGTGTTTATTGTGCTAGAAACATTTCTAGATGACAGGACTCCTGAGAACTTTAGTAACTTTAGTAACATTGCTTTGGCTAACTGCCACTAGGCTCTAGTGGCAGTTAGCCAAATAATGATGTGCTACGTTAATAATGTGCTACGACTTATTTCTTTAGTTGCATCTTTGCAGTACTGGCATTCTACTCAGTAATGTTATACGACATCATTTATATTGTGGTACAGCAGTTGATCTTTATACATTAATTAATAAATAAGGTCCCCCCCATTCTGGCTTGTGTTTTTCTCCCCGATCAGAATATACTATTATAATTTTATTTGAGAAAATTCCCGTTGTGAATGAACAGAATGTAAAAGTTTATGAATGCGTCTGTGGGGTCGACCGCTGGATGGAATGGACTTAGAGTCGAGGACGGGTTGGGTCTGGTAGTGTGAGGGTCATGTTGCAACAAGGGAGGGGCACGGGATTCTCCGCCACTCAGAAGAATACATTTCTTGAGTTTTGGTGAAGAAGACAGCAGTGAAGTGCGACCTTAGGTCAGTGTTGATAGAGGACGACTGTGATGTTGGTCTTGGCTTGTGGGACCACAAGGACGGTGTGACGCCAGGGGAGTGGTATCATCCTGGTAGTCCACTGTGGTAGACCTCAGGTCTGCTTGTCCCAGTTGGCACCTATTGACGGGTGACCCCAGTTGGCACCTGTTGACGGGTGACCCCAGTTGGCACCTGTATACCCCAACACCCAAGTCACAATAAAGTGACGGGAGAATTAAGACCTTTGGGCGGCCTGAGAGGCCAACAGCAACGCCATTATGACTGGAAGTCAGCGTCGCCGCTCCAGTAATGTTGTGGTAACGAGTCTTGGATTGTTACAGTTTGACTTGTACAGTGAGAGTAAGTGTACAGCGATCTTGTGTTGACACTTAAGTACATGAGTTAGTCATACTTACAGTCATTATGAAACGACATTAGACAACCGAGATGTATAGCATGATGGAGACGAGAGCGACACACACTGACCCGACGGTGGTTGAGCTATAACTGGCAGCAAGTGGACCCAAGGAGCAGATTTAAGGTGTGGACTCGCCCGGCGGGGAGTACCCTTCGCAGTGAGCGGTGAAGAGAGTAATGGAGATTTTATTTTAATTATCGTCTAGTTGTTCATGGAAGATTATTTTGTTATGGTAAACTCGCAGGTTCGTGGATGGCAGCTGTTAGGAGTTCAGATACATTCGAAGACCAATTGATTGATGGTTCTACAGTTGGTTTGAAGGTCAAATCCACAGGGAAGAAATTTAATCGATTATAAGTAGAATTAGTCCACAGTTGATCCACAGGGATCGTTGGACGTCTTCGTTTGTACCAATATTGGTATCATACAATATATATATATTATATCTCCTGACGGATCCTGCAGCCTCTCCGAGACACAAACCAGGGATTTACACAATTCCCCCCAAGCACTCGGGCTGGGGGAATTTTTCCGACTCAATCGAGGATTCCGGGTTCGAATCTTTTACCTGAAGCCTCAGTTCATAAAGCAGTAAATTGATACCTGGGTATTAGAGAACTGTTGTATTCACCTATTTGTGCTTGCAGGGGTTGAGCTCTGGCTCTTTGGTCCTGCCTCTCAACCGAGGTTGAGAGGCGTTGTGGGTTGCATCCTGGAGAAGGTCAGTAGTTAGTTTCGGTAAGCCTAAGCACAGGCGTTCTGTACCCTACAGCGAGGATATATATCTGTACCACATTACATAAAGACTATATAATGCACAAAAATTTAGTTATGCCCGGCCATTTTTTAGTACAAAATAATAATACAATGAAATAACTCTTGTAGCAGGAGACATGTGCTACAACAACCGTGTGGCTCTAACTTGACGTCTGTTGGTGTCTCACTCGTGGCAGGCGCAGCCGGAGGGGCAGCAGGGCCAGACTCTGCCGAAGACCCAGCCCTGGCCTCATCCGTCACCGGGATGTCTGCGCCCCTCTTCACACGGCTGAGCCTGCCGGAGGGGCTGGAGGAGATGGTGGAGGTGCTGGCTCGGGAGGTCATCAAGAGCCAGTACTCGGAGCCGTATGACATATATAACTTTGCCTGGAAACACTTCTCAGAGCTGGTGGCACGCCACAAGAGTCTCCCTGCTAAAGGTAAGTGCCGGAGTACCACAATAACTCACAACATATTAAATCCAAGTATGAATGCAAAACGTCGCCAAAGATCACGGAGAGGTACGGTAAGAGTGAGGTAAGGGGCGCAACTTATGTACCATGCAAGGTGATGAAGATCTTGAGAAAAAAGGCTGGTAGCACATCTGGAAAAAAGGGACTTTGTAACACACCACCAGCATGGGTTCAGGGATGGTAGGTCGTGTCTTACAGGTTTAATAAAATTCTATGATCAAACAACAAGCATTAAGCAAGAAAGAGTAGGAAGGGCAGGCTGCATTTTCTTGGACTGTCAGAAAGCTTTTGACAGTTTCCCATAAAAGAGACTGTTGCATAAGTTGAAGAAACAGGCTGGAGTAGACTTCCTAAACAACAGGAAGCAGAGAGTTACTGTTAAGGGTGAAACCTCAGACTGGCAGTCCCACAGGGTTCTGTACTTGGACCTATCTAATTTTTGATATACATAAAAGATCTTCCAGAGGGTATAGACTCGTTCCTCTCAATGTTTGTTGCTGATGCTAAAATTATGAGTTAAGACAGAGGACGACAACAAGGGACTACAAGATAACATGGTCCAAAAATGGCTACTAGAGTTTAACTCGAGCAAGTGCATTATGATGATGTTTAATGCCTAGGAAACAGGAGGCCAAAGATAAGGTACCAGCAGGGAGAGAAAATTCTCCAGGAATCGGTAAGAGAGAAAGACCTGGGGCTTAATATCACACCAGACCTGTTCCCCTGAAGCCCACATCAAAAGGATATTGATGTGGGCTTCAGGACACACACACACACACACACACACACACACACACACACACACACACACACACACACACACACACACACACACACACACACAGTACCCACATGAGCCACAGAGACAGTCATCCCTTCAGTGATGTGGTGGAGGCTGACTCCATACACAGTTTCAAATGTAGGTATGATAGAGCCCAGTAGGCTCAGGAACTTGTACACCAGTTGATTGACAGTTGAGAGGCGGGACCAAAGAGCCAAAGCTCAACCCCCGCAAGCACAAATAGGTGAGTACTAATAGGTGAGTATAGGATAGGCCGGGATAGGTTTATCCGGGCCCAATAGGAAAAAAACGAGAAGCAAAGAAGAATCCGTGGTTTAATGGGGCATGTATGGAAGCAAAGGAACTGAACAAAAGGGCGTGGAGGAACTTCCGAAATAACAGAACACCAGAAAACAGAGATATACCAGAGAAAAAAGAATGAGTATGTTAGTTTGAGAAGAGAAGCAGAGAAAAGTATGAAAATGATATACAAATAAAGCCAAGACCGAACCAAAGCTACTCCACAGTCACATCAGGAGGAAAACAATAGCGAAATAACAGGTGATGAAACTTAGAATGGGTGAGGACAGGTACATGGAGAATGACAAAGAGGTGTGTGAAGAACTCAACAAGAGCTTCCAGGAGGTCTTCACAATAAAACGAGGAGAAGTCCCTGAGCTAGGAGAGGTGGCAGTAAACCAAGCGGTCTTGGAAGGGTTCGAAATTACAAGAGATGAGGTCAAGAGGCATCTGTTGGATCTGGACGTGAGAAAGGCTGTTGGTCCGGATGGAATCTCACCATGGGTATTGAAAGTGTGTGCAGAAGCACTTTGCTTGGCACTCTCCATAGTGTATAGTAGGTCACTGGAGATGGGAGCTGGCCTACCAGAAATATGGAAGACGGCTAATGTAGTCCCAATATACAAAAATGGTGACAGACAAGAGGCACTGAACTACATGCAATTAGGCAAGTGTCCTTAACTTCTATACCATGCAAGGTGATGGAGAAGATCGTGAGAAAAAACCTAGTAGCACATCTGGAGAGAAGGGACTTCGTGACAAGATGGTGTTATTGTCAATAACAATGAGGGCTCCTTACAGGTGCTACCTTCACTCTGAATGTACACTTACAATATTTTATCTTTAGGCTGAAGTGTGACTGAGTAAGATGAATGTATTAATTGTGAAGTGATAATAAGTGTTGCGTTGTGTGTCCAACAGATGGGGCGCCGTACGGGGGTCGCTCCAGGAGGGTCCCAGGAGGCAGCCAAGGAGAGAGCGGTGGGCAGCGCGCCAGCAGGAGACGACCGCTGCCTGGGACTGGCGTGGTTGGTGCTCTCCTCTCTCATCACACTTCCTCTATTCTTTTCTCTCATATCTTCATTTATTAAGCATTAATCACTTAAACACCATTAATATATACTGTCTTCCTCTACACACCATTTGTTTTGTTTCTCTTGAACTACACACCTTCCCTATGCTCCAGGCTACCCTTCACCTTTATGCTCCAGGCTACCCTTCACCTTTATGCTCAAGGCTACCCTTCACCTTTATGCTCCAGGCTATCCTCCACCTTTATGCTCCAGGCTATCCTTCACCTTTATGCTCCAGGCTATCCTTCACCTTCTTTATGCTCCAGGCTACGCTTCACCTTCTTTATGCTCCAGGCTATCCTTCACCTTTATGCTCCAGGCTATCCTTCACCTTTATGCTCCAGGCTACCCTTCACCTTCTTTATGCTCCAGGCTACCCTTCACCATCCCCATGCGCCAGGAGCTCCTTCACCCTCCCTATGCTCCAGGTGCTCCTTCACCATCTCTATGCTCCAGGTGCTCCTTCACCCTCCCTATGCTCCAGGTGCTCCTTCACCCTCCCTATGCTCCAGGTGCTCCTTCACCCTCCCTATGCTCCAGGTGCTCCTTCCCCCTCCCTATGCTCCAGGTGCTCCTTCCCCCTCCCTATGCTCCAGGTGCTCCTTCCCCCTCCCTATGCTCCAGGTGCTCCTTCACCCTCCCTATGCTCCAGGTGCTCCTTCACCCTCCCTATGCTCCAGGTGCTCCTTCACCCTCCCTATGCTCCAGGTGCTCCTTCACCCTCCCTATGCTCCTTCACCCTCCCTATGCTCCAGGTGCTCCTTCGCCATTTCTATGCTCCAGGTGCTCCTTCACCCTCCATATGCTCCTTCACCATCTCTATGCTCCAGGTGCTCCATCACCATCCCTACGCTCCAGGCGCCTCTTTATCTACGCTCCTCTCTGTCTCATGCTAATTGTTCTTCTCTGCCACCTTTTACTGTTATTCTTGATGACTGTGTGTGTGTGTGAGGGGGGGGGGGGTGCGTGTGTGCACGCGTGTGTGGTGTAGGTGCAGACTCCTCGCTGACTACTCTCGTCTGGGTCTCGGTTATCAACGGTCTTTCTTATCCTCCTACTCCTTCCTGTGTTTTCTTGCGCCATCCTTTAATCTTATTTAGTGTTTGATACCTTTCATCGCTAAAGCATTAAGGTGACAGTAGCTGCTTCAATTTAGTATGAATAAATGTTTATTAAAATAAATTCCTGATTTAAAACTTTCAACAGCTTGATACACCTGCGATTGTTTTTAAATCTTAAACAGCTTAGTTAATTTAATGAGTTAAGTAAATAGTCCCTAGTTGGTGTGGACCATGTGTGGAACCAGCGAGCAGGACCAGCGTGGACCAGCTGGCCCACACCAGAGCCATGTGTGGGACCAACGTGGTCCAGCTGGCCCACACCAGGGCCATGTGTGGGACCAGCGTGGTCCAGCTGGCCTACACCAGGGTCATGTGTGGGACCAGCGTGGTCCAGCTGACCTACACCAGGGCCATGTGTGGGACCAGCGTGGTCCAGCTGGCCCACACCAGGGCCATGTGTGGGACCAGCGTGGTCCAGCTGACCTACACCAGGGCCATGTGTGGGACCAGCGTGGTCCAGCTGACCTACACCAGAGCCATGTGTGGGACCAGCTGGCCCACACCAGAGCCATGTGTGGGACCAGCGTGGTCCAGCTGGCCTACACCAGGGCCATGTGTGGGACCAGCGTGGTCCAGCTGGCCTACACCAGAGCCATGTGTGGGACCAGCGTGGTCCAGCTGGCCTACACCAGGGCCATGTGTGGGACCAGCGTGGTCCAGCTGGCCTACACCAGAGCCATGTGTGGGACCAGCGTGGACCAGCTGGCTACACCAAGCCCGTTTGCAGTAGCTGTAGCTGAGACACCTGCCATCTCAAAGGCATGATTAAACATTAACTTTTACCTTTTCCTCCATAAAGCTTAACAGTAGAATTGTAGCAGACAAATGGAGCTCTGGAAGAGCTTGTATTCATGGCTTCTTGCTTTTAATAATTTTTGTTTTTGTGTGATGGTGTTAGCGGCGGTCCTCAACGCCTGCCCGTGAGGGCCGGTGAGGGCGTCTCTCCGGGGAGACAAACAGTGGAGTGTTCCGTGGAACGCATTCTCCTGCCCACTGTACCTAATATATATGTATAGCACTTAGAGCCATGATCAGGAATACCTACTGTAGTGTTGGAGGTTCCCATCATCCTGCTCTTCGTCACTGGAAGTTGCAGGGTAAACTACAGCTGTTATGCTGTCCGTTACCTACCTACTGCCACAAGTCAAATTAACCATGATACCAAATTCACCTTGTCATGAAAAAGTTCGTCAACAATAGGATGCGAGAAGACGGGTAAGAGGGAGAAAGAGCAAATATCAATACCAGAGCATACTTCATGACTCAGGATGGCAGGTAAGAAGTCACCTGTGTAAGTGCTTGCTTAAAGCCAAGAGATAAAGCAGTAATGTATCATATATACGAAGAAATACCGAAGTAAATCGTTCCTTTGTAGAATGTCACAGATTACCGTAGTAGAAAGGCAATGTCTAATGGTCATTCACTGAGGCCTTTCTAGCTAGTGGGCGGTCTTATGAAAGACCAGTGATGCGTCTCTATAATGCTAAGCAAAGCTTTCGAGCATGCACACATAACTCCTAGCATAGATAACAAAGGAAGAATGATAGTTTTCATGTGTGCGCATGATTGGTGCCTGAGAGTACGAGTAGCAAGGTGATACTCGGACGAGGCCAAAGAGTAGTACTGGAAGGAAAAGAACACAAAGAAGAAGCCATAGGTTCCACTAAGAATATGGGTATTCATAAATGGCCATGAAATACTCCTGGAAGTCTAGAAAGCCCCAAAATGGTAGTGGTGCGCTCCTGGATCCAAGAGACTGCACAGAAGAGGCCATGAGTGCCTTTAAAAATAAATAGGTAACCAGAAGTAGTCATGGGAGGGGGGGAGGAATGATCTTGGAAGCAAGAGAGTACCCGGAACAGACAACGAGATCCATCTGGAAGCAAGAGGGTATAAAGAAGAGGAGGTGGAGCGCCTCAGCAAGTATGAGGGTGCTCGCTACCGGAAGCAAAAGAGTGCCCGGAAGAAACCGTGGAAGTAGTAGTAGTAGACAGCCTGGTAGTAGAAGCTGCACACTTTTTGTTGGGCGGTGTTCTGGAAGTAAGAAGAATCCAAAGGGCCGCAAGAAATGCAAACTGGAAGAAATAATTATAGAATATTGTTTTCCAATTAATATACTTACCTGAATAACATGACACAGGCTCAGAGGGTGCTATTGAGGAGAGCTGCGTCAAGACTCCCAAGTTGTGATGCAAGCTGCAGGAAGATTATCATATACCTTTTGATGTAAGAATAAGGGTTACCCCAAGAGACTGTGAGGAAAGTCATACGTGTACTAGAAAATTTGTGACGCATGCCTAATGGTTACTCCTGAAGACCTTGTGACACAACCGGCAGGGTTACTGCTGGACACATTGTGACGCAAGCCACAGGGTTACTGCTGGACACATTGTGACGCTAGCCACAGGGTTACTGCTGGACACATTGTGACGCAAGCCACAGGGTTACTCCCGGAGACCTTGTGACGCAAGCCACAGGGTTACTCCCGGAGACCTTGTGACGCAAGCCACAGGGTTACTCCGAGAGACCTTGTGACGCAAGCCACAGGGTTACTCCCGGAGACCTTGTGATGCAAGCCACAGGGTTACTCCTGGAGATCTTGTGACGCAAGCCACGGGGTTACTCCCGGAGACTTTGTGACGCAAGCCACAGGGTTACTCCTGGAGATCTTGTGACGCAAGCCACGGGGTTACTCCCGGAGACCTTGTGACGCAAGCCACAGGGTTACTCCCGGACACCTTGTGACGTAGCAGGCTACCTGCTGAAGGCTGCAATAATTTTGTATATTTTATTGTATTCAATTTTAAATATAATTTTATTAATTTAAGTAGCTAAGCCTGCACACACACACGTATACTCACATACACACACAAACATGCACATGCACACTCAAACATACACACACTCCGTTTCAAGCGTACATATGATAGAGCCCAATAGGCTCAGGAACCTATACACCTGTTGATTGACGGTTGAGAGATGGGACCAAAGAGCCAGAGCTCAACCCCCGCAAGCACAATTAGGTGAGTACATGCATACACAAATACTCACATGCACAAACACGCACGCATGCGCACACACAAAGATCCCAGAGAGCCAGGAATGAGTATGTCAGTGTGAGAAGAGAAGCAGAGAGACAGTCTGAAAATGATATAGCAAATAAAGCCAAACCCCAACCAAAACTGCTCCACAGTCACATCGAGAGGGGAAACAACAGTGAAAGAACAGGTGATGAAACTTAAAATGGGCGAGGACAGGTACACAGAGAATGACAAAGTGTGTGAAGAACTCAACAAGAGAGTCCAGGAGGTCTTCACAATAGAATGAGGAGAAGTCCCTGAGCTAGGAGAAGTGGCAGTAAACCAGGCAGCCTTGGAAGGGGTTCGAAATTACCAGAGATGAGGTTAAAGAGGCATCTGTTGGATCTGGACGTAAAAAAGGCTTTTGGTCTGGACGGAATCTCACCTTGGGTATTGAAGGGTGTGCAGAAGCACTTTGCTTGCCACTCTCCACAGTGTATAGTAGGTCACTGGAGACAGGAGACGTACGAGAAATATGGAAGACGGCTAATGTAGTCCCAATATACTGAAAGGGTGACAGACAAGAGGCACTGAACTACAGGCAAGTGTCCTTAACTTGTATACCATGCAAGGTGATGGAGAAGATCATGAGAAAAAACCTTGTAGCACATCTGGAGGGAAGGGACTTCGTGACACACCACCAACATGGGTTCAGGGATGGTAAATCTTGCCTCACTGGCTTAATAGAATTATAAGATGAAGTGACAAAGATTAAGCAAGAAAGAGAAGGATGTGCAGACTGCATTTTCTTGGACTGTTAGAAAGCCTTTGACACAGTACCCCATAAGAGGCTGGTGCCTAATTTGGAAAAACAGGGAAGAGTAACTGGTAGGGTACTCCCGTGGATAAGGGAGTACCTAAGCACTTGGAAGCAGAGAGTTGGTGCTGGGTAAGACCTCAGATTGGCATGAAGTCACCAGCAGAGTCCCACAGGGTCCTGTGCTCGGACCTATCCTGTTTCTGATATATGTAAATGATCTTCCAGAGAGTATAGACTCATTCCTCTCAATGTTTGCTGCTGATGCCAAAATTATGAGAAGGATTAAGACAGAGGAGGACCTCATGAGGCTTCAAGACCTCCTGGACAAACTAGGAATGGTCCAACAAATAGTTGTTAGAGTTTAACCTGAACAAATGTAATGAAGATAGGTGTAGGTTGCTGGAGGCCAGATATAAGGAATCATTTGGGAAATGAAATTATTCAAAAATCACAGAGAGAAAGACCTAGGGGTTGATATCATGCCAGACCTGTCCCCCGAAGCCCATATCAAGACGAAAACATCAGTGGCATATGCCAGGTTGGCCAACATAAGAATGACCTTTAGAAACTTGCGTAATCATTCAGAACCTTGTGTACCACATATGTCAGACCAATCCTGGAGTATGTAGCTCCAGCATGAAGTCTATATCTTGTCAAGCATAAGACTAAATTGGAGAGGGTTCAGAGATTTGCCACAAGACTAGTACCCGAACTGAGGAGTATGAGCTATGAAGAGACTACAGGAATTATACCTCACGTTGCTGGAAGACAGAAGAATTAGGGGAGACATGATCACCACATACAAGATTCTCAAAGGAAATGATAGGGGTAGATAAAGACAGTTTAATTAACTAAGGGGGCCCCTTGCACTAGAGGGGACAGGTGGAAATTGAGTGCCTAAATAAGCCTTAGAGACATCAGAAAGAACTTTTTTTAGTATCAGTAGTTAACAAATGGAATTCATTAGGAAGTGATGTAGTGGAGGCAAACTCTATACACAGTTTGAAGTGTAGATATAATAGAGCTCAACCCTTGCAAGCACAACTAGGTGAATACATACATGCACATACACACACACACACCATGGCTGCCAACACGGGGAAGGTAAACACACCAATAGATATATGTTTTAAATGTTATGTCACCACAAGACATAACGAAAGGAGGTGTTCTTGGCAGGTTAGAGAATACTGAGGACATGCTAAAAAAGTATGAAGAAAAAGTACTTGAATTAAAAGAAGGAAGTGGAGCTCTCAGGAGTAAGTTTCGCACTTTAAAATGAAGTATTCTTCAGCAAGGTAAGAAAATTACCACCTTAACAGACAAGGTTAAGAATCAGGCGGAACAAATCAAGGAACTAGTGAAGGAAAATGAGTTATTGACAGTGAAGAGTGGTGAGTTTGACAAAATTAGCAAGAAAATACTTATATGGTGAACAACTCAAGGGAACCCTAAGGGCCAAAATGGAGTTAGGGAAGGGAATGCATGGAGAAACTTAATGGACAACTCACATAGAGGAGGTTAATAAAGAACTAGAAAAGTACACAGGGGTAATTAAAGAAATTTATGTGCAAGTAAATGAGAGAAACAATCAAGGAAGTGTGTTTGGAAGTCAAAACCAGAAATGATCAACAAGAAGCAGAAGTCAGGCAAACAATTAGGAAAGAACTAGTTACCAACAGTAAATTAGTACAAAACACTGCAGATATAATTAAGTCCATAATAATTTTTGGGTATTTAGAAAAGGAAATATCATCTAGGTTGGACAGAGCAGCAAAAGAGATGAAAATCATAAAGAAAATAGTAGGTTTAGGAGAAGTCCTCAATTTAAAGGCAAATTTCTGATTTTAGGAGAATAGGAAAATATGAGAAAGACAAGAACCGCCTCTTAAGGGTGACATTTAATGGAGTGAAACAACTGACGGAAGTGCTTAGAAATGCCAAGAAATTGCAGGGTGATGAGGTTGGCAAACTTTGGTCAACAAGACAAGGCCTCTCAAAGAAAGACAAAGAAAAGCCGAAAACATACCTCGATGAAGCGAAACGTCTAAATGGGAATAGAAATGAAAGAAATTATTTTTTCTACAAAGTGTTAGGGACTGGAAAAATAGTGAAATGGTAAAGGACAAAAGGAAAGGGAACATGTTCCTGAAAATTGTATATACGTACTGTACCAACATAGATGGAGAGATAAAAAATACTGGAGCTAAGATATATAATTCAGCTTAAGGTCCCAGTTATTGTTGCACTAACAGAGACGAAACTTAAACAAAATATTTTAAATGAGGTGGTATTACCAAGAGGCTACTCAGTTTGGAGATGTGACAGGAAAACTAGGAAGGGGGAAAGGAGTGGCTGTGCTGGTGGAAAAACACCTGAAGATAAGAGTTAATAATAAAAAAACCCTGAGAAGTTGGCATAATGGCATTGATCGTCTGGAATCAGGATGATAAACTGATAATTGTAAATGCCTACAGCCCAACAGCAAGCAACACGGGGACAAAGGAAGAACTTGATGACAAACGAGAGGGGCCTCATAATGGTCTCAAAATTACGTATGAGAGTTTTAGGCTTCAAAACAAGGGGGGAAGCCTGATGGTTGATACCTGGTTGATGGGGTTCTGGGAATTCTTCTACTCCCCAAGTCTGGCCCGAGGCCAGGCTTGACCTGTCCCGAGTGGACAGCGCTCGAGATTCGTAGTCCTAAGGTTCCAGGTTCGATCCCCGGCGGAGGCGGAAACAAATGGGCAGTTTTTTTCACCCTGATGCCACTGTTCACATAGCAGTAAATAAGTATCTGGGAATTAGATAGCTGCTACAAGCTGCTTCCCAAGGATGTGTAACTAAAAGGAGGCCTGGTCGAGGACCGGGCCGCGGGGACGCTAAGCCCCGAAATCATCTCAAGATAACCTCAAGATGGTCATGAGAGAGGATATAGTAAAAACAGATAAATATAAATCACGACTGTTGGTACTGGGGGACTTCAACTTGAAAGCAAAACATTGGGGGGCCTACGAAGCAAGGTCGGAGGACATTTGGACAGGCAGATTTGTAAACCTCATTCTGGAGACATTTATGTATTAACACATCAAGCAGGCCACAAGAATAAGGAAAGGGGGATGTTTTGCCAATACTGGATAATACTGGACCCCCAGAAAAAATATTAGAAAGTCTTCTTTTGCAAACAGAGTGGTATATGGTTGGAACAAGCTAAGTGAGAAGATGGTGAGGCCAAAACCGTCAGTAGTTTCAAAGCATTATACGATAAATAGTACTGGGAAGACGGAACACCACGAGCGTAGCTCTCATCCTTTAACTACACTTAGGTAATTACACCCATGCGCACACGCGTAAATTAAATTAATCTCACGACCCGGAAGACAAGAGTTAAGAGAGACATGGTCACCACCTACAAAATTCTCAGAGGAATTGACAGGGAAGATAAAGGGACACAGGTGGAAACGTAGCACCAAAATGAGCCACAGAGACATTAGAATTTTTTTTCAGTGTCAGAGTAGTTAACATATGGAATGTATTAGGAAGTGATGTGGTGGAGGCGAACTCCATACACAGTTTCAAATGTAGATTTGATATAGGATTAGGAACCTCAATACTAGTTGACTGACAGTTGAGAGGCGAGACGAAAGAGCCGAAGCTCAACCCTCGCATGCACAACTAGGTGAGTAAGCATAATAGGTGAGCACACACACACACACATACATACACACACACACACACACACACACACACACACACACACACACACACACACACACACACACACACACACACACACACACACACACACACACACCCGCGGGGCCTCGCGACTGAGAGGACAGCGTTCTGGGATTGTAATCCGAAGGGCTTGGGTTCGATCCCCGACAGAGGTGAAAACAAATGGGCAGAGTTTCTTTCACCCATATGCCCCTGTTTACCTAGTAGTAAATAGGTACCTGGGAGTTAGACATCTCCATGACGCAGCCTGTGGCAGCTGCCATAGGCTGCGTCATGTAGATGTGTGCATGTGTGTGTGTTAGAGAGAAATATAGGTTATATATAATAGAGAAAAAATAGATTGGTAAAAAGGAGGAGTCCAAAAGCTAGTAGGTCGATTCTGCAGACACAAATAGTAAATATTCACACGAGCAAGGAGACAGAGGATCATAAATGCACCTTAGGAATATTATAAGTAATTTGTGTCAGTGTCAGAACTCAAGAAATTATAAATTACCAGTACTGTATGTCAACCGGGACCTAACAACTGACGCTCAACTCTAGCCAACTCAGCTTGGTGTCTATACACACTCAAAAACAAGAACATTTGTGTGTGAGGGCATGTGCAGAGCCAACAGTGGTGAGAGGCTGACTAGTGTTTGTGTGTGTGTGTGTGTGTCCTAGGTGCTGGCGGGCGTGGCAGGCGTGGCTGGCAGAAAGAAGGAAGTAAAGCTCCTGAAGGAAGGCGTGGCGGCTAAGACAAGTTCCCTGGACCGCGCAACAACTAAACCTGTCCGTCGTTCCTTCATTGCTGAAACAAAGGACAAGATGAAGAAGAGCATGTCGCTGGACCGCCGCAACGCCCCGGCGCTCAGCCGCGCGGACAAGGCCGAGAGCGAGGAGAAGGTGGCCATCGCTCGCGAGTCCATGTTAACAAGAGCCAGGAAGACGAAGAAGCTTGAAGAAGGGAACAAAAAGAAGAAGCCCGGAGTCAAGGAGGGAAACGGGCGCCGGGCAGCTGTGATTGGAGGTGTAGCAGCTGCGGGGGCGGCAGTCGCAACTGCAGGGGCTATCGCGGCAACTGAGCTTGCTGATTACACCACTGAGGCAGCCGGAGATTTGAGTAATGCAGTTGAAGATGTTGCTGGTGGAGTATTGGATGCTGCAGGGGCACCAGCTGAGGATGTGGCAGCTGAGGATGTGGCAGCTGAAGCAGAGGAACCAGCTGAGGATGTGGCAGCTGAAGCAGAGGAACCAGCTGAGGATGTGGCAGCTGAAGCAGAGGAACCAGCTGAGGATGTGGCAGCTGAAGCAGAGGAACCTGCTGAGGATGTGGCAGCTGAAGAAGAAGCTGCAGCAGAGGAACCAGCTGAGGATGTGGCAGCTGAAGAAGCTGCAGCAGAGGAGCCAGCTGAGGATGTGACAGCTGAAGAAGCTGCAGCAGATGAGCCAGCTGAGGATGTGGCAGCTGAAGAAGCTGCAGCAGAGGAGCCAGCTGAGGATGTGGCAGCTGAAGAAGAAGCTGCAGCAGAGGAACCAGCTGAGGATGTGGCAGCTGAAGAAGAAGCTGCAGCAGAGGAGCCAGCTGAGGATGTGGCAGCTGAAGAAGAAGCTGCAGCAGAGGAACCAGCTGAGGATGTGACAGCTGAAGAAGCTGCAGCAGATGAGCCAGCTGAGGATGTGGCAGCTGAAGAAGCTAAAGCAGAGGAGCCAGCTGAGGATGGGGCAGCTGAAGAGCCAGCTGAGGATGGGGCAGCTGAAGAGCCAGCTGAGGATGGGGCAGCTGAAGAGCCAGCTGAGGATGGGGCAGCTGAAGAGCCAGCTGAGGATGGGGCAGCTGAAGAGCCAGCTGAGGATGTGGCAGCTGAAGAAGAAGCTGCAACTGAGGAGCCAGTTGAGGATGTGGCAGCTGTAGCAGAGGAGCCAGCTGAGGAGCCAGTTGAGGATGTGGCAGCTGCAGCAGAGGAGCCAGCTGAGGATGGGGCAGCCGCAGCAGAGGAGCCAGCTGAGGATGGGGCAGCTGCAGCAGAGGAGCCAGCTGAGGATGGGGCAGCCGCAGTAGAGGAGCCAGCTGAGGATGGGGCAGCCGCAGCAGAGGAGCCAGCTGAGGATGGGGCAGCCACAGCAGAGGAGCCAGCTGAGGATGGGGCAGCTGCAGCAGAGGAGCCAGCTGAGGATGGGGCAGCTGCAGCAGAGGATGTGGCAGCTGAAGAAGCTGCAGCAGAGGAGCCAGCTGAGGATGTGACAGCTGAAGAAGCTGCAGCAGAGGAACCAGCTGAGGATGTGACAGCTGAAGAAGCTGCACCAGAGGAGCCAGCTGAGGCTGGGGCAGCTGCAGCAGAGGAGCCAGCTGAGGATGGGGCAGCTGCAGCAGAGGAGCCAGCTGAGGATGGGGCAGCTGCAGCAAAGGAGCCAGCTGAGGATGGGGCAGCTGCAGCAGAGGAGCCAGCTGAGGATGTGGCAGCTGCAGCAGAAGAGCCAGCTGAGGATGTGGCAGCTGAAGAAGCTGCAGCAGAGGAACCAGCTGAGGATGTGACAGCTGAAGAAGCTGCACCAGAGGAGCCAGCTGAGGCTGGGGCAGCTGCAGCACAGGAGCCAGCTGAGGATGGGGCAGCTGCAGCAGAGGAGCCAGCTGAGGATGGGGCAGCTGCAGCAGAGGAGCCAGCTGAGGATGGGGCAGCTGCAGCAGAAGAGCCAGCTGAGGATGTGGCAGCTGAAGAAGCTGCTGCAGCAGACGAGCCAGCTGAGGATGTGGCAGCTGCACCAGAGGCACCAGCTGAGGTTGTGGTAGCTGAAGAAGAAACTGAAGCTGCAGCAGAGGAGCCAGTTGAGGATGTGGCAGCTGTACCAGAGGAACAAGCTGAGGATGTGGCAGAAGCACCAGAACAACAAGCTGAGGATGTGGCAGCAGCAGCACCAGAGGAACCAGCTGAGGCTGCTGCAAATGCAGCTGAAGTGGTTGATGCAACTGACGTTGCAGAAACAATTGAAGACACGGGAGCTGCAGCCGAGGATGTTACTGAAGCAGCTGAGGGAGTTTCAGAAACAGCTGAAGATGAAATTCCTGCAGATGAGGATGCAGTAGATATTGTCGAAGATACAGGAGCTGCAGCTGAGGATGTTACAAAAACAGATGATGATACAGCTCCTGCTGCTGAGGATATTACAGAAGCAGCTGAATATACAATTCCTGCAGCTGCGGATGAGGCAGATATTGTCGAAGATAAAGGGGCTGTAGCTGAGGATGGTACAGAAGCAGCTGAAGATACAGTTCCTGCAGCTGAGGATGGTACAGAAGCAGCTGAAGATACAGTTCCTGCAGCTGAGGATGGTACAGAACCAGCTGAAGATACAGTTCCTGCAGCTGAGGATGGTACAGAAGCAGCTGAAGATACAGTTCCTGCAGCTGAGGATGGTACAGAAGCAGCTGAAGATGCAGTTCCTGCAGCTGAGGATGGTACAGAAGCAGCTGAGGATAGTACAGAAGCAGCTGAAGATACAGTTCCTGCAGCTGAGGATGTTACAGGAACTGAAGATGCAGTTCCTGGAGCTGCGGATGTTACAGAAGCAGCTGAAGATGTGGCAGATACTGTCGAAGATACAGGAGCTGCAGCTGAGGATGTTACAGCAGCTGAAGATGTGGCAGATACTGTCGAAGATACAGGAGCTGCAGCTGAGGATGTTACAGAAGGAGCTGAAGATGCAGTTCCTGGAGCTGAGGATGTTACAGAAGCAGCTGAAGATGTGGCAGATACTGTTGAAGATACAGGAGCTGCAGCTGAGGATGTTACAGGAGCTGAAGATGTGGCAGATACTGTTGAAGATACAGGAGCTGCAGCTGAGTATGTTACAGAAGGAGCTGAAGATGTGGCAGATACTGTCGAAGATACAGGAGCTGCAGCTGAGGATGTTACAGAAGCAGCTAAAGATGCAGTTCCTGGAGCTGAGGATGTTACAGAAGCAGCTGAAGATGTGGCAGATACTGTTGAAGATACAGGAGCTGCAGCTGAGGATGTTACAGGAGCTGAAGATGTGGCAGATACTGTCGAAGATACAGGAGCTGCAGCTGAGGATGTTACAGGAGCTGCAGCTGAGGATGTTACAGGAGCTGAAGATGTGGCAGATACTGTCGAAGATACAGGAGCTGCAGCTGAGGATGTTACAGGAGCTGCAGCTGAGGATGTTACAGGAGCTGAAGATGTGGCAGATACTGTCGAAGATACAGGAGCTGCAGCTGAGGATGTTACAGGAGCTGCAGCTGAGGATGTTACAGGAGCTGAAGATGTGGCAGATACTGTCGAAGATACAGGAGCTGCAGCTGAGGATGTTACAGGAGCTGCAGCTGAGGATGTTACAGGAGCTGCAGCTGAGGATGTTACAGGAGCTGAAGATGTGGCAGATACTGTCGAAGATACAGGAGCTGCAGCTGAGGATGTTACGGAAGGAGCTGAAGATGCAGTTCCTGGAGCTGAGGATGTTACAGAAGCAGCTGAAGATGTGGCAGATACTGTCGAAGATACAGGAGCTGCAGCTGAGTATGTTACGGAAGGAGCTGAAGATGCAGTTCCTGGAGCTGAGGATGTTACAGAAGCAGCTGAAGATGTGGCAGATACTGTTGAAGATACAGGAGCTGCAGCTGAGGATGTTACAGAAGCAGCTGAAGATGTGGCAGATACTGTTGAAGATACAGGAGCTGCAGCTGAGGATGTTACAGAAGCAGCTGAAGATGTGGCAGATAGTATTGAAGATACAGGAGCAGCAGCTGAGGATGTTACGGAAGCAGCTGAAGATTTAGATCCTGCAGCTGAGGATGTTACAGAAGCAGCTGAAGATGTGGCAGATACTGTCGAAGATACAGAAGCTGCAGCTGAGGATATTACAGCAGCTGCTGAAAATGCAGTTCCTGCAGTTGAGGATGTGGCAGAAACTGTCGAAGATACAGGACCTGTAGATGAGGATGGTATAGAAGCAGCTGAGGATGTTGCAGATACAAATGAAGACAATGTAACTGATGTGGATGATTCGGGAACCACAATTGGTGAAGTTGCAGATACAGTTGACGATACTGAAGCTGCTGCTGATATGGCAGATATTGCTGAAGATGCAACTGAAGACACAGCTGGTGCAGATGAAAGTTCAGCTGAAGCTTTAGCTCCTGGACCTGAAGACGAGGCAGAAGATGTGACAAACACTGTGGCGGCAGCTGAAACTGTACAGGAAGTGGAGGAGTCTGTGAGGAGCGCCATGGAGGGTAGAGTTGGAGACGAGGAGCACAAGAGCACTCCTTACCCCTCCGCCAGGCTCCGCTCACCAGAGGCCCTCGCCTCCACACTTGACAGCATTCAAGACGAAGGCTCGAATTCCGCCGATATTGACGAGAGTAAAAATGTAAGTTTCTTCGTTGGTGATGAAGATGTCGATAACGAAATCAAGAATGAGACGAGTCAAATTCTCGGGGAGACGGAGGCCGGGATAAGCTCTGCAGAAGGACTCGTTATTGACTCATATGGCGGACAGACAGCTGGGGAGGACCCGAGCGATGCAGCTGCCCACGGTGTTGAATCATCGCCCTTCGCCTCCTTCGCTTCTCAAAGTCAACACCAGCACGAGTTCGACGAATCAGACGAGGTGGGTATCAATTAGATCTAATCAGTGTGGAATGTCAGGCCTCAAATGGTTGTGAATTTTTATTCAGGATTAGTTTTTAATGTGAACACCTGTGATGTTTTGTGGATTGTGGATACGTTTATATTCTCAAGCAAATCACCTGTTTATCTTCATGAAATATTTAGAGCATAGTGTTGTGTGTGAGGCTATCATCTTGAGTGTTTCCTTCAGTCCCGCATGCTGGTTGGTGCCTCACTGTGTAACCATTGACATAGTCTCAGTGTAGCAAAATAATGCATTATAACAGTACAGTACGCATCTCACAGTAAGGACAGAGAGATGAGCTTGTTTGTTGCTTGTGTTTGGAGACTTGAGGAAGCCTGAAGATTGTTGTCTCTAGTACGGCATGAGTTAACTTAGTCTGTAATGTATGATAAGTCTGTCACTCCTAGCATGATGACTGATCATTCTGAGGTATAACCCCACCTGCCAGTGGTCATAGTAACCTCGATGAGAGACTCCCTTAGTATTTAAATAATTCACCAGTTTAATGTAGATCTTCCTTCTGCCTGTGGACTGCTGGTGTGTTTGTTGGGCCGAGTCAGGATGACGAGCTGGTAAGCGGGGCGGTGGGCGTGGCAGCCACCAGCGCCGCAGTGCTGGTCGCCGCTACCTGCGTCGCCGCCAGCGACCCCGGCTCCTCCAGCGTGCGTACCCTCAAACACGCTCCTCTTCTCCTACCATCTCGTACCTCAAAATTGTCCCTTCTTCTGAAGATATACATCACAAATGTACTCTCTTCTACCATCGTATTTCACATTAGTACACACATTTATATTAGACAACCACCGGGATAAAGAACATGGTTTCAGTATTTTGTGTGGCCATAACCTTTCTTTCTGTGACCCTCTCGACACCTCACATGACTCTGAAATTGATTTCCTCTGACGAGGAGCCCCGGGGAGCTGTGTGTTTATGTGTGTGTGTGTGTGTGGTTGGCATGCGACATCACAACAGCACAAGCCCCTCACTCAATGTTATGATGTGATCACAAACTCTGACCCAACAACTGTGCTTGTCTGTTACATACACCTTGATGTTGCTGGGCTAGTTTGGTTGAGAATGTGCATCTATCAGAACGACAACTGGAATGCCATGTTATAGCACAGTAGACTGTCACAAGAATGTAACAGTGTGAGAAGCAGTCTACTTTCTGTTTTATTAAACATAAATGAAAACTTGCCAAGTTCAGGGAAAATTGGAATGAAATGAAGAATAAATCCTATTACTATTATTATTATTATAATTATTATTGAGAAAATCCGTAAGAGTCGAGTGCCACTCCTGCCTGACAGCTGGGGCTGAGCAGATCGCCTCGGACCCATGCTGAGTCAACGCCTCTTTTTTGCCAGACTTCCCAGCCCTATAGCGGCCAAAATATGCCACTTACAATTTTTTTTATTATTTTTCCTGTGATCAGAGAACACAAATTAACAGGTTAAGATATTTTTTTATGTGTCTGTGGGTGACAAAGGCCAATTAGCCCTTGGGTTAAGAAACGCTAGGTCCAAAAATGATGTCTTGTGGCACTCGTATGGTTAAGGGAAGGAGAGGTTATGTTATCGATCACTACTTATTGGTGTCTGGTATTGAGATATGATCAGGTAATATGATAATATTATAATTTGGAACGAGGCTTCGAATTCCGTAATGAGGAAGTTTAAGTAGGAAGTGATTGTGATTTATGGAATCAAAGGCTTGTCTTAAGTTAATAAAGAGGGTATTTGGTAATTCATTTGTGTCAAGGGCTGCGTAGATTAAGTCAAGTAAACTAATAATATCATCATTGGTATATTTTATTGTTTGCCTGTGGGGAACTGACCTAATGAGATTTATATTTATTTAATTTGTTTAATTTACATAGTAATTTATATATTTCGATAGCAAACTGTCTGATGTTTAAAGTGGCCTGTATGATTTAAAATTCTCACAAATTGCTTTCCTTACACATTCTGGGGGTTTATGGTTTATTTATGTAGTTATTAATATAAATTATTGGTTAGTAGATCTTCACTACAATATTAGACTACATATATTATTAACTAAAATGGGAAGGCCTTATCTGTATATAGTGAGCCTGGTCCACCAGTTATGAACAAGGATGATGACACCAAATAATCCTCATGGTTGAGGCTGACAACACCTGTACTGGTGTACTAGGTAACTATTGTTTATTCTTCTTCCTCTTCAATTACACCTGTCAAAGGGCACTCACAATAATAGCAGGAATCCTAATATGACAGCTATATCAGAGGGATATATAGTTACTATTTATGAAATAAATCCAATGAATATTTACCTTGTTTTTGTGTCTCGCTTGTGTGCTAACCGGCATTCCTAAATCTAAATATTATAGGCCAATAATAAGCTAGATAATATAGGAATCGGAAAAGACACCTCCCTTGATAGTAGTCAAAGTTGTGTTGGTAACGGGAGCATTTTACTCCCATAACACCGGTCCAAGGGTAATTTATTGGGGCTTGATTTGCCCCAGCATGACTTATTGTTAAATTAAATGGCGACTACTGAGGTCCTCCTCCCACTGATGCCTTAGTTGTTTTGTCCACATGTCAAGAAGTAGTGAGAGGGGCCCTCATTTACTCTACTTTGGTACTGCTAATTAAGTTGATTAAAGGGAAATGTTTTTATGATGTTTACAGTCCAGAGACTGCTGTATTAAGAATAATTCCATTACTTGGCTGGTAAATTTAATGATGACAAGTGGCAATGATATCTCGTTTTCTACGAGAGGAAAATGCCACTGTGCCACATCTTCTATGAGTTAATTTGTTAATTACACAACAGCAGCAATATTACCTGCCTGTTGTATAAAATGCTAGTAAATGGTGTCGGTTTTTCCCGACATCGCTAGTTGTATCACCTCCTTTGTGGACTAGACATGATCTTTTAGTATACTGTACCAGGAAAGGCTTGTGGCTGGTGCAAATGTCCGAGTAGTTTGGGTATATCATGGTTGGTATATTCACTAGTGTTACCAACTCTGGGTTTGGGTGAGTGAATTATATGAAGGAAGCAAATAAACAAGAGGTATAGGGAGTTAGGATACCTGCAGGTGGGATTTGTGACAACAATTGCCGGGATCTTAGGATAATAATTTGTCAAGGATAACCCCAATTGACGAATAGAAACTATTGAATGCATGTGTTGTTTCTAAATCTGAAGACAGAGTATTATTGCCTTCGGTGAGCTTAATCTGTTTGTTGCGTGTTGTTGGAATCCTAGAAAGTTAGAGATAATTTACCATATGCTTTTCATCTTTTTCATTTTTTTAGCTTCTTTATTGTCTTCAGAATAGGATAGTTTGGTCTTCTTTATATGTTAATGTTGATGAGTATATTTTTGCTTATTCTTTCATGTGTAAGCAAATACTTCGTTTTTTTGTGTTTTTATTTTGTTAGCTGCTTTAACTAAGTATGCCATTTGTGAGCCATGGATTAAATCTTTTGGCAGTTATTGGTTTGAGGAAGAGAGGAGTGAGTTGCATAGATGTTTGATATTATGGTTTAAAAGTTATCAGTTGATATAATAGGTGCCCAAGTGTTAATTTACCATAATATTATTTTATTAAGACAATTGTGGAATTTTTAACATTATCTAACTCCGTAAAATAAGAATCTAACTACTGTACTAACATAACAGTAAACTTAGCTGTCTACAGTGACAGTAGTCATAACCAGTGGCTACTAGGAAACTGTTGCTGTCTTTATGGGGTAGTGGACTGTATCTATTCTCTGTGTTCCCCCAGGTGGCTCAGTTTCAGTTTCACCATACCAACAGGTATGGTGCAGCTTTCATTTACCTGTCGGATGAAAATTACCACTTTAGCACTTGGTTAAAAATAAGAATATGTATAATGCAGTGAGCATTAATACCGTTACAAATTATTTTACCCTATCCCGGCTGGTCGGCCGAGCGGACAGCACACTGGACTTGTGATCCTGTGGTCCCGGGTTCGATCCCGGGCACCGGCGATAAACAATGGGCAGAGTTTCTTTCACCCTATGCCCCTGTTACCTAGCAGTAAAATAGGTACCTGGGTGTTAGTCAGCTGTCACGGGCAGCTTCCTGGGGGTGGAGGCCTGGTCGAAGACCGGGCCACGGAGACACTAAAAGCCCCGAAATCATCTCAAGATAATATCAAGATAAAATCCCTTTGATCTGGTATCTTACCACATGTGTATTATACAGTATTGTAAACAATGACAAGATTACAGTATTTAATTCCTTATTGCTGTTAATTTATCTATTGCAAATGTATACTTATCTTTAAGCAATTGCAATATATAAAATATTTGTTAAATATTGGTTAACCTAGTTAGTATAATTTTAATTAAGTGGTAAGTAATTTACTTACTGAGGTGGGCTTGTAAGCCCACGATATAACCACATCTGCAATAAATGGGGTTAGTGGCACAAAGATATTGGATCCAAATCTCAAAACATAACCAACCTCCCTTATTTTATAATATGCAGGTACGGAGCTCTGTTATATTTTGCTAAAACCTAACCCTCTTGTTGGGCTAGAACATGTAGTGTTGTTCGCTGCCATTGTTGAAGTGGTGTTGTAATGGCGTCTGGGCGCTTAGTCAGCTGAGGTCCAGTAGCATTATTTCACCTCACAGTTTCTTTACATTTCGCACACCATTTAGGTCCAAAGATGTAAAACAGCTGCTATTAAGCAGCTTGTACCTCTTGGAGTGCCCTTATGTGGTGGAGGAGCAATGTTTACTGTCACGACAGTGTCTGGACACTCATGTGATCCACTCCCAGGGCAGGTATATGTGTCTGGAGTACCTGTTTTAAGGATCCATTTATACTATTCATTAACCAAACATGTTTGGTTAAACAATTATTTATTGAGTATATGTATTTATTTTGGAGTACAGTATTACCATGATATGCTTACAGCTATAAGATGTAGTTGCATATCCTGATATGGA